AGGTTAGGTACGGGGAGGGTGCCTACCTCCGGGTAGAAGAAATAAATCACCGGCATAAAGGCAACGTTCAGCACAGCAAAGATGATGTACGTCCTCCACCCGATGTTCGAGATCGCCGGCGGCGTGATCTCCGCCACGAGGAAGGTGAAGATCCATGTCGCCGACGTCGCCAGCGCAGCCGACTGGGATCGCGTCATCAGCGGCGCGTACTCGGCCGCCAGCAGCCAGGGACCAGGGATCCAGCCGACGCCGAACCAGAAGTCGTACCAGAAGAGGGCCACTGTTGCGACGACGCCGGGGGTGAAGGCTACGACGGATGTCGTCCCCGCCAGCACGCACATGCCGATCGCCATGCCAACGAGACCGATCAGCAGAAGAGGCCGTCTCCCGGTCCGGTCGATGATGAAGATCGGGATCAGCGTGGTCAGGTAGTAGAACAGGCTCAAGAAGCCGGACATGAGGCTGGACAAGCGTTGAGAGAAGCCGACGCTCTTGATGAAGATGTATGGCGCATAGTACCTGGCTGGTCAGATAACAGATCTATACTGGTCAGGCGGGAGCGTATAATACGTTATTAGATTGATGCCTGTGAGCTGCTGCATGATCATGACCGCCACGCCCAGCGTGGTCCGGTAGAAGACGCGCTGTTCGCCGTTGGTGAAGACCATCCGGATTGGGCTGAAACACCACAGTTAAATATAAGAAATGCAGAGAGGATGTGGACTGGCATACTGTTTCCCACCCAAATGTTCCTGCGCAAGTCTCTCCTGCGAAATGGCCGTCACGATCTCGAGACGCTCCTTTTCAACGACAGTCATGTCTTCGCCATGGTGGATGCGTTTCAGTACTTCGACTGCTTCCTCGGCGCGGTCGCGTGAGAGGAACCATCGAGGTGTCTCTGGGAGGACTGAAATCAAGGAAATCGTCCACAGGGCGAAGAAAACCTGCAGCGCGATAGGGAAGCGCCATTGCGCGCCGTTCTGGACGAAGCTGAAGCCGTAGTCGACCCAGTATGCGACAGCGACTGCACAAATTCAGTCAGTTGTCCTGAATGGAGATTGATGTTTCTACGTATTTCTTGCAGGTTTCTTCCTTCTTTTTTTCTTTCCATGGATCGACACGACATACCTCCACCCTAATTTCGTCAGCAATGGTATACTATCAGCAGTAGAGTCAGACGAAACACCTACCACATTGGTCGAAATCTCTGTGGTGATGAACCTCCCCCGCGATTTATGCGACACCAGCTCTGCATGCCATACGGGGATTGACGAGGTGATGACGCCGTTGCCTGCGCCGGTGACGATTCGTCCGATCTGGCAAGATTTGCAGTGAGAAATGCCGACCTGTCGAGAAGGAGGATTCTACTTGACATTTCGGGGTTGGTCGTCTCTTACCATCAGCTGCGCCAACTCATACGACGAGCACTGAATCACTGTCCCCAGTGTGAGGATGGTTGCGCCCAAGATGATGGTCCGTTTCCGCCCGAGGGATTCGCCGATGAATACCGTCAGCAGCGCGCCCGCCCAGCAGCCGATGTTGTAGATGGCGACGACGAACCCCTGCAGGGTGGCGTTGCCGTTGCCGGTAGTTGTATTGATCGTGGGGAATTGCTTGGTGAAGGCGGAGCCAGTGATGATGCCGCCCATCACGCCTTGCTCTGTAGCCATACCGTGCTCAGCAGAGATGCATGATATGAGAAAAACGAGCAAGAGTATAAGGTTGTCTACCATATCCAAACAGCACGAATGCCACTGAACAGGTCAGGCTGACTAGTCGCGAAAGTGCCTTGCCCGTGATGCGGGCTGAGCCGGTCATGAAGTTCTGCATGGCAGTATTAAAGAAGGCAAACACCTTTAAAAAGATTAATATCGCCTTGTTAGAAAAAAAAATAAGAAAATAAAAAAAGACGTTACAGTATGTCGAAGAATAATTCTATCAGCAGTCAATTGGCCTAGGGCTGTATCATCTAACCAGCTTCCATGGATAAGCAATGGTAAATATGTACTTTCATACTTAGTACAGTACCTATTTTACCCGTCACATATGTATATATAAAAGCGGAGGCCCACGGGGTAATCCACGCTAATGCGTGGGGTAAAGTCCGGAGAAGACGGACATGACACCATGCGAACAATAATAATGCAATTCGGGGAGAAGTACGAAAATAGTCGAGAGATTATCGTCGAGTACGGCGAGACTGGCCGATCTTTTTGCTGGTAAGGTCGGGGTTTGTCCGACTATTAGTCTATTAGTCTATCGCTACAACGATCAACCGATGAAGCGCGACGGGACTGTATACGGATTCGTCAAGGCTAAGTTTACGTGCTCAGGAAGCTGTGTTGAGCTTGCTTCGAAAACGGATGATGAACTAACTAGCATTGGCTCCTGTCTCTTTGCGATATGGAATTTGTCCTTGTGTGTTCATGCCTTATAGTGATTATGAGCTTCATAGTCTGTCTTTAGATAGTACTCCAGGATACATACATACCTACAGATCATGTGTGAGTTCTAGACTTCTTCTAACGGACGGATCGATAGATGGAAATGGTAGGTCTGAACAGTGTTGACGACTTGAAGGAGTGGATATACAAAGAACTTGATTTCTTCCATGCTAGGACACCAGCTACGGAGTAGTACTAATAATATAAGCAGTTCTCTCATTCGCCGTAACACTACGCGCAAGCTCGCTCCTTGCAGACAGATTCTAAATAGGCAAGTATCCGTCTGAGATTGTCATAGAAAGGAGGATCCCCTGCTTTGGGGTCATCAATATCAATGTCATCAGGGACTCGCACGTCAAACCCATGTCCCTGACCAACTACCTGCTCGAATAAGACACTGACACCCTTCGATCGCAGCTTCTGCGACACTGCCGCGCTCTGGTCGAAACAAACCAGGACGTCCGCATCACCGTGAACGAGAGCGGTTGGAGGAAAGTTCGCATCCAGGCCAAACGTGGCGGGGAAAATCGCCCGGACATCCTCGGGGATGACCTCCACACCCTCCTGGAGGATGCGTCCGGCGAGTCCGGGAATCCGGGTTAGAAGATCCGGAAACAAGACCAGCTGGTGCATCGCGCGATCCAGTTGTATCTTTTGTCCTCTTGCCGATTTTCTGGGAACGGGTATCCGTCAAGGACCTGGCCGGCTGTCTTTGCCTTGGTGATCTCTTCCGCCGACGCTGTTATGTCCGAGACGGTGAATCCGCTGAACTCGAGTGCGGGCTGGACGTATCTCTGGCTCGCGAGATCGAGCATGCCGTAGATGGATAGCACGGCCAGTGGGCGGGGAGCGTGCGGGTTTGCGGCGGTTGCCAGTGCCAGATAGCCGCCTGCACTCGAGCCCGCGATGATAATGTTCTTGCTGATGTGGTCATGGATCCAGCGCACGGCGTCCAGCGCATCGGATAGGATGTCCAATCCGCTCGCTTCTGGTAACAGCCGATAAGAGGCTGTCGCATAGGCCCATCCGCGTCGATGGCAGGCCCGGATCAGCCAAAGCGGCGGGAAGGTGGTTTTCTCGCCGAGCACCTGTAGGCGGTATATCAGCTGTCTGCAGACGGTTGCATGGCTAGCTTGGAAATTAAGGATATTTGCAATGTTGCTCACAGAAAGCCACCATGGAAATGAACAAGCACGATCCCCGTCCCTTGCTGGAAGTCTTCCGGGATAGACACGTCAATAGTCAAGGAAAGCCCATTGACTGTTTTGAAAACAGAGGTAGATGTGCGGACGTTAGTGACCATGGCAGAAACGGAAAGCAAAAAGCTGCCCTGGAAAGATGCAGTGAAGGAATGGAAGTAAGGAGGTAACCCAATGCAGTATATATATACACTTATATAAGTATGCCGCTGAGGGTTCCCCACGTCTATGTATATATGTACAGTACAGCACGCTGCTGCTCCTGCTGGAGTGAAAAAGAAATCCGGCTAAATCCGTCGGCAGTCTGGTTCCTCAGATGTGGGTGAATTGCGCCGCGGAAGGGGAGAAAATACTGATCTAGCAGGGGGTATTTCCCGACAGTCGTCAATGATATTGGTCTTATTAATGTGCTAAATCAGTTCAGACCTATTATATTATATTTCTACCCATGTATGCATGCATCTCAAATTGGACCTGTAGAAGCGTCCATTCGAGATTATGTCGAAACCGGATTTAGGAACATCTATTTCAACGGACAAAATTACGTACAATAACATCAATACGAGGACATTCTATTATGGGACACGATGTATATAGATGAAAGTTCAACAAGTTGGACTGGAGACTTTCTCATAAAGAATACATAGGAAATGGTATAACATCCGATATATCTTTTATCTCTGTACCCGCTGAAGCTGCTACTTGAACGAATACAAAATAAAAAAAGGGAATCTCTCACGCCAATACCCCAACTGTTTCCTGCTTTCCTTCATCAACACCCTACACAGGAACTGCCATTAATCAGACAGTGAACTAGGCGTACAGAACAGTCCGCCACGGAATTCGCCCTCAGGATCATCCAACTGCAGTCCGCTTTCTCGACGGCTTTCACCCACATCAACCACCGTTCAGGAAATAGTCACATATTACAGCATATTCAAATTTTTATGCATGCATAGAGGATTAACAGCGTCTTTTGCGGTCCAGTGAGCAGCTGGCCTGAACACCAGAAGCGGATTTCACCCACCTCTGATGCTCGCCCAGTTCGGGCTGAGCTTCTGTACAACTGGCATAGCCAGACATATATTCATAATGTCGTCTCCAGAGAGAGCAAAATAGGTCCTGAAGGCTGAAAAGTCTATGTAGTTTTGATCTTCTTTTTTTTCTTTTTGGAGATTTTTGGTGACTTTAGGTAGTCAATTCGCCGTTACTCGAGTCTAGCATCAGAGGAATTGTTCCAAATATTCCAATACCTGCAGGCTGGCACCATCCAGGTGGATTAGTACACTTTCAAGCCACAAATTGGCAGATGTCAGCTGGTATATGCACTTCTCTTCGAGGCTAATGTTCTGACATTTTCGGAATCCTGAACAAAAACAACCCCACTGTTGTCACTCTATATCTGTAAGCTGATCTGATTGCCGTCTGTATAGTAAATTGTTTTGTTCGACCTCCTGTCCTGCTATGCTACAAAAATAGCAGCTGCTTAGGCCATTTAATCTTCTGTCTATGGTTTTTCGTTGTGGACCCTTATGCAGGAAATTGCTCATTCTGGGTTTACTTTACTACTGGAACGCTGCAATTGCATAGCCTCCCTGGTGAGGCTGTCAGTTCTCCTAAGTTTGATAGCTGGTTTATAATTGCACGAAATATACTACACGATTGTTTGGTATGTCGCCTCCTGGTGATGACGAGTCGTTTTTAATTCTGAGCCAGACTGCTTTTCTGGATATGTCCAGGCGTTTCCCGACACGCCAATTCAAACTTCTGCAGCTACGTAGTCAATAACAATTATTAGCAGTGCGATGCTAAAGATTTGCACTTTTCCTGGCGCAGACAACATACAACAGATCTCCCTTCTGCGAGGCACTCGACACGCGTCCTATTTTCCCTTTTTGCGCAAACTTACAATCAAGACGATGAATTTAACCAAAATTGGAAAGATCTCCCGGCATCACAAAGACCGAAAACGATGATTAATTACAGAATATCAATAAGGTAAGGAATGAGCTGATTGTAAACCCATAATCCATCAGCTCCACCGCTTTCATTTCTCTCAGGTGCCTAGTCTGCTAATTTTCGTAGATCAGTTCTCATCCTTTGATTTCTAAATACGTCTACGTCCATTTGACTGAGCTTGTGAAAGTCAGTCAACTGCCTAAATAGGCAACTCACTCATACTGGGCGTTAAACACTTCACCCTTCAATTGCCGACGGCTCATGGACTTTCTTAGGAACATAGCATATCTTCTATGCTCTTAGAGCTCAGCATAGACTGGCTTCTTGATATCTTCATGTGTTCAAGAAAAAAAAGTATTAGCTCTTTCCTTTGCGTCTTCATCGTTCTTGCAATACTTGCGTCTATACCCACACCCTCCAAACATATAGCATCCTGATATAGACACCTCTTGTCAATTAAACCCGCTCATTCTACTGTATGTATGTACTTGCATTTTCCTTTTCAAAAGTTTTCCATTGGAATACACACTGCTGTTCGTAAGGAGACATAATTATCTAGAAAAAAAAAAGACGCAGAGGAAGTAAGACAACCCTTGAGATGGGCACAAAAAAAAACATCCTTTCGAAGGAAAAAAACATGCAACAGCTGGGATTCGCTGGTGGTCACCCACCCAACTACTAACCAGCCGGCGTGTGGCTTAAGTACGGCTGAGCGGACGGGAAGCCCTGTTTTCCACACCCTATGGTCGCATGTAGTGGATATATCTTGTCAGGCGATTAAATGGCGATGGCAGAGTATTGGAGGAGGGATATGGGGATTATACTGTAGAGCGTAGGAACTGGTTGTCTTCCGAGTCGTGTGTATTCGGAGGATTGTTCAAATGATTTTGGTCATGTGTTGACCTTCTCCTTGAGAAAAGAGACTTCGTTCTGGACTCCCAGACAAAATCTTCACATACATATTGAACCCTTGCGCTTCCCTGCCCTATATATCTTACGTGGGCAGGGTCCAAAGACATCACCCTCGAGTTATTTTCACGTATTGCCAATGCCAATCCAGTCAAGCTAGACAGAGCACGAGCGGAGCATGAGCATGCCAAGAATCATTTCCTCCGCGGGCGGAGGACAATGCGCACAGGCGGGATCGAGTCCGGACCAATAGGCGAGTTAGATTTGCGGATTAAACACAGCGCTAATGCAAGTTGCTTACGTGCAAAGACCGTGGACCAGACATACAGCTAATTACTGCGTAGGTAGTTTGGGATAACTACAGGTGAGGATTTCCATATTGCTTTCTTTCAGGATTTGAATTGGAGCTTGATGCTATGGGCCGAAAATACGGAAAATTGCTTGCTTATAGGATGTTTTTATATAAACGACACATGCATCGGATGCTCACAATCAAGTATAGGATTTAAAAGCTGCATATCTGTTTTACATACTGAGTGAATTAGAAGTGAGTAGAATAGATCTGAAATACCGAAAGAAAGAGAGTGCAAAGAAACATTATTTGACATCATACTCCACACCAGCAGTCTATTACGGGGACATTGCTCAATTTTCTTACTTCGCGACTACAGTTTCAACCAGCCTGGCCATATAAAAGTAAAATAAATATTTGGAGCCACAGCAATAGGATCCATCAGATTCTATCATCCCGCAAAACCAAGGTTCCCCATAACAAGTACTCCTACCTCCGCAGCAGCCAGGCACGGAGGAGGCGGACTTTGGCGGAGATATACAGTAATCACCGACATTGAAGCCGGAAGTGAAATATATGTAATTCCTTGGTGTAGGTATATAAGAGAGAACTTTGCTGTGCTGAAACTCGACTTACTGAGCTACGATCGAACACGATTCTTCTTTCAACAAGTCTGTTCTTGAAGCAAGACATTGAGAGGAGAAAATTCCAAGATTATCTCACGCAATCGACACCATGGCTGGCAACGCCAAGCTCAAGATTGTCTTTGGTGCTATGACATTTGGCAAGCCCAGTACGTCTGGATAATCCCCTCTATTCGCTGGATTATACTAACGGAATAGACACCCTGGGCGCCCGCGTACACAACCTCGACGATGCAGGTCGCGTCCTCGACATCTTCCAGCAGCACGGGCACAGAGAAGTCGACACGGCGCGTCTCTACGGCGGCGGCTCGTCCGAAGAGATGCTCGCCAGCCTGGAATGGCAGCGTCGCGGCCTGGTCATGGACACGAAGCTCTACCCCAATGCTAGATTGCCCGTCCAGTCTGCCGTCACCTACACTCATCAACCCGAAGACGTGCGCCGGGGCCTGATGGAGAGTCTCAAGGCGCTACAGACGGACAAGATTGACATGTTCTACCTCCACGGGCCCGACAGGCAGACCCCGCTGGAAGACACGCTGCGCGAGGTGAACAAGCTGCACGAGGAAGGATACTTCTCCCGCTTTGGCATCAGCAACTACATGGCGTGGGAGGTGGCCAAGATCTGCGAGATCTGCGACAAGAACGGCTGGATCAGGCCGTCCGTGTACCAGGGCGTCTACCACGCGCTGCAGCGCAGCATCGAGCCGGAGCTGTTCCCTTGTCTGCGGCACTACGGCATCGCGCTGTACGCCTTCCAGCCGCTGGCAGGCGGGTTCCTGACGGGGCGATACACGCGCGACCAGACGACGTTCGAGCCGGGCTCGCGCTTCGACCCGGGCATCTGGCAGGGCACGCTGCACCGGAACCGCTACTGGAACGACTCGTACTTTGACGCGTTGGAGAGCATCCACGCTGTGGCGGAGAAGCACGGCCTGACGGATGCGGAGGTCGCGCTGCGGTGGCTAAAGCATCACTCGCAGCTGCGGGCGGAGCTGGACGACGCCATCATCGTGGGGGCTAGTAGTACAAAGCATCTCGAGCAGAATCTGGCTGATCTGGAGAAGGGTCCGTTGCCGGAGGAGGTGGTCCAGGCGGTGGAGGCAGCGTGGTTGAGAGTGAAGGCCGTTGCTCCAAAGTACTGGCATTAGCGAGCAAGCGAGCAAAGACCTGTTGTCAGATTAGTTTTATATGAATGAGGAAAAGTTGATCGAGGTAGTATGAGAAACATGATTTAGATGTCAGACTTGCCATGAAAAATATCTTCAGAATATGACCCAGACAATCGACCAGACAAGAAGCATTCGCATAGCCCATACTAGGGTTGTATAGACACAGCGAAAACGTGAAAATGTTTAGAATGCACCTAGAAAACGAAGACTAAGAGAGAGGAAGAAAACAGAGGAAGAAGAGAGAGTAAGAGGAGGAGGAGGAAAAGCTCCTACCTGGTCTTCTTCTGTATCTATCAGGACATTACTTAGCAGCATTGATACGCCACTTTCCGTACATAGGAACACGTACATAAGTACAGTACAGAAGAGTAGTTAGACTAATCAGTGCATTCTCAAACGAAATAATAATTGACAAGAATGAGAGGCCTACAACCATACCCTCATAAAGGCATCATTCGTCCATCCAGGACGATATACATACTAGATAAAACAGATATATAAAACTAGAGTAAGGTAATACTCGCCAAACACAAATCGGACAGAATAGTAGGAAAAGAGGGAGAGAGCAGGCTACCATTCCAGCGAAGCTACAGCAATTGTTATTATTTATTGTCTTTGCCTTTCTATCTCTCTTTTCTTTGTAATTGTGCCCAAGGTGCCTGTTTGTGCCTGTTTGTGTTTATGAAGTCCTTCCAGTAGTAGTCATTTTCATTCATAAAATCGCCTATGAGTGCTCTCCTTGCTCCTTGCTCATTGTTTTTGTTTTGTTTTGTTTTTTTTTTCCCGATGTTATTACTTTCTCGTTATCATCACTTTAAAACGGCTGGCTATTTGTATCTTTCCTGCTCTTCTGATAGTGTACTACCCATCCTTTTTTTTGCTTTTTTTTGGCTATGAATCTATATTCCTCCACATTTCACATATCATCAGTTCTACATCCGTCGCTCAGCTGAAAAAAAAACCATCTTTCCCACTTACATTGACAAGAACGAGAACACTGAATTTGCCTTCTTTCTACTTTGTTTCCTCCTCTCGTTTATCGAAATCCGCAATATGCCTACCTAAAATATAACTAACTAAACTCTAGCAGATTCCTAACCAGGAACATTCTTATTTGTAGTATTATTAGTCTATATAGTCTATACTCAATTCCAGCACAAGAAGAACCGCTAATTAATTAATATCTCTATCTATATATCCCGCATGTAGGACATACTTTAGTTTTAAAAAACAAAAACAAAGGAAGACGAACAGAACGCCTTTGATGATCGTTTCACCCTGAGAATACCCTGATCCCTACCTACCATACCTGTTGTTAACCCAGAATCAGAAAAGAACAAAAAAAAAGAACAATATAATACAATATAATAATGTCAAATACAATAACACAGCAAGAAAAGCCTTCGAAGAGGCTTTAATTAACCCTGCCAAACCAGTTTTTTCTTTCTACCGGCTCGCCCGCTTCAACCGCCGCCGCTTGCGCATCACCGAACTGATGGCTTCCGGCGTCAGGATGTCGTCCGGTAGCTGGAACTCGCGCTCCTGCATCTCCGGGATAGGCTGGCCAAACGCCATCCGGGAGCGGCCCCGTCGGTGGCCCCCGATCGCCGCATCGCGCAGGTAGCGCTTCGCGAAGAACGATCGGAATGGCTCTGGCTCTGGCACCGCGGGGGGAGGCGGCGGCTGGCTTGGTTTCGGCGCTGCAGACGCAGACCGCGCTTCTTGTAGTAACTGACGGGCTGCCCAGGCGTCGACGTCGTTGGGGTCCGGCGGGTCGCCGTAACTCTGGAGATCTGACGATGGAGGACGGACGTCTTCCGCGGCCTCTTCCTCTGCCTCCTCTTGCTCCTCTCCCTCGTCGTCATTCTCCTCTTTCCGCTTCTCCTGCATCAGCCTCCTCACCGCGCTGTGTTTTCTCTTCCTTCGCTGACAGTGCTGAGGCTGCTGCTGCTGCTGCCGCCGCCGCCGCCAGCATCTGCTCTCTCTCCTGCTTCCGCCGCTTCTCCTCCTCCTTCCAGACGCGAAACTTCTCAATCAACGCCGCCACCTCCTTGATGAAGAGGTCGCGTTTCGGCTCGTACAGCTTCTTCTCCGTGTCGGTAATGCCGCTGATGCCCATCACCCGCAGCCAGTCATGGCCCTGCAGCTCGTCGAGCAGCCGGTCTAGCTGCACCTTCTCGTGCTGTGCACGCTCCTTTTCAATGTTCCGCAGTTGCTTCTCCTGGCGTTCGTTGCGCCGGTGGGCTTTGAAGTAGACCTCCTCTCCCAGCGGATCCGTTTGACTGGTAGGATCCGCTGGTTCCGGCAGCTCAACGACCTCGCACGCATGCAGATTGACCAGAGGGTTGCCAAACGGCGAGTCCGAGTCGGACTTGGGTTTTCGGGATTTTGACGGCGAGGCGGGAGAGGGAGGAAGGGGTGGTTCGGCGAGGTCGTCTAGTAGAACGACAGTAGTATCCGGGGCTAGAAATTCTGCGCATTGTCAGAGCTGCAAGGCAGTAGTAGAAGTCTGCAAACGACGGGAATGAAAGCAAGTTCGCTGTCGAGACAAGCTTACCAGGTTTCGGCGGCTCCAGACTGATCATCTGCTCGTAATTGGGGAAATACAACGCCAACTCGCTCTTGGTCCGCGACCCCCCATCATGCGACCGCAACGACCGTCTCTCTGGGACGGGAGCAGGCTGCGGTGCTGCGCCTGCCGCTGACTTCTCATTCTGTCCCGCCGCATCCTTATGAGTACTATTTCCCTGAGCTTCAGGACCGGTCGACGCAGTCACCCCGTGAGATTCCCCGTCGTTCACGATGACGACGGGGCGGGATTGGCCCGTGCGGGCAGACCGTCGTTTGGACGAGGACGAGACTGCTGCGACGGGCGTAGGGGAGGAGAAGGTGTTGGGTCTCCGCGACGAGTCGTGATGGTCGGGGCCATCGATGGTGTTGAGGGGGTCAGGCGAGTGAGAGTCTCTGCTGTGGAGAGGGATTTTTTGCAGACGGCGTGACGGGCTCACGGCGAGGCTTTTTCACGGGACGATGGCCATGGTCGAGATGGTCGTCAGCGATGTCGTCGTCGTCGTACGCAGGCTGGTGGACGGCCAAGGGGGCCCGCAGGCGGCGCGAACGCGTGGGCGACGGCGGGGAGGCACGAGGCCGCTTGCGGAGGTTTTCCTGCGGATGGGCGACATTGGACAGCGTCTTGCTTTCGGAGATAGGTTCTGGATGGGAGAGGACGTCGTGGTCGCTGTCGTCGTCGACAGGCTGGCTGCTGGCGTGCTGTCTGGCACGGGTGTTCTTGGTCTTCTTTTCAGCGGGCTGCCGGGGTCGCACCGAGGATCGCAGCGACGACCGCGAGGTGACGACCATCGCGATCACCTCATCGAGTTCGACGAGATGGATAGCCTGGAATAATGGATGAAAGATGCATTGCACAGGTCTGGCCGTGCTTTGAGGCTGGTCGACGTCGCGATGCAGGATGGAGGAGCTGCACGAGTCAAACTCTGCCGAGTAACGTACGGTCGCAGAGATACGGTACGGTATGGTGACAGAATGTAACCTGCTGCATTCCACCCAGGAATCATGCAGACATGAAAGTATATTTAGAAACAAATAGAAAATACTCTATTGTCTCTCAGCTATTGTTGCTACAATTGAGAAGTCTTGTGTCATTATCATATCTATGGAGTGTAAAATACGTCATGAAATGACAGAACAGCAGCTTCAATACTCTTCACATGCAGGAAGGGAGTCGAACGCGTGAAATTCGTAAATAAATTTCACTGAATTGAAATTTTTAGCGCCTTGGCAGGATTAGCCCCACTTAAGTTGCCGAAATAGGTTGCAATTTCATTTTTTTCAGACTTTATTTGCAAATTTCCGTCCTTACGAGCAATAATTGTAATTTCTTCAATTCCCTTTATAGAAGGTGATGCCATTTCCCATTTTCTGCGTTGTCACGTCGAGATGAATATCAACACTTAGATGGAGGTGACAGGGTTTTTTTTTTTAAAAAAAAATCAGACAATAAAATAAAAGTAAATAATCCCAATTCAGTCCATGTCTCAACTCACTCCCCATCAGTCCTCTCTCTCAACAGCGCAAGCACCTCACGAAACGCCTGTCCGATTTGAACGCGCTCCTCGACCCAAATCCCCTCACCATCATGATTACTAATTCAGCCCCAATTCCCTCCCCCTCGCAGCCTGCACCATAAACTCCCTCCCAGGAAACGTCAACGCCACACTCCTGTCCACCGGATACATCCTGACCCCCAGCAGGACCTGCCGCAACTGCTCGGCGGCCTTGACCCCCCCATGGCCTCCATAGCTGACGATGAGCGCGGGTTTGCTTGACCATTCGTGGTACAGGTAGTCGATCGCGTTCTTCACGCTGGCCGGATACCCCCAGTTGTACTGCGGGGTGACGAAGACGAAGGCGTCGTGGGAGCTGATCTCGGCCGACCAGCGGCGCGTGTGTTCGTGCGCGTACTCGTCGACAGAGGTAATCTGTGATGGGATGCCTGGTTCGTCGTACATGGGCAGGTTCCAGCTGGCGAGGTCGATGAGGTTGAGGGTGACTGTTCCAGCTTCTTCTGGTGTCAGGGCGTCTTGCAGGGCTTGCTTGACCCAGTGGGCGATTTGTGGCCCTGCGCGTGGCGAGCGCTGGCTGCAGATGATGATGCCTACGGGGGTGGTGGTTGTTGTTGACATTGTATAGCTGACAAGAACTGCAGTAGTACTCGAGACGGTCGACTAAGACCAAGAACTCGAATGATCAAAGACGATTATCGCAAGTTGCAGGATCACTCGAGACGGACAGTCTCTTTATATAGCCAGCAGATCTTCCGTACTGTGTAACGATATCCACTACACTATCATTGAACTATAACCAGCCAGAAACAGAATATTGCTGCCTGCTTGCATGCTAATAAGCAGGACGGAATCAGATAACAATACAAGTAGGACGAACCAATGCCACTAACTCACAACCCACTCTCTACCAATTCTAGAAGTATATCGTGTGATGTCCGCGGAGCGGCTATTGCGGGCCGCAGACGGGAAGGTAGGAGATTTCCCAGATAGGGTTGATTCTGCGCGCCAGCCAATCATTAATCAATCAATCAAAAGATCTATGTGTGCTGAAGTGAACCAAGAGTATTTCCTGCATAGGTATCTATAAATAAATACTTTCAGACAGACAGCACTTGCGTTCTGCGCGCTGTCCAATCAAACGATCTACAAGTTCCTGCATCGACATACATTAGCATAGGTAGATGGACCTAAGGCGAAGATAACAGCCAATTACACGAGCTAGATAGTATAGGTATACAGCTGCTTCATCAGGCAGAAGCCATAATCACTTGAACCTGAATTAAAATGCAAATCGCCATCACCAGCCGCTTACTCGCAAAACCTCAACGTGAATGGCCAACTTGACTCAATATCTCTACCATTTAGATCATATCAGACACGTTCACAACCGTCAAGACGGCATGACAGCTGCTTCAGCCCAAACACAAGCGGCTGCGCAGCCACAGGAGCCTTACGACGGACAAAATCCAAAGACGAGCGGGCAGCAGCTTCTCGATTTGCAGTCGAAGTCTCGGTCAAGCAGATCGTCGAGTCTGACAACATGTGTCGATGCGGCGACGCCGCTGCCAGGATGGCATACCACTGCTCCAGCATCGCAAGAGCCGAGTTGCTGACGGCGTCGAGCACGAAGAGGAGGATGTCAGGGTAGACGGTACTTCCGGTCTGCGTCTTTGACTGGTTACTGGATAGAAGCAGGGGCTTCAAGTGGTTGAAATACCACGCTTCGAGGCTGTGATGCAGGGAGATGATACGATGCAGGATGCGCTCGTGTAGAGTGTCACTGTCGAGTCGATGAAGAGAATTACTTTTCGACGCGTCGTCGACTAGATCCAGAATATCAACAACAAAGTCGCAGAGCTGCGATCGCAGAGAAAAACTCGGTAACTCTTCTTGAGCAGTTGCAGCTGGTCGCCGCAGGACTTCCCTCCACGGCGCATCGGAGAGAAAACACCTCTCTCCAGAATTAGCGTCTTGAGCAATCTTATTCACCTCTTAGCGCTACCCAGTCTGAAACTCTTAGCGAATTCGAATTCTTCTTAAACGTACAAAGAAAGCCCGCTGCGACTCCAACATCGCGCGTTCAAACGGAGTCGTAAACGCCGCGGGGCCACGTTCCTGAATGAGGATTTTTGTCCCGCGCAGGAGATGGTTCCAGCGGCCGTTATCTGCGTTGGTCAGGAGCTGTGCGTCAGATCACGTCAGGTCAGGTCAGATCCATTCCCGTCAGGAGGTATTTTCCGTGATAAAGCTTCTCACCTCGCAAAGCTGCATCAGAATCGACACGCAAATCGTCTCTGACTGCAACCGGACCTGCGGATCCTCGACACACAGCCGGAGAGCCTGCAGACTCTGCACATACCTCCTTGTCGCCGTGCGGCGAGTCGAGGCCGTTTTCGCCTGCGTATCGATGTACATCGCGCATAGGCACGAGACTGCCGCGTCCAGCGCGGGATTGCGACCCAGCCGCGCGGGGATGAAATGGAGGTAGCTTCCATGGAATCGCAGGGGGAACAAGAAGACAGCCTGATTGTCTTTGTCGACATCTAGAATTGTTGTCATACACTGTATCAGGAACGCGCCGTTGCGGTCGTTCTCCGTCGTCATCATCGTCGTCGTCCAGGGGTGTGGACGGAAAATGCCAACGGAGAAGAAAGACCTCCTCCCCTTCCCCCTCCTCCTCCCTCCGACAGAATAATAATCCTCATAGGAGAGAGACAGTCCAGACTGATTATGGAGATCATTTTCATCATCACCACCATCATCCTCAAAAACGTACCTCTTCCCCCTGTAATGCTCCGCCAGCTGCGGTGTTTCGTCGACAAACTTCCATCGTCGGACGTAGCCGGGACATTTCCAGCCTGCTGCGAGGCAGGCATGGCATTGGGGGCGTTCCTCTCCGCACTAATTAAATTTAATTTAGATTTCAGTGTGAGTGAGTTTGTAGTAGTACTAGTAGGGAACTTACCTTTTTCTTTCGTCGCCGACATGTTGCGCATCCCGTGCTTCGGGGGGTTCCTACCATGGCGCTTAAAAAAAAAAAGGAAGGAAGGAGGGAAGGAAATTAGGATCAGACTGGCATGTCAGCTTGTTAGATGTAATGATAGACAATGTTTGTGTGAGTAGGAATGAATTGTCGTGTCAGTATTCTGCTGCCTGGTCGGAGATATCGATGAGATAAACCCGATGAGCAACACGTGATTTACAGTACAGGATTTATTTCAAAGCTGGTTTGAAATAAGATATCTAGGAGAATAACCGTAGGTTTCTAGAAACATACTATTTAGTCATGTCAGTCGCGAGGTATGCCAGTCAGTCTGGTTATATAGCTCGTATAAATGTATTGATATGGACAGCACATTGGCACAGTTTATATTCTATATCTACATCTCTGCAGATATGTATATACTTATCTACATCTCCACGATATGTATCTGTCTACACCTCCACTGCCACCCCCCGGATAATCTCCGCTACCTCGCGATCGACCAGCGGTCCCTGGTACTCCCGCCTCCCCCGGACGTAGTACCAGACCACGCTGAAGATGATCACCCCGCCCGTCACGACGACGCTGTAGTTCATCGTCGACGCCGACACGGGTGTCTCGGGCGGCCACACGCTCCAGAAGATGACGAACAGCATGTACACGCATGCGTAGGCGTTGTTGATGATGCCCACCACGCCTGGCAGGTGCCACGGCCCCCAGACGAGTTGGCTGGGCGCGAAAGCAACGCGACGCGGTCGTGGAGGGGTGGTGCTGTCGTCTTGCGCGGGCTCCTGCGGAGCGAGCTTCGGCTTTTCCGTCTGGTCGTCCGGGCCAGTCGACTGCGGAGAGTCCGTCTCGTCGCTGACCCTCTCGCCCTCGACGACCGATCCGCACGGCAGGATGGTCCCCTTGATGCGGTGGTAGAGCAGCATCGCTGACGGGACAAAGTACGAGCCGTAGAACCCGGTGATTGTCAGCGAGATGACGTCGTTGAACGCCGTCGGCGAGCCGATGTAGATCAGCGTCAGCAGGCAGGCGAAGGTGACGACGACGCCAACGGCGATGATGGGCACTTGCGTCCGTCGGTCGACCTTTTTCACGATGGAGGAAAACGGCGTGCCCATGTCGCGTGCAAAGGCCCACGTCATGCGCGACGACGAAGTGGTAATGCCCGTGGCGCAGGCCCATGTCAGGATGAGCACGACAGCGCCCATGACGGTGGCTCCGGGGATGGATTTGACGCTGTCTGCGGGGTATTAGTACGACGACCACGCACCATCAACATCCAGTCATACGAAGGGTTGAGGGGGCGTACTGTAAAAAATCTGGATAAAAGGAAAACCCGTCGACGAGTCCAGGACCGACTGCACATCGCCCAGACAGAACAGCAGCGTCAGCATCATGACAAACCCCACCACGCCGTTCATCAGCATGCTGAATGTGATGACCCGGGGGATGGTCACGGGCGCATTGGCAACCTCCTCCGCGAGATGGACGCTCGCATCGGCGCCGACAAAGGTCGCGACATTGCCCAGAAAGCCCACGCAGTACGACAGGCCCTGCGTCGGCCAGCCGCCCTCGTTCAGGCTGCTGGCGAAGACAAAGTGCGCCGAGTTGTGCGGCGAGAAGTACCACAGCACAGTGATGATGGCGATGAAGCCGGCGACGTGGAAGATGACGGTCATGATCTCGATGCGGGGCAGCGCGCCGGGAATGACGGTGTTGATGAAGACGGACACGGCGACGACGAGCCAGGTCAGCAGCGTGCCCTGCCACTGCTTGGGCTCGTAGTCGGGGTAGTCGAGGATGAGCAGCCCCTGCAGCATGGTGCCGGCGAAGATGGACTCGGTGGCCACCGTGGCGACCCAGGCCAGCGAGGTCAGCCAGCCGATGATGTAGCTGGCGAAGACGCGGTAGCGCGCGGGCGCGAGCATGTACACCCAGTAGTACTGGCCGGCAGCGATGGGGGCCATGGATGCCAGCTCGGAGATGACGGTGTACACCGACAGCGTCGAGCTCCAGGCGATGATGAAGCCGTACACCAGCGCGCCGGGCCCGCCGTTGTTGAACCCCTGACTGAACAGCGCCAGCACGGTCTCCCAGGTGATCAGCTCGCAGACAGCGAAGCCGAACAGCGACCAGAAGCCGAAGCGCCGTTTCAGGACTTGTTTCTTGCCCAGGCGGGCCAGGATTTTGTCATCGCTGGACTTGAGAGCCGGCAGGGAATTGGCGTTCGCGGTGGCAGTGGGCGAGTGATCTGGATCCGCCATGGTGTCTATTTACAGCAGGATGCTGGTGGCTAAGAGAGGCGGGATGGGCTCCGGAAGGATCCTGGCAGGAATTATCGAGGCAGAGGGCGTGTAGGCAGGCAGATCTTGTTGCGTGAGGGCCTGTCTGACTGCGTTGGGCTGAGGCAGTATAGGGCGGACTGTACAGGAAATGCGCAGGACTCAGGACGGGCGCATCTTAGGGCGAATAATGGGCGGCAGTCTTAAGGTGCAGGGCTGATTTCGATGAATCTCCAGGCTGATGGACTCAATGGCATCAATACAGCGTTATCTAGCATCTAGGCCTGCTAGTAGTGGCAGTAGGAGGGGTACTCCGTGGCAGTAGGTGAAGTGGGCAGCGGACCCAGCTGGCTGCGGCGGATGCGAGACAGACAGGACGGCGCTTATTGACGGCGAGCGAGCAGCAGGGCGCTTAAATAGATCCCTGCGCTCAATGGCAGGAAAAAGAAAAATAATCTAGTAATCAAGCAGTCAGCTACTGCGTTACACCCACCGCGGGGATCACTGCTTCCGGCAAGCGGGCCTTGCCTTGCGGATTAATTCTTATTATCGCGCGGCCCCTGCGCGTCTTCCCCACAGCGATGCTGACGAGCCATTCACGCGCAGCAGATAGCCTCTTGGCAGGCGATGGACTTCCAGAAGCACAAATCTGCAGCGGACAGCCTCGACGACACGCTGGATGTAAGCCGGCCTGCCGTGTTGGGAATGGAGTCCTGCACGTGAAGCTGTTCCTTTAGCCCGATCAAGAAGTGACTTGCGAAGACAAGACGTACCTAAGAAGATGCAGACATCTTGCTGACAGGAATCAGTCGACAGTGCATTGTGCTAGACCGAGGGCCGAGGCAGGACCCGCCTGTATCGCACAGTCACAGCGGATCCTGGCCCACGCGCTGCGCTGCTGATGCTTGCAGAAGTGAAGATTATTAAAATAATTGCTGAGAGTCCGTGAAGGAAATTCCCGAGGCACGTGTCAGCTGCACTAGGCCGGTTCGGGAGTTCAACATCAACATCCAAGACGCGCATTTCATTTCTCTTTCTTATTCTGATTTATTCCCTCTGTCATCTCTCTCACTCTGTTCTTTTCTTTTTTTTTCTTTGTTCTTTTTTCTTATTCTTTTTCTTTTTTTTCTCCTTTTTTCTTGAAAGACAGAAGAAACCATGCCAATGCGAACAGTCCTGCGAATATGCGCGACATCACTCAGTCGAGAACAACTGTTAATGAGATATCCTTTCAAGACAACATTGCAATGCTATATATTATTTTGTATCGTCTGTCCTGAACTAACATTAGGTGAAATCCGTCATGAGTCATTCCGCATAGCTTGTGCTGTACATATACATGGCTCCATTCGCCGACATCAACGATCATCCTGCCTTACCACCCCTCCACCTTGGTCAGCTTCAAGTGCATCCCCTCGCGCGGCTTCGTCGTGACTGCTCCTGAGATGTGGACCTTCTGATTCGGGTCCTGCAGCTCCATCGCAAAGCGGCCAACCACTCCAGCCACGGCGCACCGCAGCTCTGCTCGCGCAAAGTCCTTGCCGATGCACGACCGCTGGCCATGGAGGAACGTGATCTGTGCGAAGTTGGTCGGCGCGCCGCCGTGGTGGTTCACTACCTGGTGGCCCTTCTCGTCCGTGTCGATCCACCGCTCCGGCCGGAACTCCTCGCCCGTCTCGCCCCAGAAGTCCGGGCTGCGGTTGATCGCGTACGGGCAGAGGATGATGCGCGTGCCCCGGGGGATCTTCTTGCCAGCTACGTACGAATCGCGTACCGCCTCGCGGATCGTCGCCGGCACCGTCGGGTACAGCCGCAGTACTTCCTGGCAGACGCCGTTGAGCAGCGGCATCGACTCGAGGTCGTTCCAGGTGATGGGGTGGTTGGCAGACGGGATCACCGTGTGGATCTCCTGGCGGAGGCGGGTCTGAATATCGGGATGCAAGCACAGCAGATAGCAGGCCCACGTCAGGGCGCTGGCGGTAGTCTCGTGCTGTCGAGTGTCAGCGTGATCCCGAAGAAAGAGAGGGGAAAGAGGGATGATACCCCTGCAGCCAAAAACGTCAGCATCTGATCGACCAGCTCGCTGTCCGAAAAGTCTCCTCGCAGCATCATCGTCCCCAGAATATCGGCCTCCAGCTCCTGCGCATCCGCCTTCCGGGCCGCCAGACTGAGGCGCTTCTCCTGGACGATGTCATGGCACAGGGTCACGCAGGTAGCCGACTTCGGTGTCAACGACCTTGTTCAGCCTCCACGGAATGCGGCGCGCGAACCACTGCGGCAGCAGAAAGTTGATGCCCAGGAAGATCAGCTTCTCCTTGGTCGGCTCCAGGATGGCCAGGAAGCTGTCGGCGACTTTGTTCTCGGCGTGCGTCAGCGACTGAAAGTCGCGCCCCATGGCCGCCGGTCCGATCACGTCGAGCGTGAGGCGACTGGCCCAGACGGACATCTCGACCTTGCCGCTGGCGCTGGCGGCGTTCATGCCGTCGACCGGGTTCAGCTTGATCTCCTTCTCGAGCTGGTCCAGCAGGATGGTGGTCTTGTCCCACATGAGCGTGTACAGCGAGCGGATGTTCTTGATATGGAACGCCGGTGTCAGCGCCTTGCGCTGGACACGGTGCGCCGTGCCCTCGGACAGGATGAGCCCGAAGCCGATGATGCGGGCGAGGAACTCGCGCACGCGCCACGGCTTCTCAAAGTCGTACGTGTTGGTGCTCATGATGTCGAGCAGGGCCTGGTGGCTCGTTGCTAGCAGGTAGCTGCGGTTGAAGGTGTCGCGGAAGTGGATGAGGCCGTCATTGGGGATGGTGCGGATCCACTCGAGGGGGTTCGGCCGCGGGGGAGTCGAAGATGATATGGACTTGATTCCAAGAGCCCTGACATTGTCAGCAAGCGACAGCGAGCGACAGCAGTTGGACCAGCACGCCAGGGATTCATACCTTAACGCGAGGGAGATGGCGGAGCGGATTGACCAAGTGGGGGTAGATGACCATATCCCAGAAGATCTGGATGGCCAGGTTGACGCCAAACGCGCGCAGGAACAGCTGCGTGAAGCTGTATTGGGGGAAAGCAGCGGTCCAGAGGAGGACGAAGGTCTCGAGCAGGGTCAAGGCTGCGTTGACCTGGAGCTCCTCGCTGAAGAGCAGCATTTTGCCGAAACTGACTATATCAGCGACTAGCAGGCAATCATTCCAGATGTAAGTGGAAAACAAAGACCAGCCGCAGAGAGAAGGACGTAGACAGACTCAATGACAAGAGACCATCGACTTATCTTATTTCTATATCAACAAGATAGTATAGTTAAGCGATAAAAAAGTTGCAGACGACGATAAGATCAACACCGCTCAAGCTAGGCAAGGCTGTGTAATATAATCCAGGCATTTAAAATCAATTCAGCTGATCGACGCAGATCGGAACCTCGGCTGTGTTATTCGTCCAACAAAAAGATATCTTCCAATGACGACTTCTGGAATCGGCTGCCTAGACTAGACAGTTAGAAGGATACTCCGTACGCTTGGTTTAGTTTTAGTTTTAGTTATACTTTGTTTCTTTCCGGGGACGAGAATTCCCCACACCCACACGGCGTCCATCGATGCGATGCGATGCGATGCTATCACATGTTAAGAAAGATTGAACTGGAGGGAAAAAAATTAAATGCGGGGTGCAAACTACCCCGTAGTCTAGCTACCAATGCATAATTTTTATTTCTGGATTTATGCACAATTGCCTTGGCTCTGACGAACGATTTCTTTCCCAACAACATGTGAATGGTGAATGGATCGAGGGGATTACTAATTGCAAACTTCTGTATGGTGTACTTCAAGATCTGTTTAAGCATGGGACCGTACTCTGTACGAACAAGTCACTGTGCTGAGGATGATAATTCTGGGATTTATGTTCTGGCAAGGCGAACTAGTTAATTCAACAAGCCCGTTAATTCACATTGAGTATTCGTACTCGTATTATGAGCGTCATTACAGTTATCGATAAGCATAGTGTATCGATCATGCATGCATGTATACGATTGTCATGGCCATGGCCATGTCATGCACATCATCCATCCAAGATTATCATTTCACCGGGGTATGAATCGATTAATTACCCCATCCAAGTCCCAATGTGCTGGATCCATTAACTCCATGTAAACAGAGGCCATTGTTTCGGAGTAAATTCCTGCTAAATTATTATGGCAGGATAATTTCACGTGAAAAACCTCGGCTCGCAGGTGATCGGCGCGTCCGATCCCAAAAACGGAATGGGTTGGATTTCAGTATTCCTGCCAGCCAGATAGCCCAGGCTAAACCCCTGGAAAAAAAAATCCGGGACCCAAGGTTAGGGAAACCCCTCTTTTTGCTTTTTTTTTTCTTTTTTTTCCGGCGAATTTCTCCATCGTTGACTGGTTGGAGAGTGATAACGGTGGCGTATGTATGCTCTCCTCCTGAGGCTGTGGAACCAGAATATCGGATGCCTCTCTGCATGCCTTTCTGTATGTGTCTTGACGAGGATTAGCTGGATTCTGCAGGCTAGTTGTTATTAATAATACCGTAGTCTTTTTTTTTGCAGGGTAATAAATGGGAAATCATGTAGGGGAAAAGAAAATAAATAAATTGCAAGGATAAATTAGGGAATTATTTGGACAGTCAACTGGTTATTCCCATCCAGTCTAAAGACTTAGACTCGGTAGAGCAACCTCATCAAGTTCGCTAACTAGCCAGTATTCTCTAAACAGAGAAACGCAATAATATAAAATATCTACAAGCAGATCTAAACATTCCGTACCTAGGCAGGTACCAGTTCCCCAACCGCAATAGAGAATGAAAAAACTCATCATTCTTGAAATTGCTGATAATCGACTAAAAAAAAAACATTCTATACGAAATCTCTTACCCAAAACAGATTGTTATTATAGCGAGTGTTCTTGCCTCGACAGGTGACAAGATCCCTGGTTCATGACCTGCTGTCACATGACCGACGTATTCCTTTCTTCTCAGCTATTTGAATCATTTTTCCTTTCCTTTTTGTTAAAACATTTATGAAAAGAATACCAAATCCGGCACGTTCTCGCGTTAACCCTCGAGACGAAAGAAGAGAAATTGAATTTACAGTAGAGTACAAGCGAAGCATTTCAGCTATATTGCAGACCGAGAATGATCTTGTATGCATGTGCTAATTTAATATAGGATAGTATCACGGGGATCTACGAGTCAAGGCTCTCGAACCTTTTCTACTGTAAAAGAAAGGCATCTAGTCCTATATCTTTGTATGTACTGTACATACAACATCAAGTCCAGCAGGGAAAACCACGAAAGAGAGACAGATGTAGGTATTATTTCCCCCACTAAGTTTACATCGTTATTCGTTCAAGCTCTTACTTAGCCCTGGGACTGAAATAACAGCTTCTCGGACATTCCACATAAAACCACTGTGTAGAAGTGCTCATTAATGTACTACCCAAAGCCACCTTTTCGGATTGTTTACTTCTATGGCTTTTTCTGGTGTAACTCGTGTACCACACAGTCTAGCAATCAACCTGCGAGCTAGTCTACGAGCACAAATTTGATTTCCTATTCAGCTGTATAGCGAAACATCAAGGTTCCAGGACTGTCGGTGCAACTCTTCCACAGAGAATGGCTATCTTATACCTTCTCCTGGAGAGGGATCAGCAGAGCGCTAGGTTCAGTTCAAGCTCTTGAGCATAAGTTCCTGGTATAGAGGGTAGGATGGAAGGAATTGCAGAAGAGATGAGAAGCATGTTGGCAGCACTGCAGAACTACACTATATACACTGCCGTATATCTCTATCAACTTCTGTTTGATTGCTCTAATTTATCGAAATCGTCTTATTTAATCTTTTCTCGTTTGATCGTCACCACTCGACTCAATTTCGCCTACATATCTTCTTTTTATTACCGTTTAACCTTCCCAGCGATGCTTACTCCACTTCGCAGCGCCGATAAATACCGCCCCAGCAATAGTCACCGTACCTCCCCAGATCTGCGCCGCCATGAAGCCTCCCTGCTCGCTTTGAATCAAAGCCCCCGCCGTCGGCGGCCCAGCCAGCGACGCAAATGCCAGCACAGAGCACACCATGCCAAACCGCGTGCCCATCTTGCTCAGATCCGCCGTCAGCGACGCCAGCGCGCCGACAAAAATCCCCTGCGTGGCGCCGGTCGCCAGGCCGTAGAGGACCGCCCACACGTACATGCCTGCGACGGAGCGGATGGCCGTCCACGCGTACAGCATGGCTCCCAGGGCCGTCGAGCAGACGATCAGCGTCGGCAGGGTGCCGAAGTACCTGTCCGCAGCCAGACCGAGCAGCGGGCGCACGGGGATGCCGACGGCGCTGATGACGACCAGGAGGTTCACGGCCGAGATGTCGGACAGTCCGATGATGGCCGTCGCGTACGTGTTGACGTAGAAGAAGCAGAAGTACAGCGCCCAGAAGATGAGGAACATGCCTACCGTGAACAGCGAGTAGGCTGGCTCGCGAAAGGCGGGCCATTCGACGAGAGGGCCTGACTTGCGCGGAGGAAGGCGAGGACGCAGGAGAAGGTTGATGATGATGGCGAAGACTAGGGCGATGAAGCCTTGGATTTGGACGGCTCGGTGGAAGCCTGTCGATAGTCAGCAACATTACTTCAGAAAGATGACAGAGTTCTTACCGAGTCTAGGCTGCAGATTCTGCACAACAAGTGGAAAGACAATACTGCCCGTTCCACTCCCCGAGGCAGCCATGCCCAGCGCCATGGCCTTCTTCTTGTCAAAATACGACCCAATGACCGCGACAGCAGGCATGTAGAGCACGCCCATACCGAGGCCAGTGCACAAGCCCTGTGCCAGAAATATCTGCCAGTATCTCCCAGCGAGGCTGGTGAAGAACGTGCCCAGGACGATCAGCGTCGAGCCCAGCAGCGCCGCGTGCTGCGCGTAGCCCGCATCCGCCAATCGACCCGAGAAGACGCCCACGAAGAACGTTAGGAAGATCTGGATGGACCCGATCCATGAGACTTGCGACGGCGGCAGGCCCAGCGTCGTCGTGTAGTGCAGCTGGTACACGCCGAACGAGGCGGAGTAGCCCCATGTTAGGGCGTTGATGAGGTGCCCGGCTAGGATCTGTAGCCAGGCGCGAAGGCCGCCGTCTGGTGGTGGCCCAGGGTCAGAGAGGGAATTCGAGTCCATAGACAATTCACGACGATTCATGGATCAGTGAGGCTCATGAAGCCTCTTTTGGGGTGGATGTCGAAGACATTCCCGGAGTGGCACTAGCATCGCGCCCTATGACAAGTAGCCCGCTGCGGGGGATTTTTTTTTTTCAAAAAAAAAAAAGAAAAAGAAGAAGAAGAAAACTTCCAGGAACAGCAATTCCCGAAGAGATATTCGCACCAGTGTAGAGCTGATCCAGTCAGATTAAGCGTCGTTGAATTTAAATTAAGTGATTGACCATATATAGATCTACACCAACAAGCTGCTGGGGTATAATTAGCATAATCTCCACTGGCCCTACGACCTCATCAACATTAGGACACTGTATTAAGAAGAACTGGGTCAGGAAACGGAATTTATATCTTGACAGGCAAAGAAACTACAAAGTAGAACACTAGACGTGGTATATCCGATTTATTCAGATACAAAAGGGACAACGGGGTATAAGCCATTAAAGACTGTTTCGAATAACATCATTTCTGCAACCGCGTAACTGAAATCCCATTTCCATCGCAATACTGGTCATGCATAGAAGATACCATGTCAATTAGCAATCTGACACCCGACATGTCCGAGATGTATATTTCTACTGGGTATCCTTCTCATTCGAACTCTCCCTGATCAACGTGTACAACGGCGCCTTGGTCGTGCCAACCCGGGGAAACGTCAGTGTAGGCGCTCGACGGACCGGCATCAGCGGGTGGGCTGTGCTCTGCTCGACCAGTGCGAACGACAGCTTCGCCTGCCCGGCTTCTGCGACCCATTGCTTGGTCTCTGCAGCCGGGTCACACAGCAAGGGATACAGCAGGTTTGTGGCGACACGCCCCGTCGCCGTCTGGTTCAGCAGCTGCCGCATCATCGCCAGCGAGAACCGCGAGAGAAGCCACATGAGCAGTGCGGCGGAGACCACGATGGCGACGACGGCCAGGATGATGACGGCCGGGATGCCGTACAGCATGTTGTATTTGATCTTCTTCGTGTACTGCGTGACAGGCGGCACGCTGCTGCTGCTGCCGTCCGTCGCGACCTGCTTCGTCCCTACCGTCGCCGTCGCCGCTATCTCGGTGAAGATCAGATTGATGATCTTGGACGCGGCCGCTGGCGTCTGCGACAGCTGCGTCCACAGCTTGTACAGCGCCAGGTTCGTCTTGCCGGAGTAGTCGGCAATGCCGGTTGTTTTGCTACTCTCGCCCATCGACTCGGTATAGGTGGAATAGAGGGCGGCTTGGAAGACCTTTGGCGCGGCCAGACTGTCGGCAGAGATGTAGACAGAGAGATCCTTGCCGGCAGGCAGCCAGAACTGCTTCGCTCGCAGCGTCCAGACGCCGTCCGCGTTCTCGTAGCGGTCGTCCACCATCCCCCACAGAGGCGAGAAGACCCCGATGGTCAGGTTGGACTTTTCCACCGCCCACAGCGGCATCGAGGCGTTGTCTGCGTACGTCTTGTCCGCGACGCTGATCACTTTCAGCTGGTCCAGCGAGGACGTCCCGTTGACGGAGAAGCCGACGGTCTTGACCGACGCGCGCAGGCCGGTGGCGCAGACGTACAGGTTCTGCGTGTAGTTGGTCTGAGGCTCGAAGATGAGCGACTCCACGCCGTCGACACGCCGGGGCGCGCTGTAGAGATAGCCGCAGCGGATGCCGACGTTGGTGATGTTGGCATAGTCCCCGACGCCCCAGCCCCGGCAGACGATGCCCGCGTCGTCGGTGAAGTTTTGCCAGGTGATGCTCATGCGCGCCTGGGCAGGCGCCGTGAGATTCAGGCCGGTGGTGTTGCTCGTCAGCCCCATGTTGAGATAGCCCCCGTCGATGTAGCTCAGCCCTATCGCATACATATCGGGATGGTAGCCGATCAGGTCCGCCCCGAGGTTGAACTGCTTGCCGAGAAACGAGTCCATCCTTCCCCCTTCCGGGGTAGGTCACATTGAGGAAGATGGCCGTCAAGACGTTGCTGAGCCATGCGCCCATGTAGGCGCGGGCTCGCAGGTCCGGGTTCTGCGTGTCGTTCCACAGGCCAGGGTAGGGGTACTCCGGCTCGAGGTTCGCAAAGCCCCCGTTGTCCACCAGGAAGATGTTCGTCAGGTTGTCCGGGCTGTCGCCCATGGAGAAGTGGAACGTCAGGTTCGTGTCGACGCACTCCGTCACCGGCTCGATCCAGGTCAGGTCCTCCTGCCAGGTGCCGCCGTAGGGGAGGCCGACAGGCACGCTGTGGTTGCGAAATCCGACGCCGCCGGCGGTCATGTCGGCGATGACGCCCTCGATGGGCACGATATCGTTACGCAGCATGAGGCTGCCCAGACTGCGGTATTCTCCGGAGGCGTACGGTCTGCCGCCATCGATCTCGCCGTGCGAGTTGTCTACGGTGACGCTCCAGGTGCGGAACTGGATGTCAAACGGTCCGGACAGGGTGGTGCCGCGGCCGGATGTCGCGCTGGAGAAGACCTCGGTGATATTGGCAGGGATGGTCGTGTTGATGATCGCATGCGGGGTGACGGGGATATTGTATTCGCCTGAGCGGTGGTCAGCCAGATGTCTACAGGCGCAGGGCTCTACACACCTGTTTCGTTCATAAACGTGAGAAAGCCCGCAAAAGCACCCGGACAGTTCATGGGCAGGAGCGCGCCACACATGCGCGAAAACCGGTTGTAGCGCGGCGGTGTGCCGTATCCAAACGTTGAGGCATCCGGGAGATACTGGAAAGGCGCCTGGGTCACATCGCCCGGCTCGATGGCATCGCGCAGGCCGAGAGGAGTGACGAAGCCGGCGATGGAGAGAAGCGCGACGGCGGCGGTCGACAGGCCGGCCAGGAAGCGGACGTGGCGGGCAACGTGGCGCGAGTTGACCGAGTCGGTCTGCAGGAGGGTAGGCCAGGGGGAGGACTGGAGTTGCTTGTCGATGACGGACCTGTTGTTCGCTTAGCAGACAGGCCAGACATATATATACATCTGGTGCGATGGAGGCAACGAAGATACCACGTCGCAGCATTATGCTCGTTGCGCAGAAAACTCACGACCAGAATGACAATGGCCAGCGGAAGAAGAATGTGCACTGGACGAGGATTAACGACGAGTACAGTTATCGAGCGAAGTTACGTACAGATGGTCGACGCCAGGGCGATCAAGCCGGCGACTTGACCTACTGTGATGGACATTTTGACGATCACGCATCACATATTAGGGTAGATTTGAATGAATATGGAACAGAAGACAATAAAGAGGGTAAGAAAGAAGAGCGTAAGAAAGGACAGCAAGAGAGAAACGAGTGAACGGTAGATAGATAGCAATCGCCTGCTGTGGTGGACGCAGCATCCAGTCTTCAATGAAGTGAACGAGGCACCGCCGTATGAAGTATCATCCAAATGGAAGGTAATACCAGCCTTGCCTTCCTGGGTACATGCATTATCGACAGTTCGACAGTCGGGGGCGATATTGCCAGAAGGAGCAGCAAACTTTTTCATTGGACAATCCCAAATACTCCTGGGTTGACGAATAACCCTTTCGGTTCCTAGATCAGTCTCTTTCAGCTGGCAGAGGATTGCAATGGCTGGAAATCCCATCTTGGCGCAGTCTGGATGCAATCTCGACAGAGCATCGTGAGGTTTAAGTGACGTTTTCAGTTGTTGGCCTTTCTTGGCGTGCAGATACGAGGAGGAATGCACATCACGCAGCCGTTGGGCGAAAATCGAAGAATAAAAAGGATTAGCATGTCTGACAGTGCCTTTTCGGGCAGTTGAAGACTCTGAAAAGGTCATATGCCTGGAAACGCAATGAGTCACTGCTCCTCCGCAATACGAGCGAGCTCCACACTACATCCCGGAATACGAGGTGCCAAACTTTAGTCGAGGATGAGGCTCTCCAGGCCATCTCTGCTTGGCCAGGCGATGCAGATTAAGTTAGCCTTTGCAGCTGAACCCCTGAACCAGGAATTGCTTCAATTTGCTTCAATTCGATGACTTTTAGTGGTGTTGTTGATATGTGTTGCTGTGAGGTTTCATCCGGCTAACTTCATATAGAAGCTGAAAAAAAAATCATATCAGACGTGGTGTTTTTTTTTCCCCTATACCATCAGCACTCTTTACTGGCTTGAAATCCGTCTTTGGCCTTGGCTGTCCTATTATCACCTACTCCTCTGTCTATATCGTCACTCAGACATTCTCTGTCCAACTCGATTCGCTCTTTATATCGACATTGCCAGCCCTAATTCCATTCTCTGTATATACCACACAACATGATTTACTCCACCATCGCCTCGTTCTCAACCGCCACCTTGCTCGTCTTGTCCTGCAATCTCCTGTCCACTGTCCACGCCCAACTCGTCACTCCAGCGCCCAGTGCAGACGACTACCTCGCTGCAGTGAAGCGCGACAACTTTCGCCGCCAGTCCCTCCTCGACGGGCTCGCCTGCTTCACCATCGCTCCCGGATGCACGCAGCAGCTGACCCTCTTCGACGCCTGCCAGGCCCAGTACAGCTCCGGCCCCAAAAACCTGTACTGCCTCTGCACAACGGGCTACTACTCGGCCGTCACGGAATGCGACAAGTGCTCCGTCAGTGTCGGCGCCATGGCGTCTAGCGATCTCAGTTCCGAAATCGACCTTTACAGCATGGAGTGCGCCGAGTGGTACAGCAGCTTTGGCACGCCCAATGAGTCGGAGAGCAAGACGACCAGCGTCTCTCCTGCTTTGACTGAGGCGACCGCTACGGCGACTCCAAAAGGTGCGGCTCGATCGTCCGCGTCTCCGACTGAGCCGACATTTTCTCCAGCGGCGGCGACAGCTACCACGGCTACCACGCCCACAGAGCCTTTTGGCGGTCTTGTTGGCGAGCCGACGACGGCGGCTGCATCGCCGGCAAAGACTTCGAAAAGCGCTGCCAGCTCTAGTCGTGTGACGGAAGGAATAGTCCTTCCGGTCTTGCTTGCAATTGGAGGGTTTCTTGGGATTGGAATGGTGAATTGATCAATCGATTGATATGAGCATCCGTGGAAAGGAAACAGAATTGTATTTCCTTTAACGCTTTCCAATGCAAGGTAAGTATGGTCAGCCTGGCCAGCTGTCATCATACTAGGACTGCACAGGTGATAGGTTTTGTGGCCCAGTTTATGAAACTGAATGCTATTCAACAACTATGTATTGTAGAAGTGTATTTGATAGTAAATTCTGGGATGTATTTTATGACTGCGTTACATTAACGGCTTAATTCCTCTAGAGTTGGCGTGATGTCGGCTGCTTTATATATAATCTAGTCTACTATGATCATCTGTCGAACTCGACGCTTACCCTTCATATTGACCGTTGCAAGAAGGTCAATCTCCCCGTCACGGATACACGTATTCTCAGCGGATAATAATTAATATCTAATCAAGATCCATATAAATGTCTATTCGTACTCATCCAAGTGATATGCAACCAGCCAATCAGAAGCGGCCCTGAGCTAGCTTAAAGCTCACCGCATCGACACCGCAACTCGTCGACCAAGACGTTGAGAACATCATGACCGAGCATGTCTCGACCGGACGGCGGTCGCATCGAAAGTCGCGAACGGGCTGTCTGCAGTGTAAAAGGCGCAAGGTCAAAGTAGGTCGATGATGAATCGGTTTCTGGTTTCTCGTTTCACGTGATGCTGTACATCTAGTCTCCATCTACACGTACAGTACATGTCGTACATCACATCTACAACTACGTCTGGCCGTGTCATCCAGCTGATCAGTTTCAGTGCGACGAGACCAAACCCGTCTGCAAGAACTGCATCCGCCATGCCACCGCTGCACAGTGTTCGTTTGAGCCCGTGTCGGCGTCCAGGAGTTCGAGCCTCTCGACCCATCGAGACGACGTCTCCAGCACGACTTCTCCTCAGACGTCGTCGGATTTTGCTCCTACCAGCACAGCTACGACTGCTGCTCTGCGACCGCGTGGGCCGCCCCCCGAGCTAGCCCTGCTCGACCTCGAGCTGCTGCATCACTATTCCACCTCGACCAGCTACACGCTGTCGCGCCATCCGGCCCTGCAGACCGTGTGGCGCGTCCGGGCCCCCCAGATCGGCTTCTCGTCCGACTTTGTCCTGCGGGGCATCCTGGCCATTGCGGCGTTGCATATCGCCCATCTCCGGCCCCTCGACAAGGAGATCTATGTCTCGCAGGCGCAGGTCCACCATGAGGCCGCCCTGCAGACCGTCGCGCCCATCCTGCCCGCCGTCATGGACGAGAACTGCACCGCGCTGCTGCTCTTCTCGTCGCTGACGTGCTTCTTCTCGTGCGCAAGGCCGCGCAAACCGGGCGATCTGCTGCTGGTCGAAGGCGGCCAGCTGAGCGAATGGCTCGTCTTCTTCCGCGCGACGCGGACCATCCTGCACTACGACAATGCTGCGCTGCGACAGGGCCCCATGGCGCCCATGTTCATCAACGGCGACCGCTCTGTGCAGCTGCGCGAGGCCCGCGCCAGCGAAGGGCAGATCTACGTCCGGGAGCTGAAGCAGCTGATCCAGGAGGACGTCGAGGATCCGGCCGAGGTGGCCATCTACTTCGCCGCGCTCGACGAGCTGAGCAAGTCGTTTGGCGTCGTCATGGACCCCGAGGGCGGCCGCTGCGAGCCGTCCGACGTCTTTGTCTGGCTGATGCAGGTGTCGGACGAGTTTCTGGCGCGGCTGCGCGAGTCGAGGCCCGTCGCGCTCGTCGTCTTTGCCTATTTCTGCGTCATCATCCGCCGGCTGGAATGGGCGTGGTGGCTGTCCGGCTGCAGCGTCCATCTCATGGCGGGACTGTATCAGCTGCTCGATAACAAGTATCGCGTGTGGCTGCAGTGGCCGATGGAGCAGATTGGATGGGTTCCGCAGGCTGCTAATTAGCTATCTTATGGGTATACATCGGATGGGTTATGTACATTTTTCGGTGAACAATGTTTTTTTTTCAATTCCCTCTCGTTCAGTCTCATTGTATAAAATGTCGACAAACTGGATTCAAATCAAAGAAAGTAACGACCTACTTGCATGTGAATACAAAACCAGCAACAGCAACAGTAGTCAGACATGTGAATGAGAAAAACAGGATCATTCACTCCTGCAGGCACAATCAGAGGATTGAACCAATTAAAGAACAGTCACCGGAGGTATTTATTCACTTACGCGCTGCCTGATCTCAAACGGGCCCTTCCGGCTATAAATACATTCCCTTCCTCCCTCCTTTTCCCTCCCTCTTTCAACTACCACAACTCGCCACACTTCTCCAAACAATTTCTGCAATATCTGCAATTTATATCATACTTCTTCTTCCACTTTATATTATATACTCTTACCGGCCAGGAGAGTGAGATGGCATGAAGATGCTTGCTTTCTCTATCTGAGAGGCAGAGGCAGCGTTTATATGTCAGGCCAGGCGGCCTACCTACCCGCAGGCAGTGACTGCCAGCATATAACTTACTCTTCTATAATTATTTCTATTTCCTCATGTCGCGAGAGAACAGCGCAATACTCTCCAGCGACTGTTACTCAGTATGCATACCCTATGAGATGGGCGACTGAAGAGACCCACAAACCTCTCCAGTACAAGACAATCTCCTACCTGGCTGAGCGTTTGCGGGTTGAGGGTGCAGTTTTACGATCCGATCTACAGACAGTATCTGTCTGCTTCTACGAATCTCGCTACCATGCCGACAAAAACGCTCGGAGAACTGCCTTGCAGCTATGTCGAATCGACAATGTGACAGGCGATGAGGAGGAGATCACAGTTGGTCCAGATAGTGGTGGAACTGAGGAAGTCTCCGATGAGGAGGACATGGAGGATGCAGAGGAGGATAGGTTGAATTCCAACAGTTTGTTTATTTATCATTGCTGACCTTGGCAGAGTAGGGATTTATCCTATACTGTCTTGTGACCAGGTACCCGGTTTGGGAGACTTTCAAAATCAGGTTCTCCCGACGGCAATCCTGCTTACAATATATTCGACAGCTTGAAGATTGTCCGACGCATGGGTCTACATTATGTCCAAAACTATTCGTTCCAACACGTTGGAGTCTGGTCTATAGACCGCGACACGAAGCTATCACGAGTCCAACTGTTTCGATTCCCCAAATGCCATTTTAAATCATGTCTTGCAAAGGGGAATCTGCGGCACACACCATGTCTGCGTCCGAAACGCAATGATAGGATATGAAATCTTCACGTCCAGTTCTCAGCCAGTCCCATTCACTCGATACGGAGAACAAGTTTTGTCCCGCAAAATGGCGTCAGCCTCATCATGTCAGTGAGCTGAAGCCAGCATCGACATTCAACAGCAGAGGCCCATAGTGGTGTCTCTTTGTGATCACGCGACAAGACTTTACATAGATACGAGTGAGAGAGTCCCAGTCGCTTACAGAAATCAACAGCCGTCATAAAACGAAACTGTTGACTTTGTCGACTCTTGGATATCTGGACATTTCACCATCCCAACGCAAGAAGCAACAGCGCGAAAATTGCTATAAGTGCTTTATTGATTAAAGATCTTTAAGAGCGTTCGATTTTTCCTTCTTTTTTTTTAACTTTTTTATATAAAAAAAAGGATGGAATCCGCGTGGTTGGTCTATGCCAACTCGTACGAACTTGTCATCTGCCGATCCAGAGGGTCGATCTCCAACCATGGCTGTCCTTAGAGAGTTATTTACCCAGAAGATCAAGGCAGCAGAGTTGATCTTAACACCTGCCATACACAAAACCAGCATGTTGAAGCCCAGAAAAGGAAATGTTGGCAGTCACTGCCTAACGCTAGGTAGGCTGCCTGGCCTTCCAACATGTCCCACAGGTATAAAAAGGATTCTCTCTGCCTCTCAGATAGAGAAATCAAGCATCTTCATGCCACCTCACTACCCTGGCCGCTGAGAGGAAGTCTATTGTCACATCTCTTGCAGGTTATCCTCCAGGCTCTCCACTCCGTCCAGGACCCTCTTGTCATGGTGTAAGCGAAATTGAGCGCTTCACGAAGAGCTTCAAACACAGCACGCGACAAGAAAGGCATGCAATCGACGATGAAATCGGGTGCTCAGAGGGAGACCCAATCTCGGTTGGGTGGGCATTGGCCATCAAGTCATGAGCCAGGGATTGTCTATCCTTTCTTCTCTCCAAATCCAACTGGCTGGTGATTTCCGGACTACTACCCACCGATCGGAGCGATAACCATCGCTTCGGGGACAGAGGCGAGCCCTCCAGTTCCCCTCGCCTCCACTAGCAATCGGCTTTGACGCTGCTTGACCCTTACTTCAGTAGCCATCCCACGAAGTGCTTGTCGAGTCATAGTTACTTCTGCCGTTTACCCGCGCTTGGTTGAATTTCTTCACTTTGGCATTCAGAGCACCGGGCAGAAATCACATAGCGTAAACACCGTTTTCTGGCCATCGCAATGCTATGTTTTAATTAGACAGTCAGATTGCCCTTGTGCGTACCAGTTCTAAGTTGGTCGTTGAGCTCTATACGGACAACACCCAGACCTCTCACATCTTCGCGCGCTTGGCTGTAAATGCAGAGAAGCAGTTTTTATTCAGCTTCCCTATGGATGTCACATACCTGGAAAAGCGGGCCAATTGTTGGAGACTCTGTACGACCTTAATTAAACAATCACCACGTTGAGTGGTATATTACGGTCCATAATTTTCTCATCTCGGTTTTGTTCGCACGCACGCAGATCATGCTGTCGACGTCAAAGATGACCTCATACTCAAGCGCACGACAGACGAAACAAGCCTGCCAAGGGAACTCAGCTGCGAAAATGCTGTCTGAGGAGTACCAATTTTAATGGATCTCCTCAATCTGGCGAGAGTACGACTGGCTCTTCCCAGGACCAACTATGCGCAATAATTTGGCCATATCAGCTTCCATTCGAATCGCTGTTCAATCTACGACCTGTCAGCCAGCTTCCGGGGACTTCTACTTCGACATTGACGACATAGATGGTTTTAATACATCAGCATTGGGACTAAGAACGGAAGCACTGTCAAGCGGAGAAACATCGACTTCATCCACTCTCTTTCAAGACGTTCATGTCTATCAAATATATTCTGCATAGCGATTTGTTAATCTCGTGGCCCGTTTCGGAAAAAGATCTTGACGTTGGGTCGCTACGCCACTGGCTCATTGGAACAACCTATACCGAGATATCACTAACCTACCATCTATTTAGTCCACCCAAGCTATTGCTTCTCTTGACGTTTGAAAGATGCTATTGTCGAGCAATAACGAGCGCAATTTCGTTGTGACATTTTTTTGCAAAGCTTCGGAATCGCCAATTAACTGCATCAGACGATGCCCTTCAGAATCACCTTGTTTCCTTCTTGCGAACGAACATCCTCCTCCTCAGTCGTGATATTTCAGTCGTGGTACTTGATGACAAGGTCACCTGACCTCTGCCCTGCCAATTTCCCAGCAGACGTTCGGGTGAATATTATTTTACAAAATCTCTTCCAGCTTACGTGCCCGGATATTCAAGGTCTCAAACAGAGGAACATATATATTCATACGTTCGCTACTTTTACTTCAAAACAAAGCTGCAGTATAATCCGGATGCACGTCTCCTGGACCCCAATCAGATAAAGCTTGGGATTTTGTCAACTCAGTTAACTAATGAATTCTCAAATTCACCTCTCGCCGCTCGAAGACTTGCCCCCGCCATGCCGTCTGCGCAGGAGAGCCCAACTTCGACAAAGTCACCAGGAAAGAGGCCTCTTGTGAGGAATCTACCACATCACCAAAGAAGCAGAAGCTGTGCGATGAAGCAACAACGCAAAAATGTTAGTTTCCTTCCGCTCATATTAGGATTAGGCTGACGAAATTTAGTACTACGAAAGGGACGATTGGATGTGCGTCATTACCGAACTTGGAGAACCATGCCTCACCCCTCGACTCGGGGGAACTTAGTCCAAGACACTTCATACCACTTCACCTCCTACCTCTAAGAACGCGTCCTGACTCTTATTTGCCTTCCAATTTGCTGTATAAAGGTCCCAGAGACCTCACCATCGCTTTTCCCCTTGCGCAGCTCCCATTTAGTGGCACATTCTCTGGCAAGTGCTCACAGGAATACGTTACGTATGGTCTGGAGCCAGCTGAATCACTTTTGGGAGCCGAAGCCGAACGGGCGACGGAACCATCCGGACGCCTTCCTCACCGATCTCGAGTCGGCCAAGAAGTATCTTCGCGACACGGCATCGACCTCCTACTATTCCTCGGGGACGGCGGCGATGCTTCCAGAGGACAAGGGCGGGGTGGTGAATCCGAAGCTGGTGGTGTATGGCAACACGAATCTGCGGGTTGTCGATGCGAGCATCTTCCCGTTGATTTCGCGCGGCAACACGATGACGACGGTGTATGCTGTGGCTGAGCGAGCGGCGGACCTCATTAAAGCAGATGCATAGCGGTACTCCACTGATAGGATCTCCTAGAGACTCTGAGATATGTAATCGCTACGGCTTCCGAAATGGGAGGATGCTGGATGGGTTGTTTGTAGATACTCGCGGTAGAGAGACGTCAACGCAAGATGCTCCCATGTTGTTTCTGATGAGTCGATAATGACCCCATCTTCACACGGAATAACTGTGACTAGTGGAGAAACGTCACAGAACATCTATCTTTTAGTGATTGCTCACTCGTAGGATTGTTATACCGTCCAGACATACCAAGGATGGAGCCTTGTCCAATGGCACGAGAAATATTCCGCGAAGGACGTGTGCGTATGCTGCTTGCAATGGAAAACGGGATAATAAGGGATTCGCATGAAAGTAGCCACACAGCAAGGCCTTCCAAGATTCTAGTTCCGCAAATATAGCGTGCTTGATATTCTGAGAGAGCAACTTCCTGGCGTTCAAGATGGCAGGACAAGCGTTCGTTTTCCAAATCAAAGCAGAACACCCAATTCGGTCGTCCTCATTGAGCCTCGTTCGATAGCAAACGCTCTCACAGTCGCTGTCCCAGTCGCAGACACAACTCAGGGGGAGTTGTGTTAGCCTAGCTTGCGGTTCTAGCATCGACTCCGCCTCGAATCATTGTAGAAGAGTAATCGTAATCGGGAGCAAGGGAACTAGCCCGAGCCAGCAGCGTAGGACGAGGACAGAATGCTGCTTCTCGTTTGGAGAAAGTGAATGAAAGGAGAAAAAGTCTCTAGAGATGAAATGAGGTTGGAACGGAAGTCTTACGTCGAATCGGGCTAGCGCGTGCTGGCTGCGCGTCAACGTCACTGCAGTTTCCCTCCACCAACGACCTGCGTAAATATCAAGGAAGGACGGCGTGGATTTGTCTGGTACAAAAGTTGGTATTTCACACCGATCCAGATGAATCACGTCACTCAGATCCTCCGTTATCGCGCCGCAAGGGCGACCAGGCGAACGAATTCCGAAAGGAGTAATCTCATGAAGCTACCACCAGAACTGCTGCTGATGATTGTCGAGTCTTTATCACCAGTCGATATAGCCTGCTTGGCACTCTGCAATCATGCCCTGCTGCGAACGATTGGAACGACATCCCTGTCTCTCTCCAGTCAAGACCATGAAAGACATCGCGAACTACTCCTCACGAGACTGGCGCGAGATCTCCCTCGCTATTACTTCTGCTACTCGTGCTCTCATCTGCATCCGTGGGAAAAAGTTGGTCCTCCAGGTCCAGCTTTCCAGCCGCGGACACGCTTGCGTTGCCGGGATAGAGATGCTGGGCCAAGCCTCTGGCGGTGTCTGCACACGCACGAATCGTTATCCTGGTACTGGTTTTGTTTCGTCCATCTGCAGCTAGCCATGAAAAGACACTATTATGGGCCCGGACATGGGCCCTCGACGGAGTCGTTGTCCTTTACTGAAGTGCAAGCATCCGATGAGGCCACGACACTGCTGTCAGTCGAAGCGCGGATCTGCCCAGCGCCAGCCAGTTTATGTCTGCGAATCCAGCAGTGGGTAGTGATGAGCTCCGTCAAGGCCGATACGATACTTTCCAAAACACCGTCGACTCTGATATGTGGTCACATTGGATCTGGTCATACTGTGGTATCTCGAATCGTTGAGTCCCGATCACCCGAGATCTTCAAATGTCGCTACTGCAACATCGACTACCAACTCGAAATTAAGGAGTATCCTGATGACAGATCGGCCTTGGTTATTACCAAATGGCTGGATCTAGGATCAGGGTTGACGCCGAATGATCCACGGTGGAGAGTCCATATTGGAATGGGCAGACACGCAGAACTCGGTGCTTCCAGTGAGGCTGGCGATGTTCGTCGGCGGTTTGAAAACGGGCAGGGGTTATCACAGGATGCTCTCTCTTGCCAGAATGAGTCCTACGTGATGACGCCAAACGACCGGAGCGGAATTTTAGATTGTTGGGGGAAGGACATTTGGATTCAACAGGCTGGAAAACGTCTGACTCAAAGCTCTGACGAGCCATATACAACATTACTACGGAAGATGTGCAAGGTCATCTTGTTTTTGTTTCTTTGCTTCGCATATCCGAAACTGATACTGTGGTGGGTAGTGTTGCTCAGCAGGTTGTAGTTAGGCAGGTCCCAGTCCTATACCAATTAAGTTCTCCCTTGAGCAATTAGGTTCCTTCCATACAATCTGCTGCCATGTCCTCTGACGGTCTTCTGTGTGATAGCATGGCTCTGCAGTTGCAAACTACAGGCTGCACCGAGTGATCGTGTATACTTGCCACCCTGTTACGGAAGGAGCGCGATGGACAGCCACAGCGACGGGCAGGGGCATATGGATAGAATCTGCAGATGTTGCTTCTTGTCCTTATACACCGTTTTTCTTCTCGCTTTCAGTCCTTCTCTCTTCTCCTCTTTTCCTCTCCACTTCGGACCTGCACACTGCTTCCTGACGAAACCAACCCCACGTGAGGAAATCTGCACGGCCTAGCTCTCGGTGATACCTTTGATGTCAAGCCTAGATCTGGAGACGCTGTCAATCTCGCCTGGCATATAACTAGCTAGCCCGATAGGAGTCTTTGATCAGGGGCTTCGATAGCGTTGAGAAATTGATTCAATCTATTATTGTCAGGGCTCTCCGCGAGAGGTTATACGTCAACTGCAACAGCTTGAATGAATGCATCCTTGCTACACGCGCAAAATATACTGAGCAAAGCGCGATACATATTTAAACTGGTGATTGCACCTACGGCAGTCGTCAACAGGGGAGCTTTTCATATTTTTAGCTATCGGTGCAACTGCCGTCACCCAGTTCTCTCTCTACAGCGGAAACACCAGTTTCTAGCCAATATAATAACCTTTAATAGAAGTTTTGCAAAACTCGTGATTTATATCCACAACGGTGTGAGTTAGATACTGTCGAATGTAAGCGAATATCACCAAAACGTTTGGATTTGTTCAAATTGTTGAAGTTGCTGGCTGTCGCAGTTCTCCTGGCTATTCAATAAATCAATCAACACTTTGTTTTTTTTTCTCCTTGGAGAATCTCAATATGCGCGTTATTGCGTTATAATTTTTTTAAACTTTTGCTAGGCCAACCCAAAAAAAAAACAACGGATTAAATAATTACTCGACGAGAAATTTAACAGTGTGTGTACACATATAGATTTTAATATTTGCCAATGCGGCTTACTAGGCATGCATGTCCCGTTTTTCTAAAAGAGGAAAGAAAAAAAGCATCCGATATTCGCTTTATGTCAAAAGCATGAAACCCTTTCGTTTTATGGCTTTGCGTTGACTTTATGTTATTTTTGTATTTTTGTATTTTTATTTTTTATTTTTTATCTAGCTGATTTGTATTTCTACAGATTTCATGGAATGTGTATTTGATTGCTAGCTGGAATTTTGAGACTTTGTCTGCATTCAAATAAGATTGAATTTCGCGTATATACACACACTAAGTAGATGAAGCAAGCATATACACTGAAGAAATATGCGAGGGAGTGTTGAGCAAGCATAGCATGGCATAGCATAGCAACTTTTGGTCTTCTCTCTTTTACTTCACTTCTTGGCAAATTTGTCGTCTCCATTCTCCACCTCCTTATAGTCCCCCTTCTTATTTCATTCAGAACGGCGGATTGGCATTCGTAAGCAGCTGCTCAAAGTACGCCTGTAACACACATAATTAGCATACGCTCCAATGTACAGTACATCTCTGCTTGCAACTTACCTGGAACCAAGTTCCCGCCTCCGGAGCCGGCTGCAGCGCATCGCTCAGCCCGCAGTGGTAGTCGTATCGCGGAGAGGTCGTGTTAGACGTGCCATCGCTCTCGCCACCCGGCTTGACCCAGACGAAGGCGTCCTCGAGAGGGTTGCCAGTGTCAGTCGTCGGGCGGACGCCGAACCCGGTGCCGATGACGTTGCACCAGTCGCCCCATTGGTTCTGCTTGGTGGGTTGGACGCCGTTGCGGGCTGCAGAACAGGTCAGATTTGGGTACGTCCAGTCGAGGTCTGGGTGTGGTGAGACTCACATGTATCAGTGATAAAGTACGCATTAAACCCCTGGCTCTGAAGCAGCGGCGCAAGGGCATTCACATAGTCCTCCTCGTCGCAGTTGGGGTCGCCCTGCGTGTACGACGGGCACGGGCTGATCGTCCAGGCGTTGTAGTTGGCGACGTTGGTCGCGAGACCGCGCACCGAGGCCGGCGACGAGGCGTTCTTGTAGACCTCTGCAAACAGCTGCGCAGCGGGTTGGAGGTTTGCTGACCAGCCTAGCCATCCGGCGTGTCCTGAAAGACAATCAGTTCTGTCTTTTATTCCCTGGTATGTGAGGGAAGCTCACCAGCATCAAGATACATGGCCACATTCGGCAGGTTGAGCTGCGTGATGGCGTAGTTGATGCATTCGAGATAGGCGCCCTGGGCATTCGCGCATTTCGCCACGTTCAGGTTGGTGACCAGGTTGGCCAGGCTGTCGGGTTCTGCGGCAGTCAGTATTGACAAAAAAAATTGATAAATATCACTAGCGTACTAACCAATGATCAGGATGGTGTGCACATCCGAATACGTCGTCAGCTGCTCGCGGATCGAGTCGATGTATTGCTTGTACAGGGCAACGCCGTTGTTGGCGATGGAGAACTCGCCATTGCTCGCTGCCGCCGCGCAGTCGCGGTCAGGTAGGTCGTAAACGACGAAGATGCCTGCAATCGGAGGGTCTGCGCCGGCCGCATTCTGGGACTGGATGTCTTTCAGATACTCGCCCATGTTGGGCACTTTGGCCGCTTGATCGCTGTGACAATATCAGTCTCTGCAAGTCCCAAACAGGGTGGAATATCACCCACAGCCAGACAAAAGACGGCACCTTGGCCACCTCGCTCGCCTTGGGAACCAGCTCGCTGCTTAGCGACGGGATGGCCAGGCTAATCACCTCAGAGGCATAGTACGGGTTGGCGTAGAGCTGGTATCCGACAAAGGGGTTGCCGGACGCAGACGCGGTGATGGAGGGCGATGTCGCCGATCCAGTGCCTGTGGTCGTCGCTGACGTCGGAGGAGGGGTCGTTGGCGCAGTCGACGAGGGCTTTGTCGTTGTCGTCAACGTGGTAGGAGTGGCCGTTGCAGGGACGCATTGTGCGTAGTCTACGCAGTTAGCTGAGCTCGACAGCAGTAGAGAACAGACGTACAAGAATTGATGGTGCTGCACGTCGCTCCTGCAGCACAATCCGTCGCTCCAGTCCACGAATTCCCTCCGCCTGAAGCTGTCAGACCAATTCATCAGACAGACGTTCGAGGAGCTGCTCACATTGTCCCCAGAGGGATTGTTGCGCGTCCGCTGCGCCGAGAAGCAGCGCTGCCGGTGCAAGAGCAAGCAGATTTCGCATCTTTGATTCTCTCTGAAATTGATATTATGATGTCTGTTCTTGACGGTCAAGCAGGCTGCAGATTGAAGCTGTTCTGCAGGGTTATTGGCCATATTTATAATGGATGATGGAGCTGTCTCGCGGAGTGTCGGAGCTGCTAGTAGCTTTCATCTAACTTGGATCGAGCTTTGTGGAAACGACATGGTCTGGAACTAAGCTATGGATTGAAGCTTGCAGTTCGATCACGCCTACCGAATCGTCTCTCTTTGCACATTTCTGCCCGATTTCGATGACAATGGGAATGTCGGATTTCTTCAATTGCTACTGCTGGGTACATTAGAGTTTCCTAGTTGAACTATCCTAATATATTCGTGCTTTACATCGACCTGAGGTAGCTGACGCTGAGCATATTGATCCCTATTCTATATGACTAGAACATCTACGCGAGAAACAACATACAATCCAATTGCCTAATCTTCGACTATCTCAAGGACACCATTTCATCCCACTGCCAGGAACATCAATGGCATGTGAAGACCATAAGAACCAATCCTCACATGACATAGGCTAATTATTAGATGATTCCCCTATTCCCGTATCTAGCTAAACAATCCACTAACTAGGCACAGGCACCGTTGCATCAGCATCCCCTAACATGCGGGGTCGCAGGCTACTTAAATTTAACTAAATTAAACTACTGCGGAATGTCGGATACACCTGCATGCTTTCGTTCCTAGCTTAATTAAGCTTGCTTGCTGGCAAGTGCAGTAATTGCCGATGATCCTTCTGGATAATCCCCACGGGGAATGTCCGACTCCGGTGAGCAGAAGGTTTCGTATTAATTATTAGTATTTGGTAGTGGGATTTACAGGCTAGTGAAATAGCGAATAGGCAACTTGATATCTCGTCAGATATGAGGATATGACGCTACATACAGAGCTTGTATTAGGGATTGTGTAGTCGTACTTGCTAGACACCTTGGTACCTTGCACAGTACTACTGTGCTGTATGTGAGGGGTCACCGGATAAATGGAAGCATGCCTAGAACCTGGACCAAGCCATTGATTGAATCAGTCTACCTGTCCTTGTTCCTAGCCCCTGAATGCGGGGTTAGTAGGATAGGTTCATTTCGTCATTTCAGAAACAGTGCACTAAAACAAACAAAACGATTGGTCAATTCGTGCAGCTCTTGCTGTGCTGTCATTCAATAAACAATTGTCTGCAGGCTATGCCAGTATTGCTCAGCTGCATAACAAGGACCAATTGCAATGGCCACAGTATCATGTGCTATATTTTAGATGATTCTCTATGAGTTTGGTTTGTACTGACAAAACACAAGAGAGCCTGCCTCAGGAACATTCCACTGAGCATCTCCTCCTGAGATGTAGCAAATCTAGTTCAGACGAGACACTTCCTCAATCTAGCCTTGAGATGCGGCCCCCGATATTCAGGCAGAAAGCAGTCCCGCCACACAAGCTTCTCAGGACTATAAACAAACGTCAGGTCAGTCGTAATCGATTGAAAACGGACCACTCACCTCGACGGATCAAGCTCGATATCGAATTTGCGGAATACATGCGCAAAGCAGATGTACAGTTCCGCCCACGCCAGACTAGACATCAGTCAGTCTTCTCACAATTGATCAATCAACTTGTCTAAGGACACGAACTTCACACCGAGACAGCTTCGAGGCCCGCGCGAGAACGCGACTAGCCACTTGTCTAGATCCTTCCCTTTTGCGTCGAGCCATCTCTCCGGATTGAAAGCGTCTGGGTTCTCGAATATGGCCGGATTGCGGTGGACGAAATGGCTGCTCATTTGTACTACGGTCTGTAGGTGACGTTAACAGATGCGAACGGCGAACGGGTTCTAGATGCGAATGGGTTCGAGGGCTATTTTTACTTACTCCTCCCGGGATGAATGTCTGCGAAATAGTCGCCCCTGGTGCAGGCACAACTCTCGGCAGCGGAGATGCAACGCCAGGACTTACTCGAAGCGATTCTTTGATGACGGCAGTCTGGCAACACAGTCAGCTCAAATTCACCACCAGAAAAAGAGAAATAGACAGAGAGAGCTACGAGATACGGCATCTTTTCCAGCTCACTCAAACCCGGCTGCTTTTCCAAGTCCGGCCATGCTCGAAGCAGCTCCTCTTTCAGCTTCCGGTAGATCTCCGGCAACGAGAGAATATAGAACGTGCCGTGCATAAGCGTCGTCCCCGTTGTGTCGGCCCCGCCAAAAAGCAGTGCCTGCGCTTCCTCGTACAGGCTTTCGGAGCTCGGAGCAGTGCCACTGCGGTATGCCTCTGGGCGGAGCAGCTCGTGGTAAATCGTTGTCGAATGAGGGAGCTTCTTGAGATTCTCCGGGTTGCTGGTTAATTCGCTGATCTGCTTTTTCAAGAGCTGTACCAGTCAGTACGCTGTCCAAAGTCAGAGCATCGAGGATTTATTACCTGCTGCAGGTCAACTAGACCCGCAGTCGCAGGACTGACAATCTTGGAAATCCTCGGCGGACAGTTCATGATCATCCCTTTGTACAGAGACGAGTGCTTGAAACAGACAAAGACAGGCAGCGATGCCTCCATGGCGAGAATGATGGGCGCCTCGTGGTTAGGAGCGTTGATTGCGTTGACGGAGTTGCCAAAGCACAGGTCTCATACCAACAACTGTCAGCTGCGAATTCTGTCTATAGGTCAGACTTCTCACAAGTAATGACATCCATGGACATGCATCTAAAAGCGTAGAAGAGATCGACAGGCTCATTGCCACGTCTTTCGAACGATTTGCAGAGGTCGACGACCTTCCACATTAGTAACATGTCCTATACGGTGCAAAGGGGATAGGGATAAGGATAAGATAACTACCTTCTCCACGATGAGTCCCTGGACATCGGCAATCGCTTTCTTCGAAAACATCTTCGTGAGAACATCCTTCCTTTCCTTGGCCTCCTTGTAGGTCAGGAAGCCAAAGGAGGAGCGATCCTCGCCAAAGCTGTGGTAGACGCTTTCTTCCTTGTCCCAGCGATTGTTCGAATTGAATATTTCTAGATAGGCTGAAGGATTGGCGAAATGCAGCTGCGCAGGTCAGAAGTATGTACATACATCGGACAACAGCTGCTGGGCTCGACGACACACCTCATTAGGCCCAACACGGACAATGTCCCCTGTACATCTCCTGTCAGGAGTCGGTGGAATCTATATTCATCCCGGCTTACCGTATTTTGCATGAAGCTTCTCCAGGGTATGCACAAAGGAGCTTTGGGCAACGCAATCGATATAGGCGCGATACAGAGGGCTGATGGCGGCAATGCGCGGTCCTGGAAACCTGGCCAGAGGATGCCAGACGCAGTTTTGCAGCATTCGATACAAAATCCATGCTGCGAACCCCGCCACGGCCAGCAGGATCAGCCCGAGCTTCTCGATACCAACGGTCTGCAGCATGGTGAGCAGGTAACGCTGTGGCAATGGGATATTTTTCTCGACTTTGCCAGCGACGTAGCAGAAGAGGGGATCGGTGATAGATGCATTTGGCTAACATTTGAGCTGCCATGATTGGTTTGCAGTGCAGACGATCATTTCCTCGGCGGGACTAACAAGATGCAGAGAGACAAAGATACTGTATCAGCATTGAATGAGGTGGGTTTGTCTTCGCAGCTAGATGTACTGTACGGAGCATGAAGAGTGCAGTTAATTCATGGTTCTACGGATTACCTGGATATCAATCCAGGCAATTCGATGGTATCAATATGTCATTCCTCATTCTTGTCTGCTAGACATGGTAAGATTTACTGTTATCTGATAACGCGGAATATGCGGGGATGGCGTATTTTATTTTTAGGCTAGGCATCAACAAAGTGCAGGCTACATCTTGTGCAACCAGTTCTGACTGACAATTTCTTCAACAATGAATTTTCTAGCAAAGAGGAAAGATCAAAATGCTGCTCTTGGCCGTTTTCCTCACCTTTCTGGCGCTGTGGTGGACCGCGCAGCCATGCAACACCGCGCAGGTCCCTCTTATCAATCACAGCAGCCAGCCATCGCCTCTCAACGACTTCGAAAAGGTCGTCAATTCGACGCTGGACCATTTCCGGACGCCGGGGCTGGCGATAGCAGTGGTCCGGGGGAATGAGACATTTGTCAAGGTCAGTTCGTCTGTCGCCTCAGCAATGCCTGTCCTACTGACGACGACAGGGCTATGGGGTCGCTGACTTGTCCACTCTCCAACCTGTCACCGAACACACGCACTTCGTCGTCGGCAGCACCACCAAAGCCTTCACCGCGGCAGCCATCTCGCTCCTCGTCGACGACAATGACAACTTCCCTCAGATCCAGTGGGATACACCGGTCCACAGCATCATCCCCGACGACTTCGTGCTGTCCGACGACTGGTCGACCGCCCATGTCACGATCGAGGATGCCCTCTCGCATCGCTCCGGCCTGCCGCGTCACGACTACGCCTGGCATTTCTCCAACGTCTCGATCGTCCAGGCTGTTCGAAAAATGCGCCATCTGCCTCTGACGGCGCCCATCCGCACCAGGTGGCAGTACTGCAACCTAATGTTCGTGGCCATGGCGCATCTGCTCGAGACAGTGACGGGCCAGTATCTCGGCGACTTCCTCCGCGAGCGCATCTGGAGGCCCCTGGGGATGGAGGAGACCTTCATGTCGATCCCGGAGGCCCAAGCGGCTGGAGTGGAACTGGCTCGGGGTTACGAGGTCAACCGCACGGGGGGATACGAGGAAACGGGCTATCAGATCTGGCCCCAGGCCCGGGGCGCAGGCAATATCGTATCGTCCGCCGTGGACTATGCCAAGTGGATTCGCGCGATGATCAACCGTGCTCCTCCCATCTCTGCTGCCGGCCACGCAGCGCTCGTGCGCGCGCATTCCATCATGACGCCGGATATCCAGACCCCGGACTCCGCCCCGGTGACCTACGGCCTGGGATGGTTCATCCACTCGTATCGCGGCGAGGTGTTAGTCGAGCACAGCGGGGCGCAGCCGGGATTTGGCACGGGGGTGTTCTACCTGCCCGGACGACAGTTCGGGGTCGCCCTGTTCGGAAACAACATGATGGGAGGGGGAGCTGCGACGCAGGTGCTGGCCTACCATCTGATCGACGAGTTCCTGGGCACGCCGCCGGAAGAGCGCTTCGACTGGGTGTCCTGGGGCGATCGCTTCGTGCCAAACACGACTGTCACGCCGGACAAGCTGCGCAGTCTGTATCCCTCTGTGCCTGATCCTCCACTTCCTCCTCCGGCAGAGCTCTCCGCCTACCCGGGCGTCTACGTGCATCCCGCGTATCCGACGCTGAACATCACCGCCGACTGCCCGCCATCAGCGTCCTTCCTACCGCCGTTTCCGCATCGTCAGGGCCCGTCTGACACGGCCAAGATCTGCATCGCGTCCCTCTTCAACTACAAGGATCGCCCCGTCGAGTTGGTCCACGTGTCGGGCGATTTTTGGGTGCTGGGGACCGAGTTGTGGGGGGAGACGCTGGTCGGACGGGCCGAGTTTCGTCTGGGTCCGGATGCGAGTGTGCGTCAACTGGGGGTGGAGTTTGAGCCGGCGATGAAGGAGAAGATTTGGTATAAGAGAGACGTCAGTCTGTCGAGATGAGGTTGCGTCTGGTGGAATATGCCTAGGCACGTGGCCGGTCTAGCCCTAGCAGAAGGCTGGAGATGGTATATATCTACCATTAGTTTCATCGTTGAGATTGCAAATACTGACCTACAAGGTATACCTCTAGTAAACCACGATTCATTGTGCACAGTCATGGTATCTGCAGGCTTTCGTTTGATACAGGTCAGTTTCTACCGGTCCGTATTGCCAACCCATCTCGATAAATAGTCCATAGTTCTGCGATAGACAGTATAAATAAGCAATGATATTTCCTTTCAGTCACGTCAGCAGCTGCGTGTAGTATGTGCTCTGCACGCTCTAGATATACGGACCACAGCAGTACTCCATGAATACAACGTCTTCATCCGTGGGTAAATAAAAATAACGCAGTACGGTTATTCTGAATGAGCCTAGCATATATTGACCATCCATCCACACCATGCAAGAAGCAGCAAGATGCATTCTCCATGTCAGACTGGGCATGGGGAGTCAGTCAGTATCATGAACCATCCAGTACAGAGCGTACAGAGCAGTAAGTACAGACAGTATATACAGTACAGTAAGAAGGACTTAAACTGAGCAAGCCCTATGTACCATAAATTCTGAGAAAACGTATCCAGCTAGACTCCCTATTCCTCGAGTCTCACTCCATGAACTGACTACTGACTCGACAAATGTTTCTCTATCGAGAATGGCATGGCGTGGGGGTAGCTGGTAGTTGTGTTCATCCATCATCCATCATCCGAGGGGGATAAATATTGATTATTACTAACCACTGGATTTATCCCTTATTTGCTGTTCGCAGTTGTACAGTACTTAGGTACTAACGTATATCTAGATACATTGGCTGCAAGGGATGTCCTGGCTGGCCATAATGAACTACGTGCAGGTTTCGATTGGAATATCTCTTGACTCCTCGATACTGGATTGTAGATTAGATACTGCTATACTACTGTATTGCAAGAAGATATCTGCTAGTTGATTGTAGCTATGCCATATTATCCCACTTGATATACTGCACATATATAATCTAGATCATCTAAATACATACACAACACAATGGATGCAATGCAATGCAAGCAATTCCTTCCGACAGCTAATTCTTCGCCAACGACCTCTCCAACTCCATCGCCTCAGCCAACCCATCCTTAATCGCCGCAACGCCCTCTACCGACGGCGCAACCGTCGGCTTGCGCGGCAGTCCGCCATACCCATAATACGCCTCCAGGGCCGCCTTGACGGCGACGAATCCGCCCTGGATGGCGACCCAGTCTGCGCGCGCGACCACCGCCTGCGCCTTCTTCGCCTCCTCGACTTGTCCCTTCTCGTACAGGTCCTGCACATGCACGCATGCCCGCGGGATCACGTTCGCCACGCCCGCGATCACTCCCTGCCCGCCGGCGATCAGCGTCTGCAGCGTAAAGTCGGCCGAGCCGCCGAAGGTGAAGAAGCCGGGCTTCACGCCCGCCGCGATGCGCGCCAGCTTGCCCGTGTTGCCACAGGTGAGTTTCACGCCGACAATGTTGGGGTGTTGCGCCAGGGCAAGGATGTCGTCCGACGTCAGATCCACGCCGTTCGCCGCACCAGGGAAGTTGTAGATGAGCACGGGCAGGGGCGACGCGTCGGCCACGTCGCGGAAGTAGTTGCGCAGGGCCTCTGTGCCGACGAGCGTCTTGTAGTACGACGGCGGCAGCACGATCACGTAGTCGCCGCCAGCCTGGGCAGCGTCCTGGGCGAACTGGATCGACTCGCGCGTCGACTGGGCACCTGCACCGACGATCAGCGGCACAGACTCGAAGCCGTGGGCGTCGAGGGCGCGACGTGTCGCGGCCGTGATGGCCTTGCGCTCCTCGCGGTCCAGATGCACGGCCTCGCCGTTGCTGCCCTGGGCGACGATGCCGGCGACGCCTGCCTGGGCCAGGAAGACGGCGTGCTTCTCGACTGTCGCGACGTCGACGTCTTCGTTGGGGCCGTGGAAGAAGGCCACCGTGGGGACGTAGATGCCGGGTTTGAGGGGTCTTTTCGTAGTCATCGTGTATGCGTAAAGCAGTTCGTGTGTCACAGATGTATAAGATCGCTAGATCGTCAAGACAGTCTTGTTGCAAAGCTTGGTAGGCAGTAGAATAAAAAAGAACAGACGAGACAGAAGGAGTCTCTAAACGATGGAGCTGTAAGCAGTCAGATCAGAGTCTCCTCCGGAGTAGCACCGAGGTAACCCACTCACCTGATAGTCAGAATGCTATGGAGGATAATAATGAGTCCAAGCAGCAAGAGGAAGCAACAGGCGATACCAAGCTAGACACTCTGTGCGACAGACCCTGCCATTAACTATTAGGCAAAATGATATCTGCCAAGACAAGACAATTCTTATACAGATATGCCTGCCACAGCGTAGACGCCTTAGAGAGGGCGCACCCCCACGCAGTTATACAACCAGCCAGGTACAGACGAACGAACTACACCTGTAAGTCATCCTGCGTTGCATATTCCACTCTCCTGTCGGCGGTCCCCCGTGCCCCTCTCAGCAACTTCAGGCGGGGCTCCATTATTTCCTCCACTCTCAAGACAAGCGAACCCCCACGCTTCTGACCCACAGCTATACCCCTATCTGGCAAGGCACGGAGTAAGAATAGTAATAGTTTGGCGGGGTAGATGGCCCAGACCGGATAATTTGAGTCTGGAAACAATCGGCTTCCTCCGGCTGGGCGGCCGATGGTAAATTACACTCGGCGTGTTCTCCGTGGGTTGGACGGTACGGTACGGATGTATGGTATAGTATGGTATGGTACGCTATGGTATGTTACGGAACAAACGTTCGAAGACTTGACGGCAAGGTTAGTATGTAGACAGTAGATAGCTAGAACATGGTGTAATATTGCTGCTGCAGCGCAACTATTCACAATTTATAATTGCATGTGTAGCAGAATATTTCCAGTCTGCTGGCTGGGTTGTCTGGTGGGCTGTAACGATGTAGTTATTTGTCTGAAGTAAGAGAACAAGCACGCAAAGGGCAGACCAAAATACACCTCTTCTGGTAGTAGCTTCAGAATAAAACTTAAGATTATTTATATATACCAGTTTCGGTGCCTGATTGACTATCAAGGTCTACTAGCATACACGAATACTGCCAGTTAGATTATCAAAACGCTTCTGGCAGTAAAATCTTCTCATCAACGTCCTTATCCCTCATTCTATGTGTTAATTCCTGCCTATACGTGATATGAATTCGTCTAACACTGTACTGATCTACACAACACGTCCCTCCCTCTCAACCATCCCCCTATCCAACACAACATAGTAATCCGCGTCCTTGACAGCCTCCAGCCGATGCGCAATCGTTACCACAGTCGACTCTCGCAGCTCCTCCCGGATGACCTTTTGTATCTCAAGCGACGTCTCATGGTCAATCGACGCCGTCGCCTCGTCCAGAATCACAATCGGACTGCGCCGCAGCACCGCCCGCGTCAGCCCGATCAGCTGCCGCTGTCCCTGGCTCAGGTTGCGCCCCCCAGCCTCGATTTGTGTCGAAAGAGTCCACCCGTGCCGCTTGCTGCAGATGCGCTGCAGGACTTCGGCGCATTCCGAGTCCGTGTACTCCCCCGTCGGATCCAGGTTCAGCCGGATGCTGCCCGGGAAGAGAATCGGGTCCTGCGCCACGAACGTCACCCGCGTGCGGAGCGACTGCGTGCTCACGGCGGAAATGTCCATGTCGTCGACCATGATCCGCCCCGATTCCGGGCGGACGACGCCAAGCAGGGACAGCGCCAGGGTCGATTTCCCGCTCCCCGTCCGTCCGATGACCGCCGTCGTCGACCCGCCAGGGATCCGGAGGGAGATGTTTTTCAGCGACGGGTCGAGATGGGGCGCATAGCGGATCGTCACGTTTTCGAACGTGATGGCAGAGCCGAATCGTGGCCACGACGCGAGCGGATCGATCGTCCCTGCCGGCTCCTGCTCGATGTGACGAAGCTCGTCGACCCGCTCCACCGACACAAAGTCCATCTGCAGCTGGCCGTACTGCTTGCACAGCGCATGCGTAGACTCCACAAAGCTGTTGGCCGCGATGAGCACAAAGGCAACCAGTCCCGGAGAGACGTTCGTGTACAGCGCCAGAGCCGTCAGGCAAAACGTCGATATGGCCGACAGGCTCTCGAAACGATAGATCAGCCAGGCCTGCAGTGACCAGTAGAAATGATCCATCCCCTGGAATTTATCCACCGTCTGGATCACGCGGTTCTGGAAGCGCACTTGGGCGCGGAACGCGCGCACGGTCGTCAGGCCATGCAGCAGCTCGCCGAAATTAGACATCAGCGGGCTGAGCGATACCATCTCCAAGCGCCGCAGACTCTGCGACGTCGGGAGAAAGCGCAGGAAGATCATGACGAACGCCGCGGTGAGCGCAAACGAAAAACGAGGAAGGTCGGCGTCACCGAGGCGATGACGAGAATGGACGAAACCCACGTAATGGCCTGGAAGGCGATGATCTGGAACTGCTCGCTGATGTTGCCGTCGACGACGCCGATATCCGACGTCAGACGGTTCATCAACCGGCCGACTGGAGTCACGTCGAAGAAGCGGAAGGTGGCATGGCTGACGCGCACCATCACCTGCTGGAACAGGGATTTCCCTGCGCAGTAGATGATGACCAGCATCAGGAGCTGGGCCACCAGCAGGGTGACGGACTGGAACGTCGTGATGAGGAAGAACGCCAGCAGCCAAGGTCGAACATCTTCCAGCGGTGGCGGCAATTCGTCGATAGGATTGGGGGCCCTGAAATGGACGTCCATGCTGAACGCCCCTGAAGTCTTCCTGTTGGAACCAAGGTAACTGAACACCACGCGGATCTGATTGTAGGCCTCTCCCCACTCCTTGAGAAACCACGACTGTCCAACGGCCGTCAGACGATAAACTGCCAGAACCGCGACGAGCGCGGCCCACCATTTCAGCTTGCCCGCGCGAATGTAACTCCAGTAGACGCGGGCCTTTACTCCCCATTCAGCTCGATGTTCTTCTTCAATGAATTTGTCTGGCACGGCCGCAGACGCCTCCTCCTCGAGCGCTGCCTGGTTCTCAGGCTCGGCCCGTAGCTGCGGCGCTTGACCGACTCCATCAGCTGGTGCAGCTGAAGAAATAGCCTCCTTGTCATAGACTGTCGCCCGCCCGTCCGCAATCTCGATGAACTGATCTGCAATGTGCCGCACCAGCGTCGTGCGATGCGTGACGAGAACGACGGTGCGGTCCCGCATCAGGGGGCCCGACAAGCACTTCCGCACGATCGCTTCTGCCGTGTTGTAATCCAGGGCCGACAACGGATCATCCAGCAGCAAGATCCTGGCGGTACTGTAGACTGCTCGCGCTAGAGCGACACGCGCCTTCTGTCCTCCCGACAGACCGATACCGTTCTCACCCACGAATGACAGGTCGCCGTGCTTGAAATTGGCGAGATCGGGAAGCAACGCGCAAGCATCCAGAACCCTCTTGTAGCGCTGCTCGTCATACGGAGCGGAGAAGAGGATGTTGTCGCGGATGCTCATGCTTTGCAGCCAGGGCGTCTGGGCGCAATATCCCACCATCTCATTGGGGATATGAGCGTCCCCGCTGAGCTTGTCTAGTTCGCCGAGAAGAGCCTGGAGCAAAGCCGTCTTCCCTGCGCCGACCTTCCCATAGACAACGGTCAGGCCTTTCGGGATGGTCAAGTTCAGATCGGCCAGCACGGGTGACATGCGTCCAGGCCAGGCAAAAGAACAAGATTCCAACCGGATAGTAGAGTCCGTCGAGGACTCGACCGCCTCGTTGCTCTCCTTGTCTGGTTCAGCCATGAAATCCTCGATTCTCCCAAGAGCGATGGACGCGTTGATCAGAGCGGTAATCAAACCGGGAATATCCCGCAGCCGAGTCTCCAACATCGTAAACAGCTGCAGCGCAGGGAAGATGATGTCGATACTCAACGGATGGCCCGCGAGGAGCGTGTACGCGTAAAGGGCCACCACGGGGAAGACACCGCTGGAGAAGGCATTGATGAAGCGGATCAAGATGTTCCACAAGCTGGTGATGATCCGCAGATTCAGCTCGCGTTGTCGCGCATCCATGACCTGGCGGAGCCAGTGATTGTGCCATCCGTACCAGCGGAGATGGCGGATCGCTTCGACGAACTGAGACGTGATCTGCAGTCGTGCGTCGGTCGCTGCTCTCCGGACGCGCTCCCATCGAAGAAGGGCGCGAGAGATCAATGCGTTTACCGACTGAGCGACTAACAGGGACAAGATACCCAAGAAGCAGGACGGTCCAAATAACTTCCACACGAGGACCGTGGCGATAATCAGTCCGACGGGCTTATCGACCAACGCGTCGATTTCCCAAAGCCGCTGGGCCACTTCGTAGACGTCTCCTCGTAACAGATTGAATATCTTGCCCATCGAGGCGGACTCTTTTGCCTTTTCTTTCTGGTCCTTACGTCTCGATACGCCGTTGGCATTCCCATTGACAAGTTCGTCGTCCTGATCCTCAGAGCTCTCTGGCTTGCCGTTTATTTCCGAGCCAAATACGTTCTTCCGTGACAGGGCTTTCTCATAAACCATCATGATCATCTCACCCCTGCTTCTCTCGTAACACCGTCTGCCGTACCAGAGATTGAACACCTGTGATTGCGCAGCAACGAGACGAAGGACCAGTGTCAACAGAGCGTACGTCAAAGCGACGCGCTTCGGCGAGCTGGGATCCTTCATCGCCTGCAAGAGCTGCTGCAACAGGATTGGTGTGGAGAAGTCTGCAAGGCAGTCAGTCAGCAGCCGTCCTGTTTCTATTTAAGGGCACAGTGTTCAAGCCAGACCGCAGAACATTTGCACGATTGCAATGACGCCAACAATGAAGACGTCCCGGCCATTGGCCTGCAGCACACGGCCAAGCACCGATCCCTTGAGCTGACGGAATTTCTCATGCAGCCGCTTGTGCTGGAACTCGAAAGCCAGGAACCAGACATCCGTTTCCTGGAGAGTTCTTTTCTGCCCGATATTCATCAACGGGGCCATCCACGACACGGTGAGGAACTGCCAGAGCCGTAGGTTGTCCTCCGGACTGCGGAAGTCGCTGGATGGCCGCTGGCCCACGGCGCTGATGTTGAAAGAGGGCAGTGAGGGTTCCCGAAGCGGCATCAGGAGAAGGGTGAGACAGGCGGCCGCCGCAGCGCCGATTGCGACATAGTGAGCAGTCAGTTTGAACCCTGCAGAAGGACGATTAACCACAAGCGTCAATTCTACTGCAAATGCTGCAATAAAGTATGCTAGCATTGCCGTAGGACATGACCTCGGACGCTTGACAGCGATCACGAGCGCGGCAACACCCTGCTTCTTGTCAGTGATAGTTGCTGGATAGGTCGGGAAAATGCCTACCCATGAGACAAGAAGGGTCACAGCAGTGAAATCCAACCCCGGAGGAAGCAATTGGACGATCTCAGCTGCGCAGCCAACAACAGAGAGGACAAAAAGGGAGATCGCCCAGCCTGACTTGGGCTGTTTTGCCGGTTCTGGCGGCAGCTCAGAGCACTCTGGGGGATGCTCCGAAACAAAAGGTTTGGTCCACTGGGGACCCCATCGAGGGAAAACATGGCCGTGCAGGTAGTTGATGGCAATAATCAGGACTATTACCGCCGGGATGGCGGAGACATATGGTATCGCACAGGGCGATAGCCGCGCATTGGCCGAGTCCTACATGCAGTCAATAATACAAGCATGGCCATTCAATTGCATGTATGTACGTACCCAGATCGGGTAGCAGGAATGCTGCGTGCCATGATCGTGAGCCAGCGGCATTTCGCAGCTCCAAGTAACGAGTGATTGAGTATACCTAGGTAGCCAGGCCTTATATTGCTAGAGGACTGCGTGTTGGGCGTTCGTCTGGAAGCGGGTTGCGTTGCACCAGTTCTGCCGCTCCCGACCGCCTTCCATGTCGATCAGAGTAGTATTCAATGAAGATATCACATTCACCACATTACATTAACATTAAATAGTGTAGAACTAAATAGTATACTAAGTAATTGAAGAATCTTGTACGAAATGAAGCAGTTCCCTTGATGCGAGATATTATCTGTAGTTTTCTCGCTTTCCAATACACTGACCACCTGCCTCGCCTTGATTCTGCCTCTACTCCGTAATTACTCTGTACGGAGTACTTGAATGATGAATTTACGCTGAATTGATCAGAAAGAAGGCTAATTAATGCTAGTAACTAGGCATGGTCCAAATGCAACGTTATTCTTCCTTTCAGCTGGCTGTCCAGTTACTCCGTACAGTCACTTCAGTTGGTACAGTACAGTACAATACGTTACAAGCGGTACGGTACGGACATGCACCGAACAAAACAACTGGATTGATTATTACTGCTGTACAAGAATCATTTACCTCAACTCTAGCCAGTTTAGCTGCGTATGTACCTGCAAGATCAGCTCATTTATGTCATTGGTCATCTACAGCTCGTGCTCTGATTCCTGACTCACCGTCCTACGTACCTTAGCTACACCATTCCTCCTTTCTTTCCCTTTCTCTCCCCTCAATTGAATTGACAATCGTCAATAAGCAGCAGTCATGGCCAAAATCAAGTCCATCGAATACTTCCGCGTCAAGCCGCGATGGCTGTTCGTCAAGGTCACCGACGAACAAGGCCGCTCTGGCTGGGGCGAGGGCACCCTGGAGGGACACACGCAGGCCGTGGAGGGCGCGCTCGACGAGATCATTGCGAGGATTATAGGATATGAAGCTGAGTACGTCACATTCACACAGAAACCGTATGATTTTTACAAACTGACCCTCCCAGCGACATCGAACACATCTGGCAGACCGTCTGGCGGCTGGGCTTCTACCGCGGCGGCCCCGTCTTCATGTCTGCCCTGTCCGGCATTGATATCGCCTTGTGGGATCTCAAGGCTCGCAATCTGGGAGTGCCCGTTTACCAGCTTCTCGGAGGAAAAGTGCGCAACAAGGTGCAGGTCTACTGCTGGATTGGAGGCGATCGACCCAGCGATGTCGAGAACGCGGCGTGAGTGGCCATATTCTTACAATTGACTATTATATTTTCTCTATGCTAACTTCGCGACAGGAAAGCACGCATCGCCCAAGGGCTCAAATGCGTCAAGATGAACGCCACCGAGGACGTCAACTGGCTCGACTCGCCTTCGGTCCTTGACTCGTGCGTTGAGCGCCTCAAGACCGTCAAGTCCCTGGGTTTGGATGCTGGGCTGGACTTCCATGGCCGTCTGCACAAGCCCATGGCCAAGCAGCTGGCCAAGGCGCTCGAGCCATACCGGCCACTGTTTATCGAGGAGCCGTTGCTCTGCGAGCACCCGGAAGCCCTGAAGCAGCTATCCGGCCTGACGAGCATCCCGATTGCCTTTGGCGAGCGGCTCTACAACCGGTGGGACGTGAAGCGGTTCCTGGAAGAGCACTCGGTCGACATCCTGCAGCCGGACATCGCGCACGCAGGCGGGATCAGCGAGACACGGCGCATTGCCGCTGTGGCAGAGGCGTACGACGTCGCCATTGCACCGCATTGCCCGCTGGGCCCGTTGGCGTTCGCAGCGTCCTTGCAGGTGGCGCTGGCGACACCCAACTTCGTCATCCAGGAGATGTCGCTGGGGATGCACTACAACGTCGAGGCGGGCGACATCGACCTGAACACGTACGTGAAGGACCAGTCGGTGTTTGAGATCCACGACGGCTACGTCAATGCGCCCACGGGGCCGGGATTGGGTATTGAGATTGATGAGGAGCTGGTGCGCAAGATTGCTGCTCGAGACGGAGCCTTGGCCGCCGAAGGAGTTTTACGGTCCGGATGGGGCGATTAGAGAGTGGTAGATGCGAGATTAAATGATTTGAAAATTAAGCAGTGTAGATACGTTTGAATACTATACTCACGAGAAAATATATAAATGACCAAGAATAAGAAAAGTTGATCACTCGTACCTCGCTCCCCAAGAGCTTGTTTTCACCATCTTTGAATCTATTCAGTAGCCTAGAGCTAGGAAACATCGATTCCAGGCACAGAATTATGTCATCAGTCCCAGCAAGGCGTCAGTCGAGTGACTGGAATGCGGAGACGGCGTGGGGGTCGCATTTATCCGGGGATAATTCTATGGACTAGTTCAGTTCCCTGGCTAATTATAGTGGCATGGTGCCAATCCGTATCCCCGTTCGAGCTAGTCGATACAGTCGTAGTATTTCTGAGGCAGTCAATATCTGTAACGAAGCAGCTGTCGCAGATTACCATATTCTAGTATATTCTCAGCTGCTACTACTTCATCTCTGCATCCCCGTTAATCATATTGTCGACCGTTACCCTCTTTCTTTTACTGCCTAGTCAAAGCTCTTCATCTGGCTCAATACCAGCATGGGCGATATCATCCACCAGCTCTTCTCCCTCCAGGGCCGCACCGCCCTGGTGACAGGTGGCACGCGAGGCATCGGCGCGCAGATGGCCATCGCCCTGGCAGAAGCAGGCGCTGACATTATTCTGGTTCAGGTATATCTTCCCATTAACCCCGAATCTCGCCTACGTGTGCATCTTGCTAACGACGAGCTAGAGAGACACGTCCAACCAAGAAACGAAGCAAAAGATCGAAAGCCTCGGCCGCAAAGCCATCGTCTACACCGCAGACCTCGCCTCGCGGGAGGAGGTCAAGATTCTTGTCAAGCAGGTCCTGGAAGACGGACACGACATCTCCATCCTGGTCAACTGCGCGGGCATCCAGCGGCGGCATCCGTGCCATGTCTTTCCCGACGAGGATTGGGATGAGGTGTGTTTGTCCCGCTCCTCAATTTCAAGTTCTTACGGAACTTTCTGACTGACTGACTGCTCTGCAGGTCCTCCAAGTCAACCTCACCAGCGTCTTCACCCTCTGCCGCGACATCGGCGCTTACATGCTGACTCGCACGCCCGACGAGGTCGGCCACCGCGGGAGCATCATCAACGTCGCCTCGCTAGTTTCGTTCCAGGGGGGCATCACGGTCCCCGCGTACGCCTCTGCCAAGGGCGGCGTTGCGCAGCTGACCAAGGCACTGTCGAACGAGTGGGCGTCCAAGGGCGTCAACGTCAATGCCATTGCGCCGGGGTACGTGGCCACGGAGATGAACACGGCGCTGCTGCAGGACAAGGAGCGGTCGGCCAGCATCCTGGCGCGCATCCCGGCGGGGCGATGGGGGACGGCGGAGGACTTTAAGGGGTCTGTTATCTACCTGGCTAGCAGGGCGAGTTTGTATGTGTCGGGTGAGGTGCTGACAGTGGATGGGGGGTGGATGGGTCGGTAGTGCAGTTCTAAAAACATTCTATCCGGATTATCTTTACGTGTATATATTTAATTCAATGGCAGCTTACTACACGTTGTATACAAGTGTCTATCACTCATTGTCAACGATACTGACTACACTGTGTACGCTGTAATCCTAGAAACCCCGCACTACAACCCACTTCAACTGCCCCAGTCAGCCATGTATCCAGCTTGTAACAATAATTCAAATAATTCGGATCGGCTGGTCGATTGCATTCCCCACCCCCACGCGGATTTAACCGCCCACTCAGATGCATTAAATATCGGACAAGTCTCCGACACACAGTCGAGTCCAGGCCCATTGCAAAGAAATAGATTGACCTGTGTACGCGAGGCTATTCGGGGTATTTCGATCCGAGTTGTGGACGAGCACCCCCACGGGACGTGGGATGTCCTTCATCCCTTTCTGTCATCACTGTCTTGACTTGTCTGTTACATTACGGTACATTCGTACTGTGCTTACAGTTACAAGATGCATTCATTTGGTAACCCCCACGATGAAACGTACGTTGCCGATATTCAGTTTCATTATTGTCATCGGAGTATTCCCTATACTCCGGAGTGCTACTCTGCAAGAGAGAAGGGAGCCTAGGGGTATTTCTTAGAATTAGTTAAGAATAGTAGTACAAGTTCTTATCCTAAAGACATCTATCGATACAAACAACCAGGAGAGCCAGTTATAAGGTATTGGAAAACCGCAACTACTGTATCAAGCAGTATTAGTAGTATATCATGCGTTGTGCTTCCAAGTATTAGATACTTCTTCTTTGCGTATTTTCTTTCCCTTTTAGGGCAACAGATATAGTGCCTTATATTTCGACAGAAGGATTCTAAATTTCACCTTAGCCAGGTATGAAACTATTCATCAATACTAATGCTCGTTAAATAATAGAATAATACTAGTGAGACCTCTTCATGTGTCTGACTCAACTAGCATAATGTACTGTACTTAATATTTTTCTGGGTTGTAAATCAGCCGTGTGGTTTCCTACTCATATATAGGACTGCTCGATGCAGTCTATAGTCTATGTCTATAGTCTATATCTAGATATGGCATCGCTGATCTGGCGCAGTCTTTATTCTTAAGAGATGCTATTCAAGATCTAACATACGTGAAGCTTATCAATCTGAACTTTATCACTGACGTCACTGAGTTAAAGCCGGGCTGGACTCGGCGCGAGTTCTTAAGCATCTTGATTCACCTATTCTATCATCCAACAAGAAGGTTATTAATAGTCAAGACAATATGCCCCCGTCCAAACGAGCCAAAAAGTCTCCCTCTGCCGTTCGCTCGATGCCCTCATCTCCTCTTTCTTCAGAGGATGTCGATGCCGGCAAAGACGTAAACGAAACCGCAGGCGAAACTGCAGACGAAGACGAAGACATCTACGATCCCGCCCTCCTCGACGAGGAGGAAACACCCGGCGGATCAGACAGTAATGTCCTGCCGGAACCGTCGAGAGGACCAGCCGGCGTCCGCAGCTACAACGCGCTGAAAACATTCAAAGGCCAAGTCTACTCCGGCATGGCGGTCGGGGGGTCCCACACGTGGAACTACGACCAGGGCGTCTGGAAGGAGACCAAGGAGGAGCCGGATCTGTGGAGGATTGACTACAAGACGGCCAAGAGGAGGGTGAGGAAGGCGCCTAGGGGGAGTGGTGCGCCTGTGGGGACGGGGTATCACTGGTTGATTGTTGCGCATCAGGTGAGTAATTTACTTACTCTGGTATACTAGAGAATTGTGGGAAGAGCATAGTTGGCAATTAATTAATATACTCTTTGTATTTGTGTTATGGCAGTACGTCACCAAACTAGACGCCAACACCTACGACACGCACCTCGTCGGGTCGAAATACAAGCTCGCCCACAAATCCGTCTCCTCCAACTCCTGGTCCATCCCCACCGTCAAGGCGCAGCGCGAGCGCGAGATCGATCTGCTGGAAGACGCAAAGCGTCGCGTGCAGGGCCTGCCGCCCGTGCTGGCGGAGGAGAAGGTCAGAGTCGACAAGCCGGAGAAGGGGCAGCAGAGGCTCGATGCTATGTTTGCCAAGGTTGAGGCGAACAAAAGTTCGGGGGCGGATGGGAGGAAGAGGAAGAGGGAGGAGGGAGTTGATAAGGGGGGCGTGGACTGAGGTAGAGAGTAGGAACGTTCTCAATGAATGAGCTGGAGGAAATAATATTGTGTTGAATAGGGTTGATGCTAAACTAGAAAGTAGAAGCTGTCCCATCTGTAGACAGAACGGCCTTCATTCAAAGTTGTCTTTGACCAGACGCAGTTGATCTCGCTGTCTCTGTTTATTTAAATAATTTCAAATAATGTGCTTCCATATTAATCAAATAACGATGATCTTTCCTTCCCTCATAATTACTCTAGCATACCCTAGTTTTATCCATCATCATCATCATCATATTGCAATACTTGCTCTTGTGAATAGATAGAGGCTATCTCACGCTGTAACAACTGATGGACTGCTCCTAGGAATTATACCTTATTGGACCGCGAATATAGGGGACTTCTAAGATTGGCACTAACTAGATACCTAACTACCCTATGAAATAATTATTCTCGTCAGAATCTACCTTCTGCACATGTGTATAATCGATTAACTTCGCCAAAGCTAGTCCCACACATCCCGGCTGATGGAGTCTTCAGCCCTGCGATAGCACCCTGATGGTGGAATTCATCAAGCACTCCCAAACCTATCTTTCAAAGAACGACCCTGACTACGTGTCCCATCGATTCTGTCGTTCCGCTGATCCCGCGCCGGCGAAATGCTAAACCCGGTAAGAAGATAAATACACACAACCAGATACTCCATGACAAGCGCCATGGCGACAAACGGGCCAACCGGCCCCGCGAGCGGATTCCAGGTCAGGTCAGAGGATTTGAAAACCGAGAGGAAGGCGTAGGTAAGACGGACGACGAAGAAGGGCATTGCTGAGGAGGCTCCTTTGAGGACCTATCCAGATGCACGGGTCAGAGGTGTTCATGTTTGTGTCTTTTTTTTTTACGTTACTTACCGTCATGCTAGTCAATGACAATCTCGCTGCCCGCCGCCAGAAATAAACCTGAAATGCCAGCAAACAGCCAACAAACACCGCGATAATGATGTATCCGGCTCTTACGAGCTTCAGACCAGTCATCACTGAGGATTCGTTATTGTAGTTTCCTTCCAGCGAGCCGCCTGCAATGAGCAGAGCGATGCCGACGAAGAACAGAACACGTGACAGAATGAGACCATAGCGTATGGACGAGTTGTGTTGGAAGTCAGCGGCTTGTCTGGAGATATCAATTAGCGAGGATGTCATACGCTTGTACGTATCTGATAAGGGGATATGGACAGAACATACATGATCCAAATCAACCCAATTGTCGCCGCAATGACAGGGAACACACCCGCATTCAGCAGAATGACGGCAGCGATGGTGGGCCCGATTTCCTGTTGCTGATTCTCGTGCACGATCAGGACGATGCCACTAGCCACACGGACTAAATACACAGCGCAGAATGGTCAGTCTGTGAGATTCTCGAGATTGAAACGTCAAGGACAAGTAGGAACGCACTCAAGGAAAATATCAACAACACAATCCACGCCAGACGGGGTCTGTCATTGCCCTTTCCATGCGCATGCCGGTGGAAGAGCAGCCACGCCGCGAGCAGGACGGCAGGGACGTAAAAGATGATCAGGGCGATGCCGACTTTGGAATGGTCGTTTAGCATGGTGAGAATAGAGCAATATACGCCGTAGTGTTAAATGAGAAATTTGTTGTCAGGTGTATAATTAAAACCTCGAGTACTCTGAATGCGACTCATCGTCGGTCTTTCCCTTCTTATATGGTGGTAGTCCATCATGACAGAAACAAGCTTTGGGCAGCTGAGGCTATGCGACTTCCTCAATTCTCCTTGTAACGATCGTGTCCGCATGTTGATGCCCCGAAAGGGCAAACTCTGTCCAGATTGGTGGAGCTGCCTGCCCCTTTTGGGCTAGCCTGCTCGCATGTTGCGGCCCGAATAGGGTTAGCGGAAATGTGCAGTTGCAGCAGCCAGTAAGATTGAAGAATGGCTGCAGTCTAATAACCTTAATTCACTAGCCTCAACCTTAGTGGTCAAAGGACCAATTGCAGTGCTTAATTGGACAGGTAATGTGGCTTGTTCGCCTTGACAGCCTCGTGCACAGCCTTGCAGGCAGCAATCAAGCATTCTAGAACGATGTTACGCTCTGTTTGCTAGGAGATAAAGACCAATTTTGACAAAAGTCTGATTTGATATCAGTCTGGTTCAACCTTAGCCTGCAGCATAGCATACGAGAAAACAGCAGGATATTTGTGCAAATGGAATTTGTAATTCCTGATGACTTCCTGCCCCCGCAAGCACTGGTACATACCGTATATATATCCAGTTCGCAACACGTATCTGCTTCGAATTAGTGGTAGAGTATATGGTACATTTAGATGATGTGCATCATAGAATCCTCATCTACTAAGCTAATTCCCTTGTGCTCGTCTCGTAGTGTTGGGATACTTTAATATCCTCAGCCCCCTCTTCTGAACCTTCTTCAGCGCCGCCCTCATCCATGCCGTCTCCCGTGCACACCTCGCGTCATGCTTGACCGTCTCGAAGACCATGCTCAGCGGCGCAGTCACGGTGAACGCTCCGCCCATCTGCATCGGATTCTTCAGGCAGTACTCCACCGACTGGCACACATTTCGCGCATGGGACAGGAAGTCGGTGCGATGCCCCAGCGGGGGGAGTCTGCTGAGATCGAATCGCAGAGACCCAGAAGATGTCGTGATCAGATCAGCGCAGTGGCAGGGACTGTCGGGCTTGCGAAGACAATTCGGGTAATTGAAGCAATACGCGTCGACGGCGTCGACCTCGATCGTCGGGATGAAGTGGTACAGCTCGCACATCCCCGACCAGAGCACGACCGTGGTCGCCCAGTACATCATCATCGTGCCGGCCATACTGAGATCCGGAAACTGAAATGCTACCGGAAACACCTTTCCATGTTCAGGGTCGTCCGCCTGGTTGTCTTCTTCCGACAGCACCGACCAGTACAATGGCCCCGGCGTTTCCTTCTCCAGGTCGTTGTAGATGCTCTGCAAGGTGGTGTCGAGCTGCCAGCATTTGCGCGTAACATCGAGGGCCGAATCTAGGAGTCCCCTCGAGCGGAGATTCTTAAAGTCGTCACTCTGCTTGAAGATACCCGGCGCCAGCGCGAGGCAGTCGACCAGTCGGTCCAGCAATCGCTTGGGAGAGTCTTTCCACGGGCCCTCCATCCAAAGAGGTTCAGACAAGAAAGTCGGTTGACGCATCTCCATGCTATACAGGATCTGAGAAGTGTTAACCAGCCTCAATAAAAAGGATGACATGGTCATACCCCCTGATGGCGCAGCCCGACGAAGAGCTCATGCGCAATGCCAGAAGTATGCGCATCCACCCCCCGTAACTGGACCAGTTTCAGCCAGCCGTTGCAATGGCTGGCATACGCATACCAGGCCTCTGCGGGACACTCCATAAGCTCATACATGCTCAGGGCCAGACAGGCGGCGAGAATCTCGTCATCGTACACCAGCTTCGGATTCCAGAGGGCTTTGCGGAGCTCCCTGAGGCCCTGCGTGTAGAGCTTCAGGCTTTCGCGAATCAGCACAGGATCATCGTACAGGCGGCCCAGTGCGGCGGCGGATATCGCCAAGCTTGATGTCTCTAACGCCTTTGTGCGCATTAGAAACTCGGGGAGCAGGACGAACCACGGCCTGAACTTGTTCTGGCCACGCTGTGTTTCTGGAATACAGCAAGAGACGAAGGCGTTGAGCAGGTATTGGCGATAGGTAGCTGTAGCTAAGATCTCGGCACCAGCCGACGTTGCAGGTCCTACTACACGAGGACAAATCTTGCTGTCGCGTGTCAAAGATCCAGCTGGACCAGCGCTCGCCCCGTTCGTTGATGCAGTCTTTCTGACTTCGTCAAAAGAGCTCTTCATGACAGTCTTTCTGTCCTTGGCGGACGGTTGAACCGGCACGAAGATCTTCTCCCGTTCGTAGCCGGCGCACACCCGGTTGGACCTCACGCACTGGACGCATTGAGGTCGTTGCAGACCGCACTAGACGAAGTAAGTGGATCGAATCAGAAAGAAACGATAGATGGCTAGGTACGCACGGCGATCTTCCGTTGTCGGCACGTCTTGCATCCTTTGGATTTGCCTGCCACGCCGACCATTCTGAACCAAGCTGTCGGATTACATAGTTCTGAAGTGTAATCGCAAGTCAGGGCCCTGCTGTTGAGGAATATTCTTCTCTCATAAATCGCGTTTACGAGGAATAGGTACAGGAAAGAGTGCAAGGCAGAGACAGATCTTAGACGAGGCTTATCCGTGATAGCAATCCTGCTTAGTCAGCAACTCAGAGATGGAAACTGTGGCTGTGCAGGATGTAGCTTCTCAGAGGGTTTATTTTGCATCGTATTTTTTTTTGTGCCTGGAGAAATTATGATCATCCAATCGTATCGCAGTCTTTTGAGATGTGTCAAGGGATAATTTAATTATTTTGATAGACAATCAGGCAGCATCGTTTCTACTGTAATCCCGGATCGATCTGAAACAACCTAGAGGACATTTTTACTCAAATCGGAATCAGAAATAATTTGCGGATCACAGCGAAGCAAAAACGGAGTACTCCGTAATATTAACGGTCTGCCCGGAAACTCACCGTGATCCCTTTGATCTGATTGGTAGAAAATTATCACGTGACTGTACTTTGTTCTCTCCTGATTGGTAGAGATTCGTCATGTGATTGTTACTTTGGCTCATCTGATTGGTTCATACGAAGCAGAATCATGTGATGTTGCTTACATTACCTACCTAGGTACAGAAAACAGGATAGATCAAACACACTAATGAAGCAGTGGAAATTGGCAAGGGAATCGATGAAAAATCGCGTACTTGGAGGTAGGATTCTTTGTCGTAAGAGAGTTGTATTTCCTAAGTTCCTCGACGTCGAGGGGTTTCCTTTTAAACTAACTATGAGTCACATGATCAAGGCGCTACCCGCTTTCAGGTACCATCCTCACCTCCATCCGACCTGCCACCTCCATGGAGGATACGAAGCCCATACGAAGCCTATATGGGAGCTCATGCGAAGCCTATAGGGGAGCTCGTTCTGATTGTCAGGATGTCATTGCTACGCGCTGCGCAGGGACTTAGGGCCCTTTACTCCCTGGGAATGGATTTTATAAATATAATAAAAACTCCCGAAGATCTCTGTCCGGACAGCATCAAACTAGGTTTCAATTTCGATTACTCGTCACAAATTCAAGCTCAATAATGACATGATATGACACGACTAACATCCTTACTCAGACACAAGTTGCATGGTTAGGACTTTTGTCTCCTGCATGCAATTCAATTCGCCATCACAGCTCGTTTGCCATTTAAGCTCCCTGATGTTGGATCGTCAGGAGTTCAGAAAGATTGTTACAGCAAACGAACTCGAGCGTAACCCGGCCAATCTCACCAATCACTTTCATCGGACTCCTCGTCGGACTCCTCTGAAGTTGAATCTTCTTTCTGCCGGGCCTGGAACTGTTTTATTGGGGTAGTGGTTTTCAGCTTGAGATACTCCATGTTAATGCCACACTGCCATCCATCAACGTCGTCTGGAACGTAGAGCGGAAGATGCACCAGATTCTTGCTGGGACAGTTCGGAAGAGGGTCCGAGACAAGCAGTTTGATGATGAGATGTGGATTCTTCTTAATAGTCTTGCCGATCATCTCAATGATTTTGTCGCCCTGGGCCTTGTCTCCGAAAATTCGCGAGAATGAGTCGAGCAGAATAAAGACTGCGTCCTTCTCGGGTAGCGAGTCCAACAGCTTCTTGAAGAGACGTGAAGCGTATCTCGGCTTCTCCTTGGACTTGTGGAGATACTTGTCCTTCTCCAGAAACGAAAGGTTGACGGTCGGCCGCTTCTGCAGAATAAACTTGAGGAGCTGGCCGTTGAGGCTCTTGAGAACCGCTATTGCACCGGAGTCTTGCTCGTTGAAGGAGTTGTTCCTTCTTAGCCCGCAGAAGAACGACAAGACTGGGAAGTCTATCGTATTGCCGAGAGTTATGGCTAGCATCGCGTCAGTGAACGACATGGAGTTAATCAGGTCGTCGGGTGAGTTCTCGGCCTCGATCTCAAGGACACAGGACTGAGTTCGGGTCAACCAGTCGTAGACTTTATCGGAGTTCATGATCCACTGAGCCTTGTCTTGCTCTTCCAGGCTGAGGTCTTCAAGGCGGAACAGACATTCTGTGATCTGCTTGTCTGGAGCAAGGTCGAAATTAGACAGGCCTTTGAGCCATGTGTCAACCAGCTGCTCATTCTCGTCGACCGAGACGCTGCTACTTTGTTGTCCTTCTATTGCCTTTTGCATTGAGGAGAGGAAAGCTAGCGCTTCTTCTTTGTTCACTAAGATTCAAATCGTCAGTCGGCTGCGTGGTGCACCTTGGGGGAAGATCAGCTTCACCTGTGCCATTAATAGCGTTGAAAGCTGGGTTGCTGGCAATGAATCGGTATACACAATTGTAGGCAACGACTAGTAGTTTCTCGTCGTCTTGCTGATTTCCTCCCAGGAACTTTTGTTGGTTTTCAGATAGCCCCTTCATTATCTTCTCCGCTATCTTCTTCGGCATCTCGTCCAACTTCTCTTCGAGTTCGTTTAGCTTCGATTTGGATGTCTTTTCAAAACCTGAAGAAAATGAGGTCTTTCCTCTCCGTTAAGTATTTATCCTGGCATAGGCTACCTTCCAGCCTCCTTGCCACGCCATCTACAGTCGTCTTCACGCGTTTTCCATTCTCCTCGATTCTGCCCATTCTCAGTTGTGCGCAGACATCTACTTCTCTTTGGAACTCAGCAATGCTGTCTTCCAACGCGTCAAGTGCAATTCTGACATCGCCATCATGACTTTTGAATTTCGAGGTTATTTTCTCTGCATCGGATCAGAACTTCCTGATATAGCCAATATGATCAGCAGTCGACCCAAGGACACGAATTGCTTGCCTGTGAAGCTCATCGATAGTTTGTTTATGATTCGTTCAAGAACTATGAAAATTGAGAGGAAGACCGAATCTGCACAGGAATGGAGCGCCAGTGACTGGACGTGAACATCGGACAGTCTGTGCACATTGTTGAATTTTCGCGGTATATCAGCAAGGGCTGCCTGGATGTCTTTGCGAAGATTCTCGTGCTCCTCCACCGCCTACCAAGGGATACGAAGGTGAGCACAATTATTCCAAAATGGAATCGGGTGAGACTTACGGCAAGAATAAGGGTGAAGCCTCGCGAGATGACAGACCCATATATATCACTCGGAGCCATGCTGATTATACCTGTCAGGACATCTTTGTGTTTAGCAGCACCTCGGAAACATTTCCGGATGAATCGCTTGCAGTCGCGAGTATTATCAGCTCCTTCACGTCTCTCCTCGATCAACTTGGCTATCGAGAGCACGTAGTCAAGATTGTAGTCCCCGGGCTCTCTGATCTCGACGCCGAGCTTCTTGAAAATTTTCCTTGATTTAAGGGTAACGGAGAACCTCTTCAGTGTATCCTGGAACTCTTTCATCTTCTCGTTAGACAGTTTGTAGTAGTCTGTCTCCTTATGTGGTGTTAATTGATTATCAGCCCCAAACTTAGGAGTCGGAAAGACGATACTTTGGAGCCTGGCCCTTTGGAACGAAACGATCCAGTGCGCTCACAAATTCCGGAGGGTTGGTTTCGCTCTCCTCATCGCCTTCGGAAATTCGCTCAATGATTGCTTGTCCAGCCCTAGTTTTGACAAACTCCGCAGCGCTGTTGTTCAGAGTCTGGTCGTTCAAGGCGGCGCAGGCGGTGCAGTTGGACCAGACGCTGAGGGCTTTTGCTGCGTTGCTGCCGTCGAGAGAAGAGGAGGATTGGAGGGCGTATTTGGGGGCGATTGGGATTTTTAATAGGTAGAATCCCTGTTACATTTTTTATATACTTAATGTTAGGGATTTCCTACTCACTCACTCTTCTTATTAGCGCGCAGCTCATGCTCTGGGACCACCTCCAACACGACCTTCCCCAGGACTACCCATCCTCCTCCATCTTCGACGCACGTCAACAGCAGCACAAATGGCAAGAAGTGGTCGAGACGGCACAGATCTTCTCTCCGTCTGCTGCGGACGGCAGCAGCACAACAACCGCCATGACCCCGTTTCTGCTGCATGCAATGCATCTCATGGCAGAGGGCCTCCAGCGCCGCGTCACGCAGCTGCTCGAGGAAACGGAGGGGTGTAAGCGGCGACTGCGGGTGTTGAGGGAGATTATTATGAGTGAGTGCGAAACCCAGCACGAAGGACGAGTTTGTTGCTTGCTGTGCATATTCTGATTCTGACGTGGATGCATGCAGGCTGATCGTCGATTTCGTGACGAGTTTGCTGGGATATGTATATTCTGTCATTATTATCGCCCATCTCCTCTCCTTGATCGACACGACAATAGAGTTTCCATCAATAGATCGATTTTGCGTGTTATCTGATGAATTCCTCGACACAGGGTATCAAGAAATAGATAGAGATCAATCGCATAGATATGGATTATATGTATACAAGACGCAAACAAAACAGAGGTTAATAAAACAAACAGCGACTCGATCCAATTACGCTCGACCTTGATCGTTTTGCATACCCCGCGAGGAAACCCCAGTCCCAGTACATATAAAAACAGTAAAGAAACAAAAGAAATAATACAGATAGACAGCTGTAGGTCCAGCCCACGCAGCACAAACTATAAGTAACTCCACCCAAAACACACGTCATTAGGATTCTTTGACGGGACAGACCCCATCCCCGTCGCTGTCATCGTCATACCCATCAGGTCGAACCCCTTGTTGTTGTTGTTCAGACCTAGATTAAGTCCTAGACTGTCCATATCTATCCCGCAGCTCCAGTCTGCGAGGCTGTTGCCGTACCCGTAGCTGTCGTCGGCCGATAGGATGTTGACTTGATCTGCGTTGAAGCGTGGTTGCGATGGCTGTGGTTGCCCTTGCGGTTGTATTTGCGGTTGTAGTTGAGTGTCCACTGGGAAGAAGGGCATGTTCATATCATTATTATTGCTGGTGGTATTGTTGCTAAACGCTGGATTCATCTCGTCAAATCCAAGCGACGACGACGACGACGACGACGTTGATGATGTGGAGGGGGATAGCGAGGATGGTGTCGCTGCGGTCGTGTCCATGCATGGTCGCGTGCATGCACTGTTGACCGGTCTATTACATCGGCTATTCGCATTATTCCCGTTGGCGACTGCGTTTCGAGGGCTGGTGGTGGTGTTATTGTTACTGCTGGTAGCAGCATTGCTGGCGTCTCTGAGCTGCAGCTCCACCGTGAGCTGGTCCACTGTCCGCCTCAGCTGCACCAGCTCCGTCTTCTGCATCCAGTACGACTTGAGCAGCATCTGGTGCTTGATGAGCAGGTCCTGGAACTGGTGTTCGAGGTTCTTGACGTGGCGTTCGCGGCGTTCGCGGAAGGCTCGCTGCGAGAGGCGGTTTTGGGCGCGGCGTCTCTGAGACTGAGTCAGAGTGATGTCGCAGATATGAGACCGTGTCTGGTATGTTCACTTACAGCGCGAATCGCGGCATAGTCGTTCTTGTCGGGGTTCTGCTTCTTGGCGTCTGGAGGCGTGTTGGGCTGCGAGGGGAGGCTTTCGCTGGTGGGTGAGGACAAGGGAGGCTCGTCTGATGGCTCGGGGGTGTGCGCCATGCTGAATTATGGACTCAATAGATTGGCTGAGTGAATTTCAATCCTGGGACGGTCAGACTATGCGGTTCGAAAGTAGTTGACTGTGAAGGAATACCTACAGTCGAGATTGTGGTCGAATTGTAGTATTTCAGGGAGTAATTGAACGGGAAATGCCGCAGATTTATTTTATTTCGTTGGAAATAAATAGTGCTGTAAGCTTTGCTGTACACGCGCTGGTATGAGCAGACTATGGTAGCTTCAAGCAGGCTGAGAGTTGCAACAAGAATCGATCAATCGTCATGAAGCTGAAAAAAAAAAGGTATGTGCTATATGTACTGTACAACACAGTATAATGTCACTGCAGTAGCAATTGACGGAGACAGATTGACCGACGTGGATAGAGCATGGCCAGCCCAGAGTTATTATAAGGGAGCGATCGCAGCAATAAATCGACCCACCTACGTCAACGCAAAGCCGCAAGCTAAAGCCTGGAGCGCAATGCAATGCTTCCTTTATCGGCCGTGCAGGCAAAAAGATGGACATACCCAGAACGGCAACAGTATCGACAGGGGGGCACCGCCACTGATTGGCGCAAAGCAGGCGATCGATGGGGAAGAACCGGCCGAGCGAGTTCCGAGAATCTCTCGGTCGGGATTTTTTACAGTTTGAGATTGACAGGGCTGCGATGCCGGGTTCCGCTGACGTTGGACGCAAGCACCAGGGATGGAGGAATAAAATAAAGCAGTTTACGCTGTCTTCATTCTGCTGTGTAGTATTAATTCAATACTATAGATTTGATTAATTATCCTGAAACTGTTAGACATAAAATTCAGACATCCATGCATAGACACACATATCTATCCACTGTTAGCAGAAATATTCTGCACTCACAGACAACACCCAAAAAGTCTCTTCGAGGGATATTTTCCGATGCAACGCGACCATGTTCACATGCGACTCACTGTATTCCATCTTCAGTGCCAAATTAGGAAATGAATTTGCGCCACTCGCCGTTGCCACCCAACTATGAATTTTTTTTTTCTTTGAAGAAAGAAAAACACCCCTGTTCATCCTCCTCATCATGATTCTACTCATCGTCATCACAATTATTGCGATGAATTGACTTTCATCTGACATCTGTGCTGTTTCGACTCATGCACTGCTTCTTCTCCGCACTCCTCATCCCTTCCCCTCACCCCTCACGGGCTTCCCCACTCGGCCTCGTATTCCGCGTATTGTCGAGTCTTTTGCTCCCGCATGCGGAGAAGCACAGCTAGCTACGATTAAACTAGAATTCTAGAATCCTACTGTCGATCATGGCGCCAAGTAGCGGTCTACTGACAGCCTGCGGTGTAGACTAGACAGCTGGCCAGGGAGCTGAGGATCTGCCATACCCCGACAAGAAAATAAAGTCTGAATAGAACAAGACTCGCAGTTAACTGCTACAGTAGACTATCTAACGCAGCTTACTCAGAAGCTATATTATTCTCATTAATTGCCTCCCAGACGTAGGCAGATAGTCTGATTACTGACGTAGAATTGCAACTACGTATGTAGGACACATGGTCATTCCGCAAAAGGAGTTAACTCCAGGCACGAAACACTAGCGCAATGTCTAACACTAGTCCCGACAACACTATTCGTGGATCACCCTTCCATCCAATCAGAGGAGATCCCGAGATCGGGATCGAGACGGACGGAATCGGCATCCACGCGGAGCAGCCGGAGAGAAGTATGCACATGCTTGGCATGCTTGTAGTCTCTGCAAGCTGAAAGTCGAGAATTTGAAGCTGGACGGCCAGCAATTCCAGTTTGACCCTTTTCATTTATTTGATCCTCAGCCAGCTAGCCGAAGGATATGTTCGAAGTGCGAGTATTTTTTCGTAGATGCTATTCACAGGCCCGTATCAATTGACAAGTATATGCGGAATAGTCTGTATACTCCGCATCCTCCGCACAATCCATCAGATCAATCATCTCCATGGGTAGAAGTCAAATTCAAGTCTGTATCGAGTCAATCTGGAGAATTGGGGAACGGTGTCTGAAAGAGCTGTTCCTAGAGCAGCTGTCACGATTTTTGCTGGTGCATACAGTAATCCTTATACTCGGAAGTATATACACTCTACCACCGATTATCCACAGTACCTATATCAATTGACATCGTCGAATGGATATCGAACTATGTGCCTTTTACAATAACGTGTCTTCAGAAGACTACGATTTGTAAACTAGCGACTGCAATCGCACCAATTGCTCAGAAAACATGTTCGTGACCGAGGCATCCCGTGAACAGACCTATAATTCGCATCTTAAGAATCAAATTCTAGAATCTATATCTTCCTAGTTTACAACTCTCTGGCTAGACCTGACTCCTCACTAAGAACAATTCTGGACGTTATCAGTAAAGTATTAGGGTTAGGGTTGTATCCACCGCATCCGGATCCACTGCGATCCACTACGTCATTCATCTCCTCGCGTGTATCCCTACCAAATCGGGAAATACTATCTGGCCAATGACAGTCATGCCCACTTTTTTGTCTTTGACCCTGTACGGAGTACATACGGAGTACTCCATACGGAGGGAATTCCCCAAATTATTCTGAGAATCGACCAGACTGGGGCATAAAAGAAAAGAAACACCTAGGTTGTCTAGTGAACCCCCTAGTGTGACTGTGTGAATGATAGCTGGCCAGGTTGACATATTCCCTAAGCTGTACATAGTCCAGTGACGGGTGACGGACGCAGGATGGAGTACTAGAAGGAAGGATAGTGTTGAGGTCATTGAACTTCGACCTCGACACCTTATATTATTATTATGCCCTACTAGGTAGATATGTATCTACCAGAGGTAGCATTCCATTCCCGTGATGGGGTAGAATGCATGCGGATTCTCCGAGTAAAGACCGAATCAAGACGATTACGGCAATCGTTCAGAGTACATACTTGTACTGTATCCGTTCCTATCTATATGGAGCTTCTAAACGTCATCTATAAGAGCAGGTATACTGTGTGCATGACTCAGAATAGCTGGTTTCTACTAGCCATAACTGATCTGTCCCGCATTCGTGTAGTTGATGTCTCTCCAGCTGTAGTTTTTCTTGGAGTCATATACAGGATTTGTCTGGTTTGATTGTCACAAGGTGCTGTCTAAATGTCAAACGCATACATACAGGCCCAATGGCTCGTGTCTGTAACCAACAACCAGATCGACTATAAGAGGTCAAAGCGTCTAGGGAAGGTTAATTGCAGTTATCTGCCTAGCCCATAACTCATACCTCATGCGAGCCATAATCAGCATAATCAACGGGAGGTGTTCTTGTAGCTGCAAATATCTGCAAGGGCTCGGACGTACACGTGACCATCTCGTTCCTGAGACATTGATCGAAGCCAGAAGATTAGCTCTACACGCCGTGCGGAGAAGCAGAAGTCTATTCAGAGTAGAATGCGGGGAAGGCATGATGCAAGTAGAGTTTAATTTCAGTCTGGAGAGAACTTGCTGCCTGTCTTGATAGATAATAACAGTCAGATTGAAGCATGTGCAAGCAGATGCAAGTAACAATCCGTTCAGCGAGTCCAAATGTGAATTGTAATTGAGAAGTCGTTACTAACTAGTTACTTTCTACCTTTGGAGACCTGCTATCACAAGTATACTGCATTTCCTACCTGGGGAAAGGAGAAGTCAGAACTGACGGCTGACCTTGGTTCAACTGATCAATCGAGTACTAAAGTGTTCTACGCGTAGCCTTCATACTGAGGTGTAAACTATATGCTCTCTTGAATACTTATCTTTCGATATCCTTTTGGAATATTTTGCAGCTTGTTTGGATCTTCTGTCTATTCCAGGCAATAGGGTTCAAAATATCAGAATACTAGGGGGAAAAAAAACAGATCCACCCATGTTGGCTGTTTCTTAGTCAAGACGCAAGTATCCACTGTGCTTTTGATATTAGGTCGTGATTTACTCCGTATGCTAACATGATGGTATAACATCCCCCTGTCGTTGTTTTTTTTTTTGATTGATTCCTGACACTGGATGTCTCCTCTCTAGTGCGTAAATGAAACGATAAAAAAACTACTTGATGCAAAACCCTTCAGGTTGAAGCGCCTGCCGTCGCCATCAAGTAATATACTGACTTGCCCAGATGTGGTCCTTGCCATTCTCAGTATTTTCTTCCCGGTATACTATAGTCAACTTCCTACAGAAATCTGCCACAATCCACATCGCAAAGAGTGCTGCGCTGGCAGGCTGTTTACAATACAATGCTAGACAACAATATCAATAATAATGCTTTTCGACTGAAACGAATAATAAGTATACTCCATGAAAAATAGGCCGCGACGGCGCCGTCGTGCTGCGGCCCAGCACGCAGCTGGTGGTCGTCCAGCCCGTAGCCGTCCTTCAGGCGGAAGACATGCGGCAGGATGGGGTGGTCCAGTAGGTTCTGGCCGACGTGCGGCGAGTCGACGACGGTCTTGATGTTGAACTGCGCCAGGTCCTTCGCCGGCCCGATGCCCGACAGCAGCAGCAGCTTGGGCGACTCGTACACGCCGCCGGCGACGATGACCTCCCTGCGGGCCGTGACGACCAGGTCCTCGCCGTTGGGCCCGCGCACCTCGACGCCGGTGACGCGGTCGCCCTGGATGATCAGCCGCTTGCCGTGTGACGACGACAGCACGGTGATGTTGGGCTTGCCGACGAGATAGGACCAGCTGGACGAGCGCAGTCCGCGGTAGATGGTGTTGACGCAGTGCGTCAGGCCGGACATGGTGCCCGAGTAGATGTCGTCGGTCAGCTTCTGGCCCTTGCTCACCCACGCCTTCTTCAGCGCCTCGCGGAAGGGCTCGAGTTTGGGCACGAGCTCGGCGTGCAGGGGGCCGTTGCGGCCGATGTTCCTCAGCTTGGGGTAGAGGCCCAGGTCATCGTGGTAGTTTGCGGGCTGGAAACAGCATCAGCATCAGAATCAGCATCAGTATCAGCGTATCTCCTGGCACACCTTGTCAAAGTACTCCTTGACGCCCTCCCACGTCCAGCCAGACCCCCCGTAGGGCTCCCAGTCGTCGAACGTGCCCTTGCTGCCGCGCACCCAGGTGTAGTAGTTCAGACAGCTGCTACCCCCCCAGCACCTTGCCGCGCGTGTTGGGCTTCTCGACGCGCTCGTAGTCGTCGCGGTTGATCATGGTCGACTTGTACGCCCAGTCGTTGGGGCCGCCGTGGTTCTCGAACGCGCGCGCCAGCGTGGTGATCTCGGGGATGTTCTGGGGGTCGCTGCGCAGCGTGAGCAGAGGAGATGAAGTCAGAGATGATATTACTGCACATACCCTCGCCCAGCCTCGATCACCAACACCGACACCTTGGGGTTCTCGGTCAGCCGGCCAGCGACGACATTGCCAGCAGTGCCGCCTGCATGGTCAGCGTGTCTTGCTGTTAGGAGAAGCAGGATTCTTACCTCCGACAACGATGAAGTCGTACTCAGAGGCCATTTTGGGGACAGTTGTGTGGATGTTGGATGCGGACATAGCAACACGGGATAGATACTCGATTGCACAGATACTCGATTGCTCGAGTTGCAGCAACTCGAGAATGCTTGGCTTCTACCCTCTCTTTATATCTGCATCCTGGCAATCAAGGGATGACTTAGAGTTTAATCAGTCGTTCAAACATCGCTGGCGTGGTCACGGCGCGTCCAGCTGTGCGACCTCTGCGTGATGCTGAGTCGACGACTGCCGTGCAGCAGCCACGAAACCATCCACGATCCCGGTCGCATGCGTGCTGAATAACGAACGGGCATATCTCGGCGATGCGCGAGCGGGCTGGTTGCATCGCGAGGTCATCGCCTTGCCAAATGCGGAAATCTGTCGGACGCCCCGCGACGTTGCACCAAAAAGTCGTGAAATCACCTCGATGCCTGCACTGCACACGCCGTTTCCAGACTCGAGCGTTGCATGCACGCGCGGATGCAGCAAGTCGCTGCTCCCCCGGACGCCGCATGCATCGGCCGTCGACAGTCATGACACCATCCATGTCCCCTTCTCCCCAGGCATGTCCGTCCATCCTCGCTGCCCTGTCGCTGCGTCGTTAGTCATGAGCAGCTCAGTTGACGTAGATGCAATTGCTTGCGTCTCCACAGCGTGATGAAAACGATCTGATCGTGCCATCGACGCAGCGTCTGGCGCTGTTTACATATCCGCGCAATCCCGCTGGACGGGCGAAGGGCGCCCCTGGAGGCTATATATATTAGGTCTCTTAAGTGTCAGTCAAGTCGGAAGTGAACATGTCGATGTCCATGCTGCCCGTCAGAGCCAGCCGACTAATCAAATCAAAAAGCCCGAAGAGCCCTCTGTTCGGCCTAATCTTCACCATGTCGAAACACGTAGGCTATCTCTCTCCCCTGGAGGACTAGGCTGAAGGACTGGGCTAACTGTGATAGACTTCTTCTCGGCCTCACTACACGCTTGCTGAGGGTAGGTTTTGCCTGACTTCTCCTTCGCCTAATGCTAGCTCTACACACGAATCCTGTACTTATGCTGACTTCATCAGGTCGGCCTGTTGCCAACCCAAACACCGCTCTGCAGATCTCCAGGCCCGCTGGCGGTGGCCTGCTCCTGCTGCAAGACACCCAGCTGCTCGAGACCTTGGCTCACTTCAACCGCGAACGCATTCCTGAACGGTAGGATGCTCATCAAGTCATCTTGATCTGTACTCATGCCTGCAGAGTCGTCCACGCCGCGGCCGCCGGTGCCTATGGCGAGTTCGAGGTGACCCACGACGTGTCCGACATCACGTCCGCCGACTTCCTGAACGGCATCGGCAAGAAGACGCGCGTGCTGGCGCGCATCTCGACCGTCGGCCCTGAGAAAGGCGGTGCCGACGCCGTGCGAGACGTGCGCGGCTTCGCGGTCAAGTTCTACACGAAGGAGGGTAACAACGACTGGGTTTTCAACGACATTGTAAGCTCCCGCCCAGAAGAGAGAACACAGCAGACTGACTGGCCAGCCCGTCTTCTTCGTCCGCGACCCGATCAAGTTCCCGTCAATGAACCGCTCCCACAAGCGGCACCCGCAGACCAACTGCCATGACCCGAACATGTTCTGGGAGTGAGTTGGCTGTCAGTCTCACTTCGTGATATCTGCTGACCAGACAGCTTCCACGCGCACAACCAAGAGGGCATCCATGCGCTCATGCACATCCTCAGCGACCGGGGCACGCCCGCCTCGCTCCGTCACATCCACGGCTTCAGCGGCCACACGTACAAATTCACCAAGCCGGTGGGCTCTTTCTCTCTGCCAAGTCGAGAGACTCCCGAACTAACCGCCGCAGGACGGCTCCTTCAAATACGTCAAGATCCACCTCAAGTCCAACCAGGGCATCAAGACGCTCAACCGGCACGAGGCGGCCAAGCTCAACGGCGAGAACCCCAACCACCACACCGAGGACCTGTTCAACGCCATCGAGCGCGGCGACTACCCCAGCTGGACCGTCTACGTGCAGGTCATGGACCCCAAGGACGCCGAGAAGTACCGCTGGAACATCTTCGACCTGACGCGTGTGTGGCCGCACAAGGACTATCCGCTGCGGCCGATCGGGAAGCTGACGCTGAACGAGAATGTAAGTCATCAACATCTTTCAAAAATCGTAAGGACATGCTGACGATGCAGCCCAAAAACTACTTCGAGGACATTGAACAGGCCGCCTTTTCGCCGTCGACAATGGTCCCAGGCATTGCGCCGTCTGCCGATCCGAGTATGTATAGCCTCAATACTTCCGCAAACGGAAACTGACTCTCTTCCACAGTCCTGCAAGCCCGCATGTTCGCCTACCCCGACGCCGCGCGCTACCGCCTGGGCCCCAACTACCAGCAGCTGCCACCCAACGCAGCCAAATGCCCCGTGTACTCGCCGTACCAGCGCGACGGCTTCCCGTCGATCAAGGGCAACTACGGCGGCGATCTCAACTACGTGGGCTCGGGCGTGCTGCCGGTCTCGACGCGCGACATCCCCGAGAACCACCACGACCACTGGGTCGGCCAAGTCACCGCTTTCTCGTCCGAGGTCACCGACGAGGATTTTGTCCAGCCGCGCGATCTGTGGCAGAGGGTGCTGGCCAAGCAGCCCGGTCAGCAGGAGAATCTGATTGACAACGTGGCCAGTTTTGTGGCTGGTGCGCAGCCGGATATTCGGAAGAAGACTTACGGTAGTCCTCCTTCCTCCTTTAGGAGACTCCTGTGCTGTGTATTTTTAATGGCTAGGCTGACTTTTTGCAGAAATGTTCTCCCGCGTCGACAAGGACCTGGGCAGGCGTATTGCGGAGCAGGTCAAGAAGTACAACAACGGGTCTTCTTAATTGCCTTATTGCCTGGCCGACTGATTCCTGACTGACTGATTGATTTGTGGATATGGAATATACGGATTATAAGATCCATCAGACAGGATGGTACAGTACTATTTGTCTTGGCTTCATCGCTGAGGTATCCATTCCTGCGACGGATGACAGTCGTCCTAAACAACACAAATATGGCATATAAATGCATTCACAGGTATAATAGCGGAAGAATGCTACATGGATGAAAATACAAGATAGGTAACTACCTCTACTGAATGCCATCAAAAGTAATTTACTACGAATATTCTGCTTCAATCACTTAATTCCATTCGCTATATGAATTAACATCACATCGTATGGATATATACCGTCCTCGACAATAATCAAGGAGTGGTCGTAGTTGGTTCATTGATTGCCTGACTGACTGACTGACTGTGCTATTATTAAACTATTAATTATACAATACATCCATAAACGCTGCCATGCCATCCCACCTCGTCAGCGCACTGGTCGACAAGGGGAAATCTTTTCGAAAGAATGGAAGAATGCATTTGATTGATCAAGCTTTCACCAAGCTGATGAAAGTCATCATGCTTGTTTAGATGCCTAGAAAGCCAGCACGGCTGCCAGCGCTGCAACAGCGCCAACACCGCCGCTGATGCTGTTCACCGACGCCGCGCCGGTGTACAGAGGAGGCGAGGAGCTGGAGGTCGGCTTGCCGGGCAGACCGCTGCTTGGCTTGATTCCTGACGACGACGAAGGCGCGACGCCAGATGCTCCGGCTGAGGAGGAAGCAGGTCCAGTTGCAGTGGCAGATCCAGTGGCAGTGGCAGATCCGGTCGGAGTGGCAGTAGCAGTTCCAGTAGCAGTACCAGTAGTCGTGCCAGTCGCAGTAGTTGAGCTACCAGACCCAGTAGCCGTAGACGTAGCCGTAGCTGTAGACGTGCCCGTGCTGGACGAGCTGCCAGTCCCCTGGAACGCATCGATGCCCTTCTGAATGGCATCCGTGATGCCAGAAGCCAGCTGCTGGGCCACCGACGACAGCGACGAAGGGACCTTGGACGAGATGGCATTGGCGAGGTCCGCGGCAGCCGTCTTCTGCGACTGCAGGCTAGACTCGACCTGGCCGCCGGCGCCGGCCGCGACGAGCTGGCTCTTCTTCGCGATGAGGTCGTCGATAGCGCTCTGCACGTCCTTGGTCAGGTCCTCGACCGGACTGGTCAGCTGCAGCGCGTCGCTCTCGCTGAGCTGGTCCTGGCCGTTGATGGTCGAGACGCCCTGCGTGGTGGCGTCGGCGATGGCGTTGCCGGCGTCGAGCAGCGACGACGCCGACCCCCCGCTGTAGCTCTTGATCTGCGAGTCGAACGACTTGACCTTGCTGTCGATGTTGGCGATGACGCTGGTGAAGGTGCCCAGGTCACGCCTGGTGAGGGTTGGGTCGCGGACGACGACGGTGGGCGTCGCGACGGCGAGGCCGAGGGAGGACAGCAGGATGGCAGTAAACTTCATCTTGAGTGTCGAGAGTCTGGTACTGATTGTGTACTGAGCGAGCGTGCGGAACGAGCGTGATCAAGATAGTTCAGAGAACGGCCTGTGGGATATTCTCAGACTGGACGATCGAACTGGACGATCGATCGATCGTGGACAGCGGGTTTCACACCCTTTATATACCACAAAGCCAGCGACAAAGACTGCACTCCCCCCCTAGGTGTCGCCCTGATTCGCCATCCGGCGCAGACATCGCGATATCGACATGGATCAGGGGTCATCCCCAGAAAGTCAGCCCAAAAATCAACCCAATCGGTGGCAGACAAACAGCGCAGCTTCATTTCGGCAGTTCGGACAACCGCGGCTGAGAAGAGGGCTGGCATGTGCTCGCCAGTCGAATCGTGCTGAGTCAGTCGCATGAAGGGCATCCTGGATGATGGTTAGCGACTTGTCTCGATCCAGCATAGCAATGTCTCACTTGGATCAAACCTTCCCAGTAACGAGCTGCCGCCAAGGCTGAGGGTCTGCACGCCATCCATCGAGGTTATATCGCAAGATTCGCTGACCAGACACGTTGTCCCACTGTGCTGCTGCCAGGCTGGTATTTACCTGAAATTTCCCTGAATCTCGTGTGATGATATCTCGTCTGCTCATCAATAATTTCCTTTGGTTAGTTGTTCCGGCAGCTCAAGGCTAGAGGTCAGAATCGCATAATTCTCGTCATCCAGCCAGTATAGTATCATTAACCATGGTCTACACTCTGTTGGGAGTACTAAACAGCTAGCGCATGTCACCACCTATCAGGCAACTCCATGCAAGACAGATGGCCAACCCCATGGGGTGGAAGCGATTAGCGTTGCGCCATCAAATAATGCAACGCCACACGCCATGTTTCTGAGGGGTCTACGTACGGAGTAGGGTTCTGCTAGTCAGGTGGAAAGCATGTATCTGAATGCATAATAATGACCGGATCGATCACATGCATAAACTATCTAGTTGGAAGAAATAAAATAAAATACCTAGGTAAATTAATTGCTTGCAAGGATTTTGTTTGATCTAGAACCTTTCTCCTGATAATAATAGCCTTGTTATTCTATTCTCGTTTTAACTTGTATTATTCCTCTTCAGAATGGCAGACACACTTAAAGTTTGTGCAAATGGCACAATAATAGAATTTAGGGCTACTGCCAAGTCAATACCCTCGGTAGACTGACTGCTGTGAAGGACAGCATGCTGATTCGGTCAATACATACCAGCCTGTCCATCCCTTGGCTTTGCATGATCTTTGACATAACATATCTGCACAAATCCGTGTCCATACTCTATACGCACCGTTTCATTCTTTCTTCTAAAACCCTACCTTACAGCATTAAGCCTAGGTACATACCTTAGTGCCTAATTAAACAATACAGTTAGTTTAACGCTTAATATACTACTACATCCAATCCCTGACTGCATCCACAATTCCATCACGTAATGTAAATTGCTAAATTGTACCCCGTACGGGGAGTACTTACTAGTACTAAGTTAGGTGCCAACCAACAGTGTTGGCTTGTCATCTATTGGTCTGCATGTCTTTTACTGCTCTAACTCTGTACCTAACACTAAATACTCGGATCTCGGGGATTCAGACAAGCCGGGAGACAATTTAAATACAACCCCGCATTGTATTGGATCTTATGCCCGTCGCTAAAATTATACTTAGTCTGGAGTATGTTAAATTAAATTAAATTAGTCTCATCCTAGCATTAATGCACTTAACTCAGGGAGTCAAGAATCATGGTTACTTCAGTACTGCGTAACTACCTAGGTAGTTAGTTACTAGAGTACGTAGCTACGGAGTAGTGCATAATACACTACGACCGTCTGTTGATTGATTGATTTTTATTTGTATTTGTATTTTAATACGCGGAGATCCTGACGATCCTGATAATCCTGATAATGCTGCTGATCTCGATGATCATGGGCTGAATGATCGATGATCGATCGATCGATCGTCTATCAGATCGATTTTATTTTTAGGTAAACTACACCGCACATGTAGAAAACAATGTTAGCTAGTGAATTAAATAATAATGTCGACGGTTGGACTTGAACAATGAATGGAAGGAAAGGGGGAAAAACAAAAAGTCTCTAATAGCGTCCAAGTCACTGTATTATTCTCTCTACTCCGTATTATTTTATTCACTTCCCATCCCATCCCTGCCTATAAACGTACAGTACAGTACAGTACAGTACATTATGCACACTGCCCCCTTTTTCCCCTTTCATTCACAGCCTTAATTATTAATTAATTTAATTTTATTTTATTTTTAGGTAGCACGAATAAAACCGTTTACGGAGTATGCACCTGTGTGCATGCAGAGCAGGTTACTAGGTAGTCTAATTGATTAATTGCTTAATTGATTAATTAATTATCGATTCTAGACTATACTGAATTTCCTGTCTAGTTGTACTGTACTGTACTGTACATGGGTTAATAATCACTATTATTAATTCATTAATTACCCCTGAAAAACGTTGCGTCTGACCTGCTACTTAGCTCCGGGTGGTAACAATAGGTCGTATGTATGGATGTATTTAGATTGGATATCTAACAATAGCTGACAATAGCTGACTGATATCTGATCAGTGAGCATGAGTTCTGAATAAAGACATTATGTTAGTTTTTTTTTCTTTTTCTTTTCCTTCTTCTTTTCTTTCCTTTTCTTTCCTTTTATCTATCGTAACTCATAGCTTATACCTATTATTAGTACAGTACAGTACATGTTATATGTTATATGTTATATGTTATTTTACCGAGCACGCCAGAATACATACCATGATCCCGCCCGTCTATAGACATATTTCTTTTCCCTCTTTTTTTCTGTCGTTTTTTTTGCCTAATTGCTAACCCCCATGAATCGACGACAACAACGAATCCACAGTCCAATACTCGTCGTCATCGTCAACATTATAGATATCCTTCTCAAACTTCCCGCTGAACATGTTGAGCAGACACCGCTCCACGCCAATGCGCGCCTCGCTGCTCAGCGACGTCAGCACCTCCGTCATGTGCACCACGTAGTTGGCCCGGCTGGCGTTGTCGGACTGGTTCATGAAGTGCTCCAGCAGGAACGCTCGCAGGTTGCTGATCGACCCGCCCCAGAAGTCGCGCGTCTCGGCCAGGGCGGCGTCCAGCACCGCGAGGTCGTCTTTCTCGTTCTCCGGGATGGCGGGCCATGACGACGAGTCTTGCGCCGACGTCGATGCCACGACGTCGCGGAACGACGACGACGTTGATTCCTGCAGCATCACGCCGATGTAGAATAGACATACGATGCGGTCGTATTCAAACGGACTGGTCTGCGAGGCTGACTCCGATGTGTACGTGTGCTGGCTCTGCCGGAACGACGTCCGCAGGAAGCTGACCGCTTCGTACAGCGTCGGATACCGCCGCAGTCCCTCCGAGTGCAGCCAGCGCGATCCCCCCATCAGGCTCCGCATGTCCTGGATGAACGAGATCAGCCAGAGCGAGCGAAGCTTGCGCAGATCGACCGTTGCGCCCGTCGAGGCCATGTAGGCCAGCGAATTCGATATCTCGGAGATGTGGTTGGACGGGTAGAACCAGGAGGGTTTGGCCATTAACGAGATGCTACATAAATACATCATGTCAGTACACGCCAGACCACTACAAAGCGACAACTTACAGTTGCAGAACCAGTCCTAGACGCCAGTTGCCTTGCAGAGCCGCTATGCCGCCTCTCGCTTTGATCATCCTCTCGAGTCCATCGCGATGCACTCTCCACACATCTTCCGTTCCCCAGTATCTCTACACGGCGTTAGCAAAGCACATACACTGCATGAGGTTCAGACACACCTCAAAAGTTAGCAATCTCACCACCGCCGCAAACGTGTGGTCGCTCAGCATGGTGCTTTCGTCCTGCAGCCACTTGTTGACCAGACTGACGGCTTCGACCTTGTACTTCAGCACCTCCATGGAATGCTTCTCGCCGCGGAGGTAGGCCAGATGGGCGGCCGAGTGTGCCAACATGCCATTGAACGACGCCGCGTTGGACAGATCAAGAGGAAACCACACATCCCGCATGGGATTGAAGTCGACCGTTGGCGACTGCTCAAACATCATCGCCGCATGCGTGCTCAGCCCTAACCTCGTTAGCAAGACGGCGTGTGGCGGCGTGTGGCGGCATGCGTGCTGGGACTTACAGTGATGCAGCAATTCATGGTGTCTGGCCGTCAGCCTGACCGGAAACGTGTCGAACGGGTCTAAACTGACGGCCGCCAGCGCATGGTTCATGCCTGTCAGCGCCTGCGCCGCGACGCCGAGAGGCTGCTGCCGATGCTCGTCAGGATGGGACGAATCGCCGTGAGAAGCCGTAGCCGACTCGTCGGCACTCCATTGCATCGGCGTCAATGCCTGGGACTGGTGATCGTCGGCGGTGGTGCTCACAGTGCTTGGATCGGAGACAGTATGTGTTCGCGAGACGTCTTCCTGCTGCTCTGTGGCGGCTGCGGCGGCGGGCTTGGGCACCAGACGGCGGCTGCTGGGCAGGGAGCGACTCTGGCTCTGCTGCAGCAGCTTCTGCTGCTTGCGTTTCCTCCATGACTCGCGCATGGCATGGCTGCGCGCGCGGGAGTCGTCCTGCTGGGTGACAAAGGTGAACGTGCGAGCGCCGACTTGCGCGGGACGGTCGACGCCTTCGCGCCGGGATTTCCGGCGAGCAGCCGCATCGCTACCATCTGAATCATCGGCCATGGAGAAGAGAAATAAGGTCTCAGAACTCGGGAAGCTCTTCTTGGTCAAATCTGCAGGACATGATTACTGTGCGAGGTGAGGTCGGTCTGGAGGCGATCAAGCTCGGAGTTGCCGTGCTGTGAACGGCCAGACAAACGCGCAGACCTCCGGATCGAAACTGCCTCGCTAGAGATGTCGACGCCGGATTGCTACAGCCAACACAGACATGCTCAGCGGGTGGAGCGAAACTGGAGCTGGAGCTGGAGCTGGATGACTGCCAGCAAGGAGGAAGAGAGCTCGAGCTTGCGTCACGGCGGTGTCGGAAGCAGCACTGCTTAGTCAGCCGTCCTCCACTGTGGAGCAGTGGAGATGCACAAAAAGATATCACAAACAAGATGAACTGAATAGATACGGAGTATAGGGCATTCTGTTGATATACTCGTTTGTCGTTGAGAGTCAATGCGGTGCTTCCAGAGGGTCCCGCAGGCTGACAAGACGGACAAGACAGAAATATATAATTGCGGACTATCTTAAATTGCAGTAGAAAGAACAGTTCTAGTCACGAGCACACTTCGAAAGCTAAAGCTCGATAAGCAGAGCCTCTTTAATTTACGTAATATAATACTAATCTCTCTTGATAAGCAGTCACTATTGACGAGCTGTAAGGACTAGCTAGGTCTTAACCTCGGACAATTAGAATTAACCTTAACAGTCGGAAACGCAAGTTTAGATCGACTTCAATCGTGCTGAAGATTAAAAAGAATTTATTTAAAAGGAATTTATTTAAAAAGAATTCCTTAAAAATAATCCCTTTAAAATAATCCATTTAAAAAATAAATAAATAACTCATACAATTACTCTTCAATTTCCATTTATTCCCCCCCCCCAATTCCACTAATCCAACGGATAAAATGATATAGCTGCTGTCTAGGGCCTTTGTGACCTCCATAATGTATTACACCAAGACAATCAACGTGATTAAAAATGGAAGTCGTCCGATTACATTGGGGCAAGATTCGTCCTTCTTTTTTGTCTTTTCAACGTCCACGTCTGCGTTCTACGAGAAGTATGTCATTAATTAGGTCGTTCTGTATGTAGAATAATTGTGTCAGCATCTGGAAATGCTGACAATTTCTAGTAATGCTACACTGATATAATTTCTTCAAGGGATGAACAATAATAAAGTACCCAAGAGGGTGAAACAATGAACAATGGGACAATGTCACAAACGGACAAACAGACAATGAAACAAACAAAACAGGGAACAAGGAACAAACGAGGTACTGTACGTACAGTACAAAAATGACGAGTATCGTCGATCTTATCTTTCTTCATTTCATACTGGACCAGTACAGTACAGCGTAGAAGACGTAATGTACGACAAAGAGGGTTATTGTATTACACGTTGATCGACAGACCAGTGTAACTAGTCTACCAGTCTATTACTTAGTATACTTAGCTAGATGGAAAGGAAAGAAAGAAAGCAAAGAGTCAACAACCAAGCGAGTGTATTTATTCAACTCGAGTCAAGTCAAGTACAGACAAACAAATATGTACAAGTACAAACAATCAAGATAAGCAAGTATACACAATCTATCTCACAGAAGGAAGATAGAAAGAAAGAAAGAACCTCCAACACCACTCCCGAGATAATTCTCGGATAAATCCCTCAGTGTGACGAGGCCGAGTCTTGTGGAATTTGTGGAATCTAGTTAATAAACTCCCTACACCTCGCATTAGCATCCATCAATCCATGATCCATGATCATTCTTCCTGTAGATGACTTACCACTCAACGTTGAACGTGCCCAGAGGAGAATTGTTGGTCAGCTGGTTCCACGCGCCAATGCTGAAGTCAACGTCGCCCGCGCCGCAGCTCGGGCAGGTGTCGGCCACCGTCACGGTCAGCTCGTTGCCCAGGCCGCCGACGCCGTCGTTGCTGCCCGTGTTCTTGGCCCGGATCTGCTTGCCGCAGTAGGATTTGCCGTTGGCGATGGCGGCGATCAGGTCCGAGTCGGAGTGCACCTGGCCGCAGGAGCCGGCGACGCCGTACTGGTAGTAGGCGGTGCCGCGGCCGGTGGAGCTGTATACAATTAGTATAGAAGAAGAGAGGAAGAAGAAGATGATGATGAAGGAGGAGACTTACGCCGACACGGCAGCGACGAGCGAAGTGAAGAGAACAAGACCCTGGGCGAGCATTTTGACTAGAGGAATGAATGAAGTTGTTGATGGATATAGATGAAGAGAATGAACTTTGAGAGACTTTGAGCTTTTGTTTCTCGTCTTCTGACTGTTGCTGCTTGATGTCTGTTGAAGCTCGCCAGATGCTGGTATCTTGAGCCTCTTTTATATTCGCAGTCTTCGACCTCAGGAGGAGCCACGCAGCGACTGCGTCATACTCCCTCGATGCTCTTGCTCATGCTGATGCTGATGCTGACGCTGACTCTGCTGACGCCGGCAGACGACGACCTACGACGACCTATCGGGATTCGAAACCATGCCTAGCGGCAGTCGTTTCGAATCCTTCGTCCTTGCGCCAAGGGGAGAAACGCGCTTCGACAAGGATTCTAGAATGGCTCTCATGGCTCTCATCTGCCGCTGCATACGCAGGCCATTGGATGTCGTACATGATGCGTAAATCCGGAACCACGAAAAGCAGTCCCGGTGGATCGATTCGGCCCCAGATCCTTGCTGCGTCGGTTCTAGTCGTGGCCGTTAGAGGGACTGGCGTTTGCTTAGCTCTGGCTAGTAGCTCACCTTATTTTACGCTCTCCGCGAGAGCATGGCATGGCTATTTAGTTAGTGCATGCACGAGCTAATCTCGGACCGCGTGGGTGCAAGTAAGCTTGCTTGCTGCAACCGTAGCAGTGGGAAATCCAGGCACCGAGAACGGTCATTGGCGAGATCAATATCCACCGCGATTAGAGTGCGTCCCTGGCTCCGTGCTAGGATTCAAGGTACGCTCGGAGATGACGGTCTTGCCCCGAAGGGAAAGCCGCTGTCAGACCTAACGATTGTAACTTTGGCATGGCGTGAACCTTGCTGCTTCTTCTGTCAGCAGTAATCAGAGGGTAAAAACTTATCTGACGCGCCTGCTCGGGTTTCATCTTGCCATTGGTGTGTCTGTGAATGTCAGACTGTGGGTCTTGGTGGATGAATTTTCCACGGCTGTCCTGACGAGTATATTCTTATTCTGTCTGTGTAATGAACAAGATGGACCATTTGGATCGCCAATTAGTCAGATACTAAGGTACACCCCTAAGGTACCTGGCGAATGGTTTAGTATGACGGCTAGTGTAGGTACCTTGGTCCCTAAGGTTAGTATTTGTCCCTAAGGTAGCATTCGCTTGGCTAACCCCTGAAGGGCTAGATTAGTGCATCTCGGTGATATTTTCCCCGAAAGAGAGATATTAGTGACGCCGGCAGACGGTATTTCCTGGCCTAAATAGGCGATAGTGAAGCTTGGCTATAGCTCTGTCGATGTATACCGTCTTCAGTCTATATTGCTGAGATTTGCTGACTCATCACTAACTGAAAGAGGAGATGGTCAGTGAATTGAGTTCTGATGTATACTGGTTGGAGCCTAGTGAAACAATTCATCAGTTACCCTGTAGCCAAGAATAATGATCCTGCGTATATCGTTATCTCAGTTAGTGCTCCTACAACTTGCGTATGTAGGTCGATAGATCTTGGCTTGCGGAGGAGTACTCCGTAGAAACCACAGACGTAGGAAGTGGCATCCCGTCCAGCAGATCCGTGGCGTCAGGATACGCGCGTGCATACTGGCTGTGGCGAAAACTGCGGGGTGAGGCTGCCGGCTTGCCGCATCTGGGCAAGGGGAGGATCATGGCGATGGCGCGAATACGCAGGAACGGCAGCCTTGCAGTAGCGCGTCTAGAAAATAACCTCAGGAGCTAGATCTGAACGCAATTGATTAATTGTTGTGGTCTGCTCTGTTGTACGGTTCCTGACGCGTGGCGGGGGCGGAAAATGCGCAACTCGCAGCGTGGAACGTGGAATCAAAGGAAATTAAAGATAGCGGCTCTCCGTCGGCGCTGATAAGCAGATTTCCGATCAAGATTAGGATTATTTCGGATTATTTGCTGACTCATCGCAGGAACAGGCTTAGGTCGCATCGCGTGGCCCCAGCTCTGCCCCATCGTGGCATTGGCCCCGATTGACAATTAACATTGAGTTGTGCAGCGCCAGGGGGAGCTAATGCTGAGTTTAACCTGCAACAGCCGACATGCTACCTCACTGCCTGCCCATCTGTATCTGGAGTGGAGCGTACCGTGTGCTCCAGGATGGAAGGCCCGGAAATCCATCGTCTACGGCCATATCCATCTCTATCTGTGTGGAGTCCGGTATAGGACCCGAAATCCTTGGCTGAAGATGAGCCTATTCGCAGCTGCCGTCACATGGCCATGAGCATTTGTGAGCATTGGCCCATGCGGCTCTCAGGCATGCTCATCCTGCTCGTCCGGAGATGCCATGATCCCTGCCTGAAGGTAGCATCCCGACGGAGTGTCGTTTCATCTCCACCATGGCTTCCACGCTGAAGTTACACTTCCCCAACGTCGAACGGCTATCTCGACCCGCGGTTGGTCGATGACTGCCCGTCTGAACGACCCCCAGTTCAAGTTGGACTTATGCTACCTCGTACGATGCTCCATGGCCCCGGATGCCAGGGGCAAGAGCCCGCGCTCAGGGCTTCTAGAAGGCCTCCATCTTCGATTCTGTATCTCCTGACCGTTGAGTCTGGGGTATAAAAGATGGACAGACGCCGTGGATCAGGCTCTCGTTCCATCATCAAGCAGAACGAGCTCGAGTAGCCAGGTTTCGGTGCAGCCTTCCATTCCTTTGATTGCGTTCATTTACACTCCTTGTTTTCAGACAAAGACCACTATCCTTCAGTTCAGTTCACTTCAGTTCAATCCTTTCAAAATGTTTGTTCGCAACCTGCTCCTCGCTGGATCCGTGATCAGCCTCGCCCAGGCGGCTCCTACCCAGACCATCAAGGCGATCGCCCGCGCGATCGCTGCCACCGGTGAGAAGGTCACCAACGGGGCTGCCGTGAAGACCGTCAACGACAACGACGGTGTTGGTGCGGGCACAGACACCTACAAGCAGTACAACGGTGACGGTTCGACGGCCGCGGGCTGGCCCTCCCAGTCTCAGTGGGTTTCTTTCGAGGACATGTAGGTGACTGCGGCCAATTTGCATTCGATCTGATCTGACGATCGCAGGTTCAACGCCAACAAGGCCCTGATGAAGGAGTCGTGCGCCCAGTTCGGCCAGGCCAACAACAGCGACGAGGAAATCCAGGCCATCCACGACGCCATCGAGCAGATCGCCGCCCAGACCTACGTCGACCACCGCTTCATCCTGGCCGTCATCATGCAGGAGTCTGGCGGCTGTGTGCGCGCGCCGACCACCTACGGCAGCGTGGCCAACCCGGGTCTGATGCAGGACCACGCAGGCAGCGCGAGCTGCTATAACGTCAACCCGTGCCCAGCGTCGACCATCACGCAGATGATCTCGGAAGGAAGTGAGTACTGGAAACATACACAATCAGAATGATCCCTGCTAATGATTTCTTCCAGCCGCCGGCACGACTAGCGGCGACGGTCTCGCCAACACCCTCAACGAGGCCCCCGCGGGCTCTGGCGCGCAGGCCTTCTACCAGGCTGCACGGATCTACAACTCGGGCTCGATCGACCCGTCTGGCGACCTCGGCAAGGGCGTCGCCACGCACTGCTACGCGTCGGACATTGCCAACCGCCTGACCGGCTGGGTGACTGCGCAGAAGACCTGCACGCTGGACTAGAGGCCCGGCGGGTCGACATGCTGCGCTGTGGGCGGTGAATCGTTCGTTTCAGACTAGCATCCGCAGGGCGGTATGTCAGAAGTCTCCTGTTATTTCTGTACATAGATTAGATTCTTTGGGTAGGATAGGATAGGTTCAATGGAGGATTACTGCCTGCTTTCTAGCATTAGATTCTCTCAGTATGTTCAGTAAGATAGTTATCTGTCCATTACATAAGCAGGCTAGTCCGCAACAGGCAAGTGGATGTCTAAGCTTATCCCCCGCATTTCCCCCTTTTTTTCCCTTGCTCGTTCGAGAAATTCGCCTGCGGATCCTGACCGTATTCGTGGGAATTGATTCTGGGGAATTCTCCTGCTGGCAACGGTTGCCGACGATAGTCACGATACGGGGAGCTGTGTCTGCTGTCCGGTCTGCAGCTCGTCCATTGCTGGGCATTGTGCTGCTCTGCTGAGAAACAATGCTGCTGTTTTCCATCGCAGAAAATCTACGAATGATGTCTTCTTATTCTTCTTCTTCCTATCAACCAGAATCTGCGACATGACGTCTGCAGTAGCTTCCCCTGCTGTGTTACTCGTGTAACACGCGTCGTGGCCGTCGTCATGGCCGTCGATCTGGCCTTCTCCAGACCGGCAGATCCTCCGACCCCACATCGCATGCCAATAAATACGGGGTAGACCCCTGCCCCGGCTGCAGGATGATGTCTTCTTTCCGCTGCACGTTCTGCTGCTTGTGTGCAAGATCATGGATGCCGGTGCCTCCAGCTCCGTCCACGTCGAGGTGGCCGCTGGCCAGGAGAAGCACGTGGACGAGCACGTGAAGGGCGTGACCGCCCCTTTGGATCCTCATGGCTTCGCGCTCGTTCCAACTCCCAGCCATTTCAGAGACGACCCGTTGGTAAGATCGTCTCTAGTTCCAAAGATTCCATTCGATACTGACTGTCCTGTCCAGAACTGGCCCTCCTGGCTCAAATGGCTGGTCCTCCTTCAAGCCTCCGTCATGGCCCTGCTGGGCCCGTTCAACTCAGCCGTCATCAACCCAGCCCTGCTGCCCCTGGCCGACAACTTCCACATCTCCAAAGTCGAGGCCTCGTGGCAGACGACCATCAGCATCCTGGCCGCCGGCGTGGCGCCGCTGTTCTGGACCCCGCTGGCCAACATCTACGGCCGGAGACTCATCTACCTCGTCTCGACGCTCATCGGGATCGGCGCGACCATTGGCACGGCCCTGTCGACGACATGGGCTGGTATGCTCGTCGCTCGCGTGTTCAGCGGCGCGGCTACCAGCGCGCCCATGGCGCTGGGGGCGGCCGTTGTCAGCGACATGTTCTTTCAGCATGAGGTTGGTCCGCATGCCTGCTGTAGGTGATTGCTAGCTAACGCTGCGTAGAGAGGCACCAAGATGGGTGTCTGGACGGTCTTTCTGACGAGTGAGTGAACCCAATCCTGCAGAAGAACTTGTACTAAGAGATATCATGATAGATGGCGCTCATGTCGCACCAATCATTGTAAGTAAGCTCAACAATCAAAACAAAGATGGTCGACTGACGTTGCAGGGCGGGTATCTGGCCGAAGCGGCTGGCTTTCGCTGGTGCTTCCACCTGCCGGCCATCGTCGGCGCCTTCATGTTCGTTCTGATGATCTTTGCCTTCCCGGAGACGCTGTTCTCGCGGTCAGAAGAAAGCCTTGCGCGGCACCGCGAGCGGACGTACTGGCAGATGCTGTTCAACTTCCGCGAGAACTGCCTGCGTGACCGACGCCTGCTCCTGCGCGACTTTGTGCGCCCGTTTGAGATGCTCCAGTACCCGTCCGTCGCGCTGACGGTCCTGCACTATATGATTTCCTTCGGCTTCTGCACCGTGCTGCCCGCTGTGACAGTCGCCATCCTCTTCTCGCAGGCGTACGACTTCGGCACGGGGATCATCGGCCTGATGCTGGGTCTCCCGCTGCTGGTCGGGTCCGGGCTGGGCGAGTTCCTATCCGGCCCGTTCTCGGACTGGGTCATGTACCGGTACGCGGCGCGGCACGACGGCGAGCGCAAGCCCGAGGCGCGGCTACCGGCGTGCATCGCGAGCGTGCTCCTCTCGCCCGCGGGGATCATCATCTACGGCGTGTGTCTGCAGCACCACACGCCATGGATCGGGCCCGTGATGGGGATGGTGATTGCCAGTTTCGGCCTACAGCTGACGACGACCGTGACGTATACGTACTGCAGCGACTGCTACAAGCCGCAGTCAGGCGAGATTGGGACACTGTACAATTTCGCGCGCCAGGTGTTTTCGTTTCCGATTGGGTTTTATGCGTGAGTGCAGCCGCCACCATTTCCTGGGGCGTCCTAGACAATACTAACTAGATGCTGTGATAGCATCTCCTTTGCAGACCGCATCAGTCTGCAATGGGCATGGTTCACCTTCGCCATGCTTGCCGTGGTGCCGTTTTCGGGAATTATCGCCCTGATCGTCAAGGGGGAGGAATGGAGGAAGAAACTCGGGTCTCCGCAGTTTCATCAGGATATTTAGCGAATTTCGATATGAGCAGTTACTTTTTTTTTTTCGTTTTTTGTTTGGTTTGCTCTCACTTCCGGAGTGTTAAGAATAGAATGCTTGTTGTGTTAACTTCAATACAGTGCATAAATTAGGTTCAGAACCTAATTGACCATTAGCTGTATGCCGTTCCAGAGATATCGTTCTTATCCCCATAGCTAATATGAGGTCATGCGAACCTCACAACAGAACGGACAGGCTATTCGCAGCGGTGCGGTCACCATCACGTATGCATACATACTGCAAATCAAAACAAATACTGTCCACCAGAATATATCCAATAAAGCTAATGTAGCTAGCTAGCTAGGTACCTACGAGCTATCTATTTACTCATCAGGAACATCTCTCGCTTCTCATGGACAGCTACCTAGCTAGCTGTTCGTCTGAATAGATAAATAAAAGAACCATGGCCCGCGACAACGACGCCAAACAGCAACAGCAGCGTCAACAGCAACAGCCAGAACAACCCTCATCCACAACAACAAACCCCAACAAAACCATCTCAATCTCACCAAGGACATTCTTCTCAGAAGACTGTTCGCAGACCACCACCACCACCACCACCACTACCAACAATGACAACAACCCCTACGACACCGCCTCCGACCCCTACACCACAGGCCTCCCTCCCGAACCCTTCCGCAACAACCACGGCGCATCAATCCTCGGCCCACGCAACCGCGACCGCGAACGACAAGATCCAGACATGATCCGGCCGCCGGCGACAGACGCAGGCCACATACCGAACATGAAGTGGAGTTTTGCGGATTCGAGGATGAGGATTGAGGTGGGCCCCTCCCTTTTCTCAAAATTTAGTAGGGTGGAAGAGGGAAAAAGGCAGGTGTTGATGTTTGATTTTGTATGTGTGTATATAGGAGGGTGGATGGTCGAGAGAGACGACTGTTAGGGAGTTGCCTAGTAGGTGAGTATCAATCAATCAGTCAACTTGTGATTACTTCCTATGAAGGAGGAATGCCAATGCCAATGCTAACCTGGATATATCACAGCATCGAACTAGCAGGCGTAAACATGCGCCTAGAACAAGGCGCCATTCGCGAACTCCACTGGCACAAACAGGCAAGTCTACCCTCATCCACCCATCCATCCATCCACCCCAGGAATAAACTCCTTCTAACTACTACTGCTACAGGCGGAATGGGCCTACGTCCTCTCAGGCACCACACGCATCACCTGCATCGACGCCGAAGGACGGCATTTCGCCGACGACGTGTCCCAGGGCGGCCTGTGGTATTTCCCTCGTGGCGTGCCACATAGTCTGCAGGGTGTGGGTAAGGGGGGCACGGAGTTTCTGCTCATTTTTGATGATGGAAACTTCAGTGAGGATGAGACGTTTCTCTTGTCGGATTGGTTGGGTAGGCACCCATTCTTATTCTATGCTTTCTTGGGGATATATGGAATTCCGCTGATAGATGTTTGTATGCAGCACACACCCCCCAGTCCGTCATTGCGAAGAATTTCCGCCTCCCTCCAGCACTCTTCGACAATCTTCCCCCAAAAGAGAAATACATCTTCCAAGGCAGCATCCCGTCGTCCGACCCCCAGACGGAGCAACCCTCCGACGAGATAAAGCGCTCCCCCCGCCGCTTCACGCACAACATGCTAGCCCAGAAACCCCTCTCAGCGAGCGGCGGACACGTCCGGATCACAGACAGCAGCAACTTCCCCATCTCTTCGACCGTGGCAGCCGCACACGTCATCATCGACCCTGGCGCCCTCCGCGAAATGCACTGGCACCCAGCAGCCGACGAATGGGCGTTCTTCATCCGGGGCCGAGCACGCATCACCATCTTCGCGGCCAGCGGGACATCGCGCACCTTCGACTATGTTGCGGGGGACGTGGGCGTCGTGCCCAAGGGTATGGCGCACTACGTCGAGAATCTTAGTCGTGACGAGCCTGTGGAGTTTCTGGAGATTTTCCGTGCGAGCAAGTTCGAGGAGTTTAGTCTTGAGCAATGGCTTGCTGAGACGCCGAGGAGGTTGGTCAAAGAGCATCTTTTTGCGGGGGATGAGCGTAAGGGAAGCATGTTTGTGGAGAGTTTGTCGAGTGTTAAGGATCCTGTTAAGGCGGCGCCTAGGAGGGTGAAGTTGTAGTAGATGTAGTAGTACAGTATATGTACAGTACTAGTCAAAGACCATCCAGCCAGAACGTTATTCTGCGGTGTTGTATTCTGATAATGGCATCAGCGGACATAGCTTCTTCGAACGAGGATTAGAAAGAAAACACCGTTTACGTATAAATATACCATTCGTCATTCTAATCTAGGTATCTTGGCTATCGTATTCATCGTGACATCCCCATCGAGCATACGCCTCGATACCCCAACTCCTAACCTTCACAGATACTCGACACTGACCGTGCTGCAGTGGCAATGATAAAAATAAGGTATGCTGCTCACCCCTCCCCCTCGCTGTCATGCCCCTCTTCAGACTCCCCCAGACCACTTCCAAACCGCTCTCGCTCTCGCTCTCGCTCTCGATATGCCGGCAAAGACCGCCACGTCGGACTCTCCGGCAAAGAGACTGACAACCGGCCGGTCAACGACGTCGGCGATGCTCGCACCGGCCTAGATCTCGACCGGGGAGTCCTCCCTGAATACCCAGGACGATTATTATTATTAGCGCCCACAGCGACATCAATCCGGCGATACTTGCGTACTTCATCCGTCCCCGTCCCCACGTCAACCTCGAATCCCACCTTCTCCCCCAGTCGCGATAGGAGCTCTCCCCAGATCGACCACGCTCGCTGCGACGCAGGACACCGCAATGCCATCTCCTGCAGCCACTGCGACGCCTTCCTCGTTTTCGCCGGTATCTCCCTCAGGTCCTCGCGCTTCGACGTGGCTCCGATGGACAATTCTATCAGTAGTACGGTAGCGGACTGGAGGAGATAGTGCAAGACACACCACCATGGAGAAACCCGGTACAGCCAGGTCGTATCGGGCTCGTCCGGGAACAAATCCAGCATCCTGCAGGCTGCACCAACGCAGAGTGCCGATAGCCTATCACAGAACCTTTCTGGTTTGCCGCTACCTGCCACCTGCCGGTCAGGATGGTGAAGAAAAGGTTTGCTCAGCAACATTTTCATGCTGTAGAAATGGAACGCCAAACTTAGTCTCTGTCTCTCAAAGCCTTGGGATTTCTGCTCAGAACTAAATTGAAAGACACCTGGAAGCCTCGCCAGCCACATATCAGCCTTGTTATTGAGGTCGCTGACGGCTGCTTCAACTTCATGCAAGGGCTTCTGAGCAGCGCCTGGAGCATACACCGTATGAATGACCTCTCGCATGAGGAGGTCCAAGTCCACGAAGCAGAGAAAATATAGAGACATACTTGGATTGACTGGCTCCTTCCCATCGCCCCTGGCTTTTTCATTTTCACCAGCAGTCCCAGTCCCCGCGGGCTCACATGGATGCCTGATGACAAATTGTGCAATCAAGGAACTTCGTGCTTTGTTGTCCGCCATGATGTGTGTGACCCTCCCATCCGAAAACTCTTCTTCCTCAAAGGGAACGGGCAGTGGCGTAGTGCAAATTTCTTTTCGGGTGAAGAGAGGACGGCCAGTCATACTACTTAGGATCGTCTCGAGCGTATGTAGCGACCACCAAACCCGGTATCGAGTCTCCTTAGACACGTGCGTGACGTAGTTGCTTTCACTCCGCAAATTGAGCCCCATTGCAGCTGCTGAGCGAATGGCCATGCCGCAAACTCTCCAAGATCTGAACGCAATGAAGTCACCTTGCATTAGCCAAGAAAAGAAAAACAGGGAAGGTGGTTAACATACCGATTAACATGTCCAATAGACATAAGATACAATGATGTTAGCCCCTCCACTTGGACTTGTTGCAGATCAGGATGAGCAAGAATGGCATTTTCCCCCATCCCCAGTTTCCACGCACGGGAAAAATATACCAGGTCATCGTCACCAGTGACGATCCGCTCCGGCTGGATTTGACGCAGATTTCGCGTCGCAATTGCATAGATCAGGTTCAATATAGCCAGCCACCGTCGTCCAGGTCGCACTAAAGGCGTCGAGTAGAAGGACTTGTACTGCCCCATAAACGTCTCTTTCCCAATGATGGGAAACGAGGGATGAATCATGTTGAAGTAGCCATTCATCAACTCATCGGCAACCATCTGAGAAGGACGTCCTAAAAGATCAACGTCCTCGACGAGCGGGATCTCTGCATCATCGAGGAAATAGCTTACAGACGCAACCGACTGCCGCTCCTGAGGATCTTCCGGTGAAACTGCTGGGCCACTGCCAGGGAACTCAGATTCAATTTCTCGCTTCAAACTGTAGATCCACGACATTGCAGACTGCTTTCCCACACATCCCACCGCCTTGGATCGCTCGCTGCGATTGAAGTCTTCCTCGGTGTAGTCGATCCCGCCCAATAACTCACTCAAGACCGTCTGAACAGGCTTCCCACTGACCGCAGCCTCTGAAGTACCCGACTTGGAGGACGCAACAGGAAGCTCGTCAGCGCCTGGCTTGTCTCCATCGATCCTGTACTACAGGAGCTACGTTAGGTTACTCTCTGAATCCCGAGTCAGTCGACAAAAGAAACCTACTTTGGCCAGTGTTTCTTCGGTCAGCTGCATGTCTTGGGGGCTCAGTCTAGGTTGCAGAGTGTTTAGAAGCAGCTCATAGTCCTGGACCTGCCTCGTAAGGTCCCTTAGCTGTCTAGCCACTTTCCCCGTCAGCCAGACCGAATTCAGCCGGAAAGCGTCCGACAGTGTACACACTTAGCGGTTCTTTCCCTTTTCCGATCGCCATACGAGCAGGCCAGGCCCAAATCCTGGCAGCGATGACACGTTGGACGGTCGCCGCTGCATTTGGTCTTCTGTTCGCGGCATGGCTCACAGGCATGGCCGACACGTCGAGACGAGCTCGGCAGGTCAGCGGTGGTTGTAGCCCTGGGTATGGCAACCTTGGCGCCCGCGGGCCGGTCATGAGAGGGGGCGGCGCCCTTGCCGCCCAGGGATTCCGAGAAATCGCGCTGCTCAGAGCCTATGTAGAATGTAGATGGACGATGAGGACGCGGACGCCGAGCGTCGTCCATTTCGCATAGGAAGGGTAAGCATCCGCGATATCTCTGTGGGCGCTTGCCAGCCGCTTAACTGTCAGACGGGGCCGGACTTTTGCCCGACTCCCCTTCGGTAAATAATGACAAGACCGGGCGCGTGCGATGGGGATCCAGTGCTGAAATGAGAAAGCCCTCACGCAACAGGAACACGGTGAACATGTGTCATTGCTACTGCCACGTTGTGGTAGGCTGGAAAAGAGTACCGTGGACTTTGCCACTCCCGAAGCGGGTCGGGTATCTTTCGGCAATACCCACGAGGTTAAGGAAAAACACGCGCATCACGCCGGTCTGCTTCTTGGCCTCCTGGCCTTCGTCCTCGCAATCTCTCGGCCCTGATCATCTCGGTGCTGTCCTTTTTGTCGGTCAACTCGCAGACCAACAAAACAAAATTGCCGAATTGTTCAGCTCGCGAGGATAGGTCCGGCGTGCAGTTGCATTATGTATTATGGCATTCTGGCAAATATATCCGAGGGAGACACGATAATTAACCGATCTGGTCGAGCACCGCCAGCGTCGTACTGACAGTGGACTGAACATGAGGCAGCTCTGAAGCATCTGTTAGGTCGTATTGCCCGGCTTCTGTGACACGGCCTTCCTGTGTCACCACCGAGGATATCTGGGACGTGCAATGGATCACTCGTATTTCTGTCCGGCTGGCATGTAATAGAAAACTGGACAAAGCCACTGACTGCTCCTGACAACCAAACTTCTACAGCAGGTTGATCATCAGCTAACACAACTCCTTGGGACGATGCCATAAAACCAGCAGTCGATGTCGACCATTGTCGCCAGTCTTTTTTCCTAACACAGGAAAACTGTCCATCGGAACTACCGATCGAGAATACCGCAAGCCGATGCCAGTTGACGATTGGTTGACGAAACTTTGTTGATTGGCACATACGACGCGAGTATGACCCGAGACCGCTTGACGTTCAGTACAACCTGTAATCGGGATTTTTCCCCGGGATTCAGCAGCGGGAAATCAGTTTTCAGAACTGCGATGAAACAATTGTTATCACCTAGAACAACTGGAATCTTAACCCATATCTGGTCGATATGAAACGACGCTAAATGGTGGTCTACGTTTGCCATTTGTGAATGGAAGACGCAGATGCCTTTGGGTGGTTGAAAGCACCCCCAGTGTACTTTGTGCCGAACAATTCACTTCACAGGGAAGTAATTTGCTCAACTACAGAGAGAACTGCTTTCCAGACACATTTGACCCATTGCGGACCACTATTAACCTCCAGGAATATATGGCGGGGTGGCGAGCATCATGGTGACGTCTCTCAAGCATGACTATTGTCATTGGCGTGGGTGCAGGATACCAGTCTAGGAATGTTGATGGTTTCCTTCACAGGATTGACAGATATCGAGTCAGAGGATGTGTCGTGCCTGAGATAATCAGATGTCTGTTGCTCGCAGGACGCATCAAAGTCGTTGGCAGTCCCCTCATGCGATCACAAGATACGCATGTTGAAGAACCAATAATTAGCGATATGACACGCGCGATCGGTCACCTGTGCCAGTTATTCTGCGATGGTACGGACAGAGTCTTGAGATTGCCCGATACCACTGTCACTATGGCATGCTCACCGACAGTATCAGCAGCCATCAAAACAGCGAAAAGCATTCATCTTGTTATTGTGACCTTCCATCCTTCGGGAGCCATTATGGATCTTGTGGGGCGGGGTCAAGGCAATAGCTTCTCGTCGACGGCGAAAAACCGCCGCACGCGTCGTCCTCGACATCAGCTAGACCATCGAGTTCATCAGTGAATGCATGGGAGCTATCAGAGCAATTAGACACCCACTGTGATCCAGAAAAATTGCCCACGACCAACCTGCCCTGTCTGTTATGTGCGATACGCATGCAGCCTGCGAACCGCATTTTCCGGTTTGTGCCTGGCGACTAGCGACGAGAGACGACCTCCCGCGTCAACGCGTTGGTGCAGGCTTGTCTGGTCATGCTGAAATGAATTGAATTCATCCGTGCCCTGGATGGCATCCTCATGGATGAGAACTGGCCAGGTCAGCTCGTGTTTGCAGTTGACAGGCGGCCCCTTGTTCCGTGGGCGGAAACGATGCAGGCTCGACTAGGTTGGAGGTTGTGAACTTAAGGCTGCCGCTTGATTAGTCGGCCGTGCTACGCTCAAACAATTCTCCTCGATCAACCCAGGTCGCGACAAATATCCCTCCTGCAATGAAGGAGAAAGCCATTGTTCAGACTGTGCCTGCCGCCATGCTCCTGCTCATGGCCGATTGAGCGCGATGGAACTCTGTCAGGTGAACTGCCGACCACATGATCTACGTGCCTTACGCAATTTCCCGCTAGAGCACAAGTGCAGATTCCGAAAACGTTAGGACATGGCTTGTCCAAAGTCAGTTTCCTTATTCTACACGTTCATGTTGGCTTGAAGCTCAAATACGCATGCCTTTCTATCCAGATATTTGACACCACTCCCTCTACATACTCCTTCGACAGATTCCAGCTGACATAATCGAGCCGGCAGTCGAGAGCTCTAGCTGCCACATTTGCACAGTCAGTATGGCAGCAGCCTATCCCCTGTGTGCCTTGAGGAAAGAACACTATCAACTCGACGCAAGCTACACATTCGACGAGAGACTCTTTGCGATATCTCCTTTGTCGAAGCCCAGGAAAATACTTAGGACAAGCAATTAGTATCAGAACCCTGCTTTGCAGGACCATGACTGGCTAGAGGGCTTTTGAAATCCTGCTTCTAACAGTTTTAGGAAATTAATTGCCCATCAGTTGGCTTTCAACCTGCATGGTAGACCATCGGCAATCAAGTCCTACGAGCTGGATGAGTTTCTTGCACATATCTCTATCCAATCACTTGGCCAGCTTGGTGATCTCCGAGTTCTCAACGATCGGCTTCGGATATCCCTTGGTTGCGACGGTGACAAATGCTTTGGCAAGGTCCGTCACGACGACTGCCGGCATGAGAGCCCCCGCGACGGGATAGAGGGTCTTGCAAGAGGCCGGAAGCACTGCAGCAGGGCGTAAACAATACACTTGGAAGCTGTCGGGATTGGACTGAGCGATATCGAAGAGTCCTTTTTCAGCGGCGCCCTGTTGATATCAGCTTAGCCATGAGCTGATACATTCGTATTATTCGCATATTTTATAGCGTATATGTTGAAAGATCCCTCGAGGAGGACAATCAAGGACCTTTGTTGCGCACCTTTATCCTCCTTGTGTCAGACATCATCCACAGCGTCTTGTTCTGATCCTCTGCTGCCCCCCAGCCACTGCAATACACGAAGCAAAACTTCTGGCCCGCGTCCAGGGTGGGCGCAACATGCTGGAGGAAGGCCTGCGCTGCGGCGTGGGTATACTCGATGCCAACGCGTTTGGCAGTCTCGAGATCGGGAAACTGCGACACTTTGCCTCCAATCGCCCTGAACGCGAACCATCAGTAAGTCGCAGGTAGACAAAAAACAGATTAATCTACAAATGAACATACTGAATGCAGACTCAACTCACCATATGCAAGCGCCAGCACCATTGAGACGCTCCAGCAGCGACGGTGGATACTGGCTGAAATCGTCGTGGATGATCTCTGTCACCTTGGGGCTGGTCCTGACGGCTTCATGGTTGCTGTTCTCTACCACTGACCGCCTGGTGAGGACGATGACGGAGGAAATGTCAGGTGACGCGACGCATGCAGCGACGATGTGGCTGCCAATGAAGCCCGTGGCGCCAGTGACAATAACCTTCATTGGAGCAATGCGTCGAAATTAATGAATTGCAGAGTGCATTGGGACATGGGACGCTGTACTGCTGCTGGCCCAGAACACATGATGCGGGTTGCCCCACATTGTCATTTCCTGTCGACAGGCCGAGTTAATTTCTCCATCGCGCCATAACCTACAGGTCCAATACATCCATCTCATTTGCCATATCTATTCTTTACGATTGGTATATGAGCTAATGAGCTTTTCTCTGATTGACTGGACGACCAATCTGCTCTGCCATCCTCTATTCCAATTACTACTGGCTAGATCTCTGAGCAGTAGGAGGATTATTCATTGAATTTTTAAGTTGAGCAGAATTTTTCCATTGAGATATACCTAATCTAATCTTTATTAGTTCTATCTTACCAAATCTGCTTTTCTTGTCCATGGACTCCAACATATTCTGCAACGACCTTCTCAATCAACGATCCGTCAATTCGACACCCAACAAAGTTCTCGAGAGTGGTAGCCTCCAGCTGACTGCCCCCTGCCTGCAGCATGGTATAGCGGTATTTTCTGCCGACGTTCACATCCATCGGATCGGACTTGAGGGAGGCAGCGAAGATACTCATGCGATGACCATCGACTTAGCTGAAATTATATACCAGTGCAAAGAAAAAAAGAAAGAAAGCAAACTCACAGCGGATACGCATAATAGCCAGCGTCGTATGAGCCGAAAATCGAGCCAAATACCGCTTGGCCAGCCGTCCCTGTCTCTCCTGCCAATTTGGTGACATTCTTCCGGGTGGTGTTCCACAGCATGGTGCTATCAAGCTCTTCCTCCGATGACTGGCTGGACGAGGTGTGAACGGCCATGTCGAACTTTCTGAGATGGACCTGTTTCAGGAGTGCCGTCGCGGCATTCACATCCCTGGACTCGATGACGCTCTGACGCAGGGAATCTGAAATCTCGAGGGGAATGTCCACCATATCATCTTTCATTGTACTACTGCTTTTCGTCCATGCAGCCCAATACTCTAGTAAAAGATAGGAGTAATGGCAACTCAACGCCCTCAATTAACCCAAGCTGACCTAGTCGCTGTTGTTATCTTACCCTGGAAAACCCTTACTTGTTTGTATGTCCCTGCAAGACCCCATCACATCTGAGAGAAGAGGTCGTTCGAGGAAGAGCCCTTCGCCAGTTAGGCCGTTGTCTCGAGGAGAGGAGACCCGGGTTAGTTAGACCGTCGCGTGCTCGTGAACGACATAGAGTCCGGAAGACTCCTTGATCCTTCCCTAACCACCATTGCTAAGTATCGACGACTACGGTTGGACCCAGCGCGTAACAAATAGGAAAGGCCTCTATGGACATCAAATCCTCAACACAACTATCGTTCATGATGCTAGCAATTCAGCCTCACAATAGTATACAGAAGAAAAGGTCCAAGCTGATGTGCATTCTTTTCTTTTTTTTTCTATTTTTGTCTTCATTTGGGGATTAGTGTCATTGTTCAACGGTCTATATTATATTGTCAGGGAAACAGCTATAAAAGGAGAGGCCTCTCCTTCTCGCAGTAGATAGATGCTGTACAGCAGCAAATACTCAAATACTGAACATCATTTATCTGAAATTATCTCTATGTGAATTATATAATCTCATCTTTATAAAGCGAAGCAACATGCACGTCCTCAAAGCCCTCGCCCTCATCCTCCTTACTTTCCAACTCGCCTCCACGGCTCCTCTTCTTGGCCCCCCTCCTCCCCCTCCCCCCTCTGGTAACACTGGAGGCAACGACACCGATGACCAGAAAGCATGTGAGCAGCTCATTGCCGAGATGGCACAGCAATTTGAAGAATTGGCCCTAGCAGCGGGCGAAATTAGTGTAGAGCAGTTATGTCTTATCACAGCCTTGAGTTTTATTCGAAGATAAAGAGTTATTATTATTACCAGGCGATCAATTTTTTTTTGGATTTGTAACGCTGACTTTCTATGTCTGTCTAGTCGTTGGCTTCAGCATTGGCGAATGTAATAAGTCAAGGAGCAGTTAACTGCAACGAGGCTTCGAAAGGTCAAAAGGTAGGCAGCCAACTTTAGAATTATGTATGTATATTGACCCTCAGCTGATGAATTTTCTAGATATGATATCTATCCTGGTAGTGTACTGGGCTGGGCTGGGTGATTTGTGTTTTGTTGCCGTACACTATTTTGTTGGTATTCTTTGTGTATGCTCACCATCTACACTGTTTGCAGGTCTCCTATCACCCAGAAGACTGCTTCTTATGATTATGCAGATTAGTTAGTATGATACTATCAATTTGAATTCAGTCTTGCTCCATGGTTGATTTCCTGTTCCGCCAACACTGGGTGATGGTTGGCCTGAGACACGGCCGGCGAGAGCGCTGAGGGAAATATATTCTTTCTCGAGGATCAGCACATAGAATCATCTCTCGCGCCTCGTCTATTGTGAGAACATTTAGAAACTGCCATATTGTTTTTGACTGAGAATTTCTCACGTTGATTGATGGAATTTGAAACTGTAAAGGATGATTCATTGAGCTGTTGTTCTGGCTGAAGGGAGTCGGCGGGCAGTCACGGGTCACGACGTACGGAGTATGGTAATTCCGAGTCACGGATTCCGCCGTCATATCACACGAATGACGAGTAATTACTCCGTAACATGACGAGTATCAGAATATGCTTTGCGTCTCTCCTGCAGCAAACAAGGACAAGCTTCTGCCGGTGGAGCAGCGAGCCAAACTTGGAAGCAAGGTTCGTCCCTGCCGACACTAGCCATGGCTAGCGGTGGATCAATTCCCAACTCGTCGCTGAGGGAACGACGGTCGATCGACGATCATTCCAGCTTCTCGACCATGGCGGACATCGACCCACTGTGGCATGGCCAGCATGCCCAATGGGTTAGCTGTGTTTACACGGCCAGCGACATAGCTCCCCTTAAACGGAATGGGTCCCGAAGACATCGCATGCAGCAGCCATGCTCCTGGTCATATTTTCTTCTCTTCACGAATCGAGCGTCGTCAATCCACGATGACTCTTGCGGCCGCTCCTTGTGATCCTGGAAAACGTCGGTGGATGAGTGGGTGAATTGGCATGACTCGACTTGACTCGACCTGACTTCTGATTCAACCGCCATCACAAAAATTCTTGCAAGGATGGCAGGCAGTGCAATGGAGTCGAGAGAGCAGCTGACGGCGCAGATGACGGAGACGATGGACAGGATAGAGACAACGGCAACGACACCGCCCAATGGTCAGCAGAGGAACCTTCGCAGCCTTCGATTTTGGGGCATTATCGTCGCCCTGTGCATCACAAGTCTCTTGACGGCGCTGGAGAGTACCGTTCTCATCACGTCGCTGCCGACCGTCGTCCAGGACCTGAAGCTTGACAATGGCTATGTCTGGGTGAACAATGTCTTTGCGCTGTCGAGGTATGTTGCTTCTTGTCGCCCTTGTCCAGTGCTGTCTCTCGCTGACGGGATCCGTTTCCAGTGCAGTAGTCACCCCGCTTTGCGGGCAAATCGCTGACCTCTTTGGGCGACGATGGCTGACCATCTCGATTGTCGTCATTTATACCGTGGGCAGTGCGATTTGCGGCACGGCACAGAGCGGAGCCATGCTGATCGCCGGTCGCGTGGTGCAGGGCCTGGGCAGTGGTGGCGTGGAGATGATGGTGGAGGTGATCATCTCCGACCTGGTGCCGTTGCGACAGCGAGGCAATTTCATGGCCATGATCCTCGCTATCTTCGCCCTCGGAACGTCGTTGGGCCCCTTTCTGGGCGGCCTTATTGTCGAGACGACGACCTGGCGATGGATATTCTATCTAAACCTTCCCATCGGCGGCACCGCCGCGATTCTTTTATTCTTCTTCCTTCATGTCGGCTACAACCGGCAGATGACTTTTGCCCAACGCCTCAAGAGGATCGATGTTCTCGGAGCCATCATCCTCGTGATGGCCAGTGTCTCGGTCCTGTTTGCGCTCACCTACGGTGGATCCAAGTACGAGTGGGAATCAGGGCATATTATCGCCCCCTTGGTGCTGGGACTGAGCGGTTTTGTGCTTTATTTGTTGTATGAAGGATCTGGTTTCTGCATTCAGCCCATGACTCCGGTGAGACTGTTCCAAAGCAGGACATCCGTGGTCGTGTTCGCCAATACCTTCATCAATTCGTGCCTGCTCTTCTGGGTCATTTTCTTCCTCCCCCTCTATTTCCAGGTCATTCTCGGTTCCAGTCCAGCCCGGTCGGGCGTGCAGCTGCTGCCCAGCGTTCTCATGGCCATTCCAGGGGCTGCCGTCGCGGCTCTGCTGCTCTCGAAGTTTGGCAGATATAAGATTCTCCATATTGTTGGATTTGCTCTGGCCACACTGGGACTGGGACTATTCAGCTTGCTAGGTCCGACATCATCCACAGCCGAATGGGTCATCTTCCAGATCATCGCCGCTGCCGGGTCCGGGATGGTGTTTGACACACTCCTCCCAGCGTTTCAGGCTGGTCTTGCTGAACGAGATCAGGCCGCCGCCACCGCCAGCATGGCCTTTATCCGCTGCTTTGGCAACATCTGGGGATTTGCCATACCCGCTGCCGTTTTCAACACGCGAATTGAGCACGGCTTGCGTCAGGTGCAGGATCCGTCGGTGCGCGCGAGTCTCTCCCATGGACAAGCGTACCAGCATGCCAGCCGGGGGTTTGTGAACTCTCTGGCTCCGGCCACGCAGCAACAGGTCCAAAGACTCTTCACGGACGCGCTGCGTCTCGTCTGGCAGATCGCCATCGTCTTCGCGGGTGTTGCCTTTGTCCTGGCCATATTCGAGAAAGAGGTCCGTCTCCGGACGGAGCTGGAGACCGAATACGGTCTGGAGGACGTCCACATCAAAGACCAAGACGTCAATATCAAGGACCAATGGGACGGCAAAAGGCTGGTGACGCCGAAGAGTGATGTGGTGGGGGATGATAGGTCGGGAGTTTCGATCCGCGAGATGTCATGAACGATTGCATTTAGCTGCTGGTAGAAGGAAGGGCAGGACTCTACTTCTACAGCATGGTTGCACCTAACCTCTCTTCTATAAACCTGTCTTCTATATTATGCATATACTGTACATAGACTCATAGACTTGGGTGTCATAGAGGCGTCGATAGAGCGTGATGGAACTCAAAATAGAACGGTTTATATGGTGTGTGTGGTGAATATTGGCTATGGCTATATTCCAGGCCCCTTGTTTTTTTTTAAGCTGGACTATTGACATTTAAGTACAATTAATTATAAAATATATGCAATGCATAAGCTGATTGTTAATAAACCTAAGAACCTACTCGATCGATCGCATTTCTCCCGTTCTTTGTCACGGGTGTCCGTTTGCTATATCTAATCCAGATTCCGTGATTGGCGACAACCTTGCTATACCTAATATTAGCAGCATTCGTTTGTTTGTTAGGCTGTCACTTGTGTAACTGGTCGATCCCCAGTCAGGCTTCTTTCTCTGAGCTGTGTTGGTGCTGTGCCGCGACAGCTAAGCCAACAGCGGACTGACAGCTGACTCAGTCGACGAGTCGACAGAGTGCCTACTTATCGAGCTTCTTTCTATTAATATTAATAGCCTACTTAGAAGAATAAGATCATCCACGGTATACGGAGTACTCTCGACCTTCGATTCATTCTCTCTGATCTTGAGTTGTAGAAGCAGCCACCATGTCCAAACCCTGGGCCGGCGGGCCATGGGAGTTGATCGAGACTCCGTCCAAGACCATGGATGTGGTAAGCCAGCTTTTCCAGTCGAAACAATCGCATGAACGGCATATTATTACTCCGTACGTACTGTATAATGGAATTCCCATCTGACAACACAGAACTCGCATCCGGCCGTCTACATCGCAAACGAGATGGCCTTTGCCCACAACTCCATGCTCCGCGGCCTGAACAGCATCTACCTGCAGGCGCCGTACGTGCATGAACCCCGCGACGTGGCGGATCTGCTCTTCTTTGTCAAGGCCTTGGCAGGCTGGGTCTCGCATCACCACGTCCTCGAGGAGGAGAAAATGTTCCCGGGCTTCGAGAAGGTGATTGGCATACCGGGCTTTCTGGAGGAAACGTCGACCAGCACCATGCTTTCCAGCCTGCGCTGAAGAGGCTGTTCGCTTATGGTGCTGAGACAAAGCCTGCGGATTACAATGCGGCGACGCTGCACGGCATCATCGAGGAAATGGCTCCTGGGCTGCGCCAGCATTTGAGCGATGAGATACAGAGCTTGCTCTCCATGCGGCCTTATGACGGGGAAGCTCTGCTGAAGGTGTACAAGGACTGCGAGGCAGAAGCAGGGAAACAGGACAAGGTGCGCTCGCAAACAGACATTCCTTCAAGCACGCCCCTTTCTTATTATTCATCCCTGCTGATTTGATCTCGCAGAATGTGATACCACCCATGGTTCTCGGCCTGCGAGACGTGACCTTCCAAGGCGGCAACCAGTGGCCAGCCATGCCGCCGCTGTCCGAGTGGATTGTACACTATGTGTTCGCGCGCAAGCATTCTGGTTCCTGGCGATTTCTGCCTTGCGATACATGGGGGAGGCCACGGCCGTTGGCTCTTGCAGAAGACCAGTCGTCAGGTAGCGTCGCCGTTTTTGCTAGCTAGTTCGTTTCTTTCCTCGTGGTACCAGAACAATGAGTGTGTACGAAAAAGAAAAAAAAAAGTCGAGTCTTATATTCGCGATTTTCTCGAGTTTGCGCAAACTTTCTCAATCCTCCTGTCGGGATCAATAATAGCTCTCAACTTCCCATAGTATAAACTCTGCGAATCAGTTTTGTTGAGTCAATGCCGATCAATTTATTATTTTTTCATTCAGCTGGTGACGTGATGAAATAACACTCTATCGAAGGGGTTCGTCTGCAGACTGGGATTGAACCGGACAGAGGTCCGCCTCACCATACGGATTGAGGTCGATATCGCGAAAATGTGTGAAGAGTAAACTGTGCAGCCCCAACACCCTGCTCAACTCGCTCCTTCCCTGTTTCATACAGACTGATCACAGTGATCGGCACATGAAGATAGTTCCCAACTTTGGCAGACTCGATCGATTGGACAGAACTTTGGTTCATGCAGCCTGAATACAAACTTGCGAATTGCCTTCGGGACAGTTCATGCCGTTCTTGTTGGCATGAACAGATTGCAGGTGTGGGTTCTGTGTTAACGTGGAGCCATTCTGCCCTCTCAATTCGATTCATGCAGATGATCTACAACAGCAATGCCTTCCAGCGGGAAATGTGGTGGATATACCATGCGCATTTATCCCACTTGCTTGAGGATGGCAGATCGCAGATCTACACAGTAAGACTCTGTCTCCATAACATAAAAGAGCAGAGATCGTTAATCATTCTGCAATTGTTGCAGAGAACCAAATCCAGTTGATCTCAACACTGAATTAAAGGATCACATCCAAAGTACTGTACAAAGCTAATATGTCGCATTACAATCGACAACGCTCCTTGTATGACGCCTCGTACGAAGAATTCCACGGCTATCAGGCCCAACACGAATACTCCCGTTTCGATGAAGACGACAATGTTGGCAATTCATACAGGAGCGTTCCTGACGAGTCCTATAACGGTGTCCCAGGTTCCGTAGAAGGGAACGACAATTCTCTTGACAGTGATGCAGAAGGCGATGACCTGGACGAGATGATTGATGACCAGGCCGACGACGACGACGAGATCGAAAACGAGAACGAGAGCGACGATTATTACCACCCGTGTGACTCATCGGAATCGATATGCAATCTGTTTAATGCGTACTTTCCTCAATGCGTGGATGTATGCAACACATTCTTTCTTTCTTTCTTCCTTCCTTTTTTTTTCTTTTTTGGTCAGGCTAATGGTTGAGTTCTGTTTGTTATCAGTACACCACTCCAGAAGACCTGTGCAACTTTTTCGAAGAATGCATTGATCTATGAGATCTCCCCTCTTGTTTCTGTCACCACCTTCAATGTGCGACCAAAGGAGCGATATACATGCTTGAAAATGAATGTTTACCTCCGCAATACAGTCCAGCGTTGACAATGGTAGGTGCGCATAATACTGTGGTTCTATGTGGTAAGGCACCCAATACTATCTTCAGGTCTCCTAAATAACTTTGCCCAGATAACAGCAGATTGATGTGTATGGGCAACAAAAGGGCGGTCCTGAACGAGACACTGAGGCGCCTCATACAAATTGTATTGGTCCTGAACCCCGATAGAATGTCCATGAGGTTCCTCAACTGCAACGTTGACAGCACCTGGAACCATGTCAAATACCTGAATAGGTTTCAAAACTTCCTGAGTAAAGTCCAGTATTATGGCCCCACGCAGTTCGGCACAGTGTTGGAGAATAAGGTGATCAGGCCTTTTGTCCTGCAGAAGGCACAAGCAGGGACCTTGCGGCGGCCTGTCCTGGTTACTATCATAACAGATGGCCAGGTATGCATCTGCCTTCGCTCATGGAGCCATGCTGACTGACAGTGTCCAGCCTACCCAGGAGCATCGCTCAGCGGTGAAGAACGCGATTCTGCGTTGCAAGAGTATCTTAAATGCGTGTCCGGGGTATAACGAAAGAGGTTCGCCTCGCAAATTCCTTATTACTTCTTGATATATATATTCTTGATATATAAATCGCTAACATGCCTCGACAGATGTTTCATTCCAGTTCGTCCGAGTCGGCCACTCAAGGCGAGCGTGGAACTTTTTGCGAAGTCTCGAGACAGACCCGCAAGTTGGCCGCTTGGTTTACTGCACAGTAGGTAAGAATGCCAACCAAACTTCTACCGACGTTCGCATCGATAATATATGCTTTACTAACTGCATATTTCTTGCAGAAAAACTGGATGAACAGATCGCCAGAGAGGGAAAGAACTCTAACTTTTCCACCTCGGTATGTTGAGATCTTGAACTGCGGGACTTTTCAAAATAATATCAATTCTAATTGTGTCCTATAGTTGCTTCAAATGCTGGCTGTCGCTACGATGCGGCGCTGAGAGCGTATTAAAAACGAGTCTTGTGCAAATTTACCTCAGGATATGGGCAGAACCTATGGCCATACAGATCCCTCAACTCTCTTCAGACAGCAATGGTAGAGTGAATCTTTGAGAGGGAAGATACTATAATTACCAACCCTTCTGACATCATCACCAACTACATGCCATGGATCTAGCCAGCTCGCCTGGTGCAAGCAGAGTCAACAG